TGTTTACAACGCAACTTCTCTCAGACATCACAGGATTGCCACTTGCACTCTTTTTGTTGCAAACTCCATTCCATTTCATTCTTTTTTCTAAAATTTTCGTTATTATGTGTGATCCTTGCTTTGAATTTTTAGAATAAAACTGCTGGAAAAATTTCAGGGTCCCTATTCACACTTAATCTTTAAAATGCTGCAACATCATCAATTGTTACGTTGGAGACCTGCACATGGTCTTGTTTAGAAGTCGAGGATTCCATTTAGAGGCCTGTGCAGATCATACGTCAATAGCAATTGCCATTCCCATAAAAGCAGAAAGCAAAGAGTATTTTTTTGAACATCCTGCATATGTATTTTCTCTTGATTGCTAATCATTATCTTCATTAGAAAATCCATATCAATAGCAAAAAAACGAAACCACATACCTACATTTCGGTGTTTCAAAATTTCCGCTCTTATTTTATTTTTTTGAAGAAAAACAAGCCAGTTTTTTAGTTTGAAATTCATAAAGAATATCGTTAGTAAAGGGAAAAAATCAAGGAAGTTTTTGGGAAATTGCATTGACTGTTTTATAAAGAAGAAATGAGGTATGACAGGAAGTCTAAAACAACGAAAATGGATTGTAAGTACATTGTTTCGCACTTTAGCCATTGATATTTTGGTTAAAACTTCAAAGTGGTGTTGGGTTGAAAAGAAAATAATTGAGGTGTAGCTGCTTACTAGTTTGAGATCAAAACTTGGAGATCCAAGTGAAATAATTTGGAATTGATACATACCATCTGAAACAGAGGAAAATGGCGCATGAGTGAATCACTAAAAATAAGCAGTGGGTGGGCATGTAAGCACCCTTATAATACTTGTGAAAATTTTAGTAAAAGTAAGAAATTTCAATAAATTGGAGGGTTCAGTGGGAAGGAAAAAGCATTGGTTCAAACTAAGATGCGTGTATTTTAGAGCTTTTTGCACTCCTCATTAATCAAGATAGTTCCTTATAAAACTTAAAATCAGCGCTCTACAAAGCAGTCCAGCATGAATCACCCGAAATTATTAGAAACTGATGTAAAAACAGGCCCTTTATCTTCCCCCAAATAGTGGTCATTACAGATTTGAACCGAACGCGCTTGAAATCAAAGCGTATGATGACACAACACTCGGGTCAAAAGTTTTGGTGGAGTTGGTTGAAGTACAAACGGTTTTAAAAAATCAAAGAGATATAAGGGTGGTTGAAGATAAGTATTTAAACGATGAATTTTTGTTTTTTCTAGAGCAATTTACATCAATAACTCAGCTTTGTTTCTTGATTAACCGTGCAGTTCTGTGTTTAAATTCATATATCTACCCGGTCTTTACTATAAAAATTTCAAAAACATACAAAACAGGTGTTACTGACAGGTTTTCCATTAAATTTCTGATAAATTGTCATTCTCTCAAACCCCAACTTCATTCCCTCCTTCGTTGAAAATTATTTGTATACTCCAGCTACAATTTGACCCACAGTGTTGAGTCTTCATGTACTTATACTTAAGGTGCATTGTTGAAGTAAACTTGTTCCATTCTGTTTTTTTCTTCTGTTTGCAAACGCAGGTAACACAGTGGTCGCCAACAACCTTCCAACACTGTAGACCCTTCGGTAGAAACATTGGGCATTCATAAGTAAACACACAAGTTGTTCGGTAATTCAAACGGAATCCAACAATGCCTGGCAAAGTGGCTAACATTTTCTCTGCCAGCCACTCAATTGTGAGAGGTAGGACACTTTGATCAACCTAGTTAGAGTTTCCCTCAACATTTTGACCAAAAGGGCAAAACAGATTATCTACTGGCTGCATTAAAGAATCAAATCCATATCGGTGACTCATGGTACCTTGAATTGCTTTGACTTGCACTGTAAGAGAGGCACTTATTAAGTGCTCACATTATCAAAAACTGCTGATAACAAAATCAATGGATCTTCAGGGTTCTGCGCTGACTGACAGATGGTCTTCAAGTTACTTACTATGAGAGAGTGCGACAGTCTGAAAACAATTGGATGAACCACGATCAGAATGATATTTGAGTCGCACTATACTTCTAAATTAAAACTGAATCAATTGATCAGGTTCATCAATTTGTAAAAAGTTCTCAAAGCTTGTCCTGTGCGGTCCTCTTGGGAAGGACATTGATCGGAATACCTACAGCTGACAGAAGTCTAAGCAAAACTCCCTGGAGTGTCCAACGAAAAAGACTGTCAGCTAGAACAAGGTAAGTAGTCCCAAATAAGTATTTCGTTGTCTGCTTGCCAGATATTACCCCTACTTAACTGTGTGCGTTTGGAGATGAAAAAGAGAACGCTTGAAAGAAGTATAAGTTTCATTCTGAAACCCAAGAATTCAGAACCTACTCTGCATGAAAACTGCAGTAGTGTGCTTGCTGCATTGCATCTGTGCTTAGGTTTCTCCATTGCAATGGAATGTACACTTCATTTCACATGACTTGAATAAGTAGCACCTGAACTCAGATGCAGAGAACAGGCTATAAGCCAGCTGCACGATTCCCATGCTCATCAGAACATACGTGTAGGGGCATCTATAAAATTATTTGACTTACGTTTAGGAGGACAAATCCAACGTCTGGGAGAGCGAGGATGAATCACCAGTGAATAAGTGGGTCCGAAATCCAAAACCGAATGCGTCGAGAAGACGAAGAGGACAAAAACTGCCGAGTGCCGACGTTAACCACTCACGGTTCAAGCGACCTTTGCGAGGAAGGAGACTGAAGACGAGTGAAAACTCACACCCTTATTGAAAGAACAAAATGCTTAGCAGCCGATAGTAATAACTTGGACGACAAGGCTTGCTTAGATCTGATGCGATGATAAAAAAGCTGGCTGCAAAGTTCCTCCAGACGAGCTCAAGCTGATAATGCTGAAAGCTTTACTACGTCATAGAATTGAGAAAAGAAAAAAAAAGTAACGGCGAGGTAGCCATCTTGAAAGTTGGCTGTGACGTAGGAAAATACACGGATTGGCGCGCTATTCAAAGGATTTTGGCGCCAAATGGAAAATTGGCGGTTTTCTAAAAAAGCGGGAACAAATCAGATTTTGGTCCGCAATCAACAGTTGCCAAATGCCTACTGATAATAACTTTGTTTTTCTTATTTTTTCAACGAAAGAAAAATGAATGTGTTCTAAATTATTTCTTTGTTTAGTTGCCGACGTACTTATTTAATATGTGTTAATTGTTTACTTCAGAAATTCTAATAAGAGTATAAATATACTTTCAAAATGGTCCATACATGATTGACGTTGAATTGGTCCTAAAATATTTGAATATAATTTGAAACTGTTGAAAGGGAAAAACTTTCCTGACAAATTTTCAGAAAATGATGGCCCCTCTAAGCAGGTTTGATCTATTTGTCGTCAAATTTTATCTAGGTAGCTGTTACATTAGAAAAAAAATAAAATTCCAGATGCACTTTTTCATTTTCATTCTCGCTGAGATTTGCCACCCACATAGCAACTGCCAATTAATTGCTTCCCGTAAGTTTAGCCATGAATGAGCATCAGCAGCTCGCTTCGAATTTATTTGGCAGGTTTGCGGTTGGCCACAAGTAGAGGCAAGTATATTGCCTTTGTTATTCGATCACCGACAAATTGCATCAATTAGAAGCTAAGGATGGCTTGAGCCTCCTGTAAAAAAGCTCTATTTGCGTACAGCTTGAGTTTGGTGTAGAGTGTTCTTGACTTGTAGAAACTTTGTGAGGGGGGGGGGGATCGCCACAAGTCAAATATAATACAAAAATTTAAAAAAATTTTGTTACTGACTTGCGGTAAAATTTTTAGTAGAGATGCAAAAGCTCCATCATCAGTTGGCAGCAAACTCACTGGCAGCTGGAGCTGTAGCCTCCGAAACGCGCGTCTCTACTGAAAATTTTACCGCAAGTGAGTAACGGAATTTTTTACAATTTTTTATCATGTTCACGACTTGTTCTCGAAATTAGATTTTTGGTTTCAAAACTTAAGGTCCACCGTAGCCAATAGAATTCAGGACCAGATTAAGTCAGTATACTTGATTACTTTTGTTTTCCTGGCAACATCTTCAGACGATTGTCCATCACGGGCATGAATTTCGATACAAGAGAATACCATCTCTCTTATATTTCTTAAACTTGCCTTTAATACGACATTTTGATTGAAAACTGATTGTGAAACAAGAAAAGCACAGACCTCAGTTTGCAATGTTGCACACCTCGGCCAGTATGTTTATTAGTACAGGGAAAACCGATACCGATCACATTTTGATAGAGATATTAAGCACGATTTTTCAACTGTCTTGAGATACGAAATTGTTAAAAAGTTGATTTAATTCAAACATTGTCAGTTTTCTTTTAAAGAACTGAAGTAAGAGTAGAAATTTCTTGATCCTGACAAAAAATTATTTTGTTCCACCATCAATACAGGAAAATACATTTCGACAGTGTGAGTCAGCGATCACATAACTCGTTTGCAGTGTCTAAAAATCTCCGCCTCCATGCTATTTTTTTTAAAGGAGAACAAACTGACATCATTCTTTGAAGTTTTTGCAGAATTTTCTTCGCACAGAGAAGAAAAATCACATGGCAGCTTTAAAGAATTGCCGTTGATTTTTCTGTTTAAAAAATAAAGTATGATAGCAGGAAGTCTGCGACGTTGCAAACCGAGTTATGTGATTGCCGATTTACACCGTCGATTTGGGGATTGAACAGATGGAAACGAGTGTTTTTTTTGGGGGGGGCGGGGGATTTGAAATTGGCGCTGAAAGTCAAGCTTATTGGCTAGAGTAGGTAGCTCTGACTCCATGAGTCTAAGTTATCCTTCAACTCAGATTTTATTTCAGCACATTAATACACTGTAGATGCTCATTTATCAAATTAAGTGAAAGGTTTCGGTGGTCAGCTGAGAAAATTGTCTGATGACCATGAGGTTGAGAGTTCACGAGAGGAAAAGGAATAGCACTTGCAATAATCTGAGGAAAAATGAGAGAAAAAAATTCAGATTTTGAGCACTCAGCTGAGTTTTAATCAAATACATAAAGGGAATAACATACGTATGTTTAACTTAGAGAAATTTGTTTGGGACATAAAAAATTGAGCTTCAACTTCTGGTGAGAGAGTGACCACAAGTTAGGTTAGTGTTCGGTAAGTTAGAAATAAATCATGGTAATACTGATACGCGGATACTAAAATTGGTCTTATAATAATTGGTGAGAGAATAATATTCCCTAAGAGGTTGATTCAGATTGAAGGAAGTTTCTCTAAGCACACATATCAATCTATCTAATGGCAGTTTCACAAGGCTAAAACTTCAAATCGAACTGAGATGTGAAAAGGGGGCAGAGATCCAAAAACCTTATTTTTTGTGGGGGGCAAATGACGTCCTGTAGGTCATATACTTGGACTAAATTTTGCAATTTGGAACTATGAATTCTGGCCCGGTTCAAAAACAACGTATGTGCCATTAGTTTCCCTATGCTCGTACGTGTTTTTCCAGATGAGCCAGAATTTATAGCTCCAAATTGCAAAATGCAGTTAGTTTCTTCCTTGCAAATAAATAATCTCACAGGGAAGGAATAAAATTTATCGAGAGTTTTCCAACCTTGGTTTTTTGGAAATTTTTTTATTGAGGTGTATATTCATTTTTTGAGCCAAATATTAACGTTTTTTCGATTTTTGCTAAATTCACTGGACTTCAGCTCTCAGTGAAATTTACATATTCTAATTGACGGCGTAAATGCATAGTTATAAACTTTCACAGATTTTTATTCGTTGATGTTTTCACATGAGTAAACTGAGGGAATCGTTGCTAGCTTCCAGGACCTCTCTTGATTTCTCTTTGTATACAAGTTTTTAGTTTTATTTAATTTGACGAGGCGTCGCTAAGTCGCTGAGAATTTTATTTGTGTCGTTATTAATATTTTAGCAATTGATGACTATGCTCAACCGATCCTGCAGGAATTCGGGATCCTGCAGGGAGGGGCCCAGCAGGGATTCCAACACGCCCAAGAACTGGTACCAGCCAACAATCAAACCAACCAAATTTGGCGGGCTCGAGGTTAATACAGCACTAAGCAACCAAATTTTCTTGAAGACATTATAAATGTCAGATGAGGAATTAATTCGTTTTAACATGAAACTAACTGCTTACATCCACAAATATAAATGAATGAAAAATTGCTCTACCCCCCCCCCCCCACTTACAAGCAGTGCTTCAGAAAATACATGAGTAAACTAAGAAAATGAAAAAAAAGAAGTCGTTTTTAAAAAAATGGAACTCTGCCGTTTTCACATTTCATGATTCAATTGAGACTACAGATGAAAGAATTGTTAACACTGTAATGTCTGATATTTATGAAGCCGTGCTCACTTAAAACTGTGTGTTTTTATGAGGGTTATTCAAAGAAATTTTGTAACTCATGGGGATAATTTTAGTACAAATTGAATTGGCACTTTAGCCCTTCATAAAATGAACTTAGCGATTCAATATGAATAATTTCGGGGGGGGAGGGGGGACACTGAACCTGTCATAAAACCAACACTGAACTAATTCTGAGAGCAGATGATGTTTCTAGAGGATCAGTAGACAGAGGTACTACAAAATTCCTTGTCAAAATATCATGCACAATACCACTTTTTGATACGAGTTTTTATTATTGCATTAATTTTTAAAACAGCAATTTAATGAATCCTCTGTTACTGATGTGAACATTTAATGTGAACACGGCAATTCAGACCAACACTGAAAACAATCTTACAATCTGCAATGTAAGCAAACTGTTCATAACTAAACTTAATAACAAAAAATTCTTCGTACATTCAGTATGGAGTTTTTTTCTTTTCCTTAACACACCTTTGTCGGCTCTTATCATATTTTAAGCACTAATTCCTCATGATAGCCTTTCAACAATTTGGTACAAATAATTTATACTTCAAAGCATGGTGTCTACAATTCTTGATTTTTTCCATATCCTGATAAGCCCCTGATTTTTCCCTGATTTTTCCAGAAAAATTCCCTGATGAAAACCTAGGATTTCCTCTTATTTTCTTCTAGATTCTCTTGAAAAAAAAACAACATTTTTTACAACAGTTTGCAAAAAAAAATCTTGTTCATTTTTTGTCAATTTCTTGGAAGCCGAATCAACAATTTTAAGAATAATTTGATCTCAGTCAGGAGGGAGAAGAAATTCCTGATTTTCCCGGATATTTTTCATTCCCTGATGAATCCTGTTAATTCTCGATTTTTATCCAGGTCCTGGACACCATGTTTCAAAGGTATTTTTCAAAAAGAAGTTGGAAAAGTTGTAAAATTTAAGTATGTTACTCTCCTCATCATACTGTACAAAAGCCTCTTCGGGAGCTTCGAGATTCTATATGCTATTTTCGACATGATCCCCTTAAAATCTTGACAGAAGGTTACACCGTTAAGCAGACATATTGAGCGAGTACTGTTTAATTCTGGAGGGGATTTTCCTTGATGCAAAATCATTGAAGTTCAGATCTATTACCTATATTTAAGACAGAACACATCTCATTTACTTTGTGCACCAAATATTCCTTTGAGGAAATAGTTTTGATCCGTCTATTCCTTGTTTCATTCCTCATGTCATGCACCAACTACTTACTCACAGCAATCAGCTATCAGTGAATTTACTTAAAAATTTGGCTCTGCTTTTGCACCTATCTATCTTACTGTACACAGAAACCGAACTTCGGCAAAGTGTTGCCTGAGACATGCTATTATTCAGAGAAAAGTACCTTAAAATCAGCACATGAAATCTTCAAGCTTTGAAAGCTTGAAACCCTCGAGGACTTTAGCTCAGGATAATTAGGAGAGTAACATATTCCAAGTTTCATCAAATTTACTAGAAGACAATTTCAAAAAAAGTTTGCAGTCTCCTTCAGGGAGATCTATTCAATGTTTGGTGGTTTCGTTTTGAAGTTCTGAATTTTCGGAGCAGAGATACAATGCAAATACATTTCCACAAGCATCGCTGCTTCCCGACTCTACATAAAGCATAGTTCAATCTCCATTGGCAGCTAGGGGTCACGTGTGTGGCCTCTTGCAGGCCGTCACTAATGCCCTAGAATTCCGGCCAACTTTTTTAATGGCTATCTAGTAGGGCAGCTTACACCAAATTTTCCTCACGGTTAACTTAAAAAAGCATTGTGTCTCTGGTACCATTTTTGCAAAAAGTTCACAACATGCAATCAGACAAAATGACAGACTAAATAAAACATAAAGAAATGTACATGAAAATTAAAGTGACATTCATGAGTGATAATTTAAATTAAAATTATGAAGTAGAATACAAAATCTTGATGTTATACATTTTATTTGAGAGCATAGGCCGGAGTTTTCCGAGCTACTGAAGCTCATTAGGGACAAACAGGTATGCAAGAGGATATTATGCAAGGAAAAAAATTATTCGGTCTGATAAGGACACAGAGGAGAGGGAAAGTTTTTTTTCAAAGCAAATGAAGAGGGGAGAAAGAAAGATGGATTGTTTTCTGACTCAGCACACGAGCTTCAGTGGCTAGAAAAATTATGGAATGTAAAGTGAAAGAAACTTTAAATGCACCAATGATCGGGTCACTCCTATATAATCTTTTATTTTAATTATTTTTTACTGAGGGACCCTTTATTAATTATATGGCTTTCCGCCATTCAATTTAAAAACCCACTTACAATTATCCAACACTAAGAGGGCTCTGTCACTTGAATTATTCTGATTAAGTATGACTCACGGGTTTTCATTTCCCCCCAAAACGCACATTTTGTTTTAAAAATGTTGGAATGTTATGCAATACTAGGTGTGTCAGGGGTGCACTGCTTCTGTTAAAACACCTGCATGGCAGCTACTTATTGCCTTCTTGCATAATTTATGGATTGTCTCTGTTGTCAGAAATACTGAATTTTAACTTTTTTTAGTCAAAAGACTAAAGAGAGACAGGCATATTTGAAAATGTTTGATCCACTCTAATGATGATACATTCAAAAAACAACTATCCTTGGAGGACTTTTACTGTGTTGGAATGTTCTCTTTGTTGCTTTGTAATGAAAATTTAAGCATCAATGTTGAACAGACATGACATTTAAATATACCCAGATTAATCTACGAGGCTTTGGGTATTTTTTTGCACACTATGCAAAACTTTGTAAAAAAAACTAAATGAACTTCACCTAAAATTTAGACCGTTTCATATAAAGAGGTAAAAAACTTTAGGCATGAGGATCATTGACTAGATTAACTTGTAAAATTCATTGGTATTTGAACATGATCGTCCTTGAGGTGAGGTTGATTCAGTGAGATATAAAGGTAAAAAGGAATTGAAAAAGGACATTACTGGTGGACTCTCCCTTGCTTGTTGGGAGTTTCTTGGATATTTGTAATGCTGTGATAAATTTTGAGCAAATCCAGGGCGTCCTGAGCTTGACGTTTGTCGGACAAAAATCTACCACTTGCTTCTTTTAGCTGTTCCAAAAATGTCCTGGAAAAATAAAAAGTTGAGTTTACATAAAAGCATCATCGATGTAAAAAGCATAAGTTTGTTGATCACCATGCAATCTCAGGCATGTACTCATGCTAATACTGCAAATCATTTTGACAGCTATCCAAATTAAGATGATAAATTCCAAAAATTTAATGTTCATTAGTTGCCAGATATGTTCCTGAACTTCGTAAGGCTGTGAATTATGAGACAGTTCCATGACTAAGTTTGAACACTTGTTGTTAGTGGAATTTCACTGACAATGAGAGTAATTATTGGCGACGAGAGAGGGTGAGAGTGAGTAGCTGGACTGCTACAATTCCATTCTCTGTCCCCTGACATGTCATCTTCTCCTCTCAACTTTTTTTTCATACGCCAATTAAAATTTTGCAGACAATGGGCCACTAGAACCGGGGAGAGAAAAGACGAGACAAATGTCACATCAACCTAGAAATGCATCAATAATCAGTTGGCCCATTATTTACCACATAAATTTATGTTCAATGGTGCTGTTCTCTGATGTAGCATTTGTCTCCTCTTTTCTTTCCACAGTTCAAGACAAGGTGAAAATTTAAGCAATATGATTTACTAACAATTTGCCCTCACACCTTCCAGGCATTGAAATAATTTTTAATTAAACAATCACAATTTTTTTGGCACATAAGCTAATTTAGTTTCCTTTTTTCCTTATAATAATAGTGTTCCTCAGTATTGTATACTCACTTGTCAGGAATGATGTCTGTTAGACTATCAGGATCCATGTCAGTTAAGAGCTCTAATTCAGGTCCGCCAAGCAAAGAGACATGTGAGATGTCTCCATGGAGTCGGGAGAGAAGACTGCTGATTCCTCGTCCTCCATCAACATCATCATGACTGAAAAATGAAAATTGTGTTGTTTATACTGAATAGACCAGGGTTGCTTAATGACTAATTGTAAGTTGGGCTCTCTTGAGATGATTGAACCTCTTCATTAAAACCAGATGGTTCAAAGATTTTTACTGCGCTAATTTGAATTCGGCTGGGAAAGGATCTCTATGGTATTACTGAACAATTTCCCACATGACCATCCTTGCAGACAAAGCTTCAAAATCACAGAGAGTTAGAGTTCACACCAAATAAGTCTGCGCACTTTTAGACTGCAACAGAAGATATCCGTCATCTTGCTTCTTGCATTTACTTTACATGTAAAAGTGATGTCAGACGATCTTCAGTCGCAATCTAGAAATGCGTAAACTTACTTGGCGTGGACTCTAGATATTGACTGACTTTGTTCAAGCCTAACCTTCCTCCTTTCTGAAGGAGAAAATCAATGGCTAAGTAAAAAAATGCATTGCTCAGGTTGCAAAACTCAAGTCTACACTTAACTCATGCTTCATTTTTTTAAGGGAAAACCAAGCGACAGCTTTTGTTGATATTCTTTCCTAATTTTCTTCTTTCATTTTGAAAAAAATCACACAAAATTGCAAGGCAGCATATTGATTTGTTTTCCTCAAGGAAGATAATCTGAAGATCGGAGCTTTTTACATTTCAAAATGGGGTTGTAGTTATGATTTTATGTATTAAGTTTCTGAGACTTGGAGGCGTGAAGAATGTTACAATATTGTTCTGAAATTTTCTTGATCAAGGGAACATGCAGAAAACACTTTGAGAGCTCAGCAGCAATTTAAATGGGGGCTCCTTCCCACACCTCGAAAACACATGACATAACGTCACACTAGAAGGCCATGAACTTTGCTGTCGGATAAGTTGACAGTTGTTTACTTTTTGTTTCTAAGCACCTGCATTGCAGCCATCTAATGGAGATGTTGCATGTGTGAGGGATTTGCGATTTGACTATTGATTCTTCTGTAAAAGTTTGCAAGAAACTTGATGGTGCCACTGGTTTTCTCTGAAATCAACTCCCAAGCTCAAAAAAAGCTCTCAAGTTGAAGCCAAAATGAAGGGGATATCTCACGCTATCCTGAGATTCCACCTCTACATCAAGACAAACTCTCCATGCAAAGATAGGGAGCAAATACATTAGCAGGGTTGCCGTGATTTCAGTTTTGGAGTCCTCAAATAAAGTGGCAACCCTGTCAATGTATTTGCTCCCTATCTTTGCATGGAGAGTTTGTCTTGATGTAGAGGTGGACTCTCAGGATAGCGTGGGATATCCCCTTCATTTTGGCCTCAACTTAAGAGCTTTTTTTGAGCTTGGGAGTTGATTTCAGAGAAAACCAGTGGCACCATCGTGTTTCTCGTGAACTTTTATACAAGAATCAATTGTCAAATTGCAAATCCCTCACACGATCAACATCTCCATTGCTATCAAAGGTTGACCACAATACCGCCACTGTATGCAGGAACTTAAATTAGTAGAAGCACTGCTCATGATAGCCAAAAGTACACAACTGCCAACTTATTTGACGCCAGTTCTATCAAGACTGAGAACTGATGAGAGCCCTCTATAAAATCCGGGAGTATGGAGGAGCTTCATACCTTTGTGGTTTCAGATAGAGGTTGGCAGACTAAACTGTGACCTTGAGGATACAGGTAGGTACTTTTGATGGAGGGTTTTTTCCCAATTCGATAAAAATTGCTCAAAGCACTTTCTTGAAAATTATCCTTACATCAGACTGAGGTTATGACCTTTCCCTGCCCAAATAGCAGTGATCGCAATAAATAGCAATTTTATCGGTTGGTTATCGCGATTATATCGGTGGCAAAATATCAAGATATTATCCCATTAAAAAATGCAGTGTATGGCGATTAAATTGCTACAAATCGCAATTTTTGGTTTGATAAAATCATGATCAATTTTCGTCAATAAAATTGAGACGCCATTTATCGCGATTTTTATTTTGAAAATATTGCGATAAATTGTTGAGCGATGAAAGCGTGATTTTATCACAATAAGATGGAGGATAATCGCTCAGATGTTGATGATCCTAGCGATTTTATCGCCGATAAAATCGCAATATATAGCGATTTTTCCATTGAGAAATGCTACTTGGGTGAGGACAGCTCAATTTAAAGTAAAAAAAGGGAGGTCGATGAAGAGAATGTTCATACTCACTTTAAATTACGACCTGCTGGCATCCACTTCTGATCACTTGAGAGAACCATCAGACTGGTGTTGTTTTCCAAAGTGCTGAAATAATCGTCTTCATCAACTTCAGTCCCATCTGCTTCCAAAACAACTTTCACATTGCCATTTCCTAGATCAAGCTTGTCCCTTGCTGTAATTCCAAAATGATAATAAATCACAGATTGTTGCATTTCAAAATATTGAAAAAGGCAGAGAAAGGTTGACAAAATGGTTGCATGTTGGCTGCTGTTCATTGATCAATTCATTTCACTTACATATGTTACTCTTTCCTTAATTTTTTTTTTTTTTTTTTACTTCTAATTCTGTAATAGAGCTACTTAGGTTTAAAAACTTTTGATAGCCACCAGATTGAGGTCTTAAGAATGCGATACTAAACCATAAAATAATAACTGGCCCGCAAGCCGAAACAGCTTAATAAGAAATGAAGTAAGGCAAAAGAGCCATTCAAAAGGTAATTGAAATCGTTCAGTGAGGTGGAAACATTGATCTGGGGTCTGAAACATTTATTTCAAGTCATATGTACCTATACAAAACGATTTTTGATACCTACTCTTCAGGTGATTTATAGAACTTGCTGACGTGGTTGAACTAGCATATGATATATTGCATCAATTGGGTAAAAAATCTAGGCAGATTTGAAATTTTTAACCAAAAATTGGACAATAGCCCCTGTGCACAAGCCTAAAGAATCATTTTAAACCAAAAAATTGGCAAAATTCAGAGAAATGAAAACAGAATCCTAGTAGGAATAAAACCTTGCATACGATACAGTTAGCGATTATGGTATCGAATATGAGGTTTATTTTCGAACAGGATTCTGCTTTTATTACTCTGAACATTGCCAATTTTTTGGTTTAAAATGATTCTTAAGGCTCATGCGCAGGGACTCTAGTCCTTTGGAGGGGTTTAAAATTCCAAATCTGCCTAGATTTCTTACCTAATCGATGCAATATATTGCATGCTGGTTCAACCACGTCAGCGAGCTTGATGAATCACCTAAACCACACTGGGTCAAGCCATAATCTCTGACAAAAGTTTGATCTGCGGTAGTGAAGCATTATTAACAATGGTAACAGCGCTGGTAAACTTTAACTAACAAATTTTCCAAATTCCCTTATACATGCCCTCAAATTATAATTTATTTCTTCCTGAGAAGTCAATACTTACTTTGCATTGTTCAGGGTGTCTAGTTTTTTTTTCATTTTGAAAAATCTTGATTTCATAATTTTTTAAAATCCTGATTTTTTATTATGGAGAAAAATTAAAATTTCTAAAAAATATAGCTCAATAAAAGAGTCCGATCGGACAGCCGACTTTCCTCAAATCCTGATTTTGATAAAATTCTGATTGACCTCAGATCCTGATAGAATCAGGAAAATTCTGTTGTTCGACACCCGGTTGGTGAATATTCTAGGTGCCAAAAAATGCACAAGTAGCCCTCTTACTTCCAAAAAAGATGTCATAATATATAATTTATTGATTTATTTCGGGTAATGTTTGGAAGATCAAAATGCTACCTAAGTTCAGGGGATAAGTAGATCAATAAAAAGATGATGATTTAGAATATATCATTGACGTATAACACAATTGTATTGTACGTCACTGAAATATATGGAGAGAATTCTGCATTTGTGATTTGAACAAATGACAAAAACAGATCATGAAGCAGTGGAAAAGCCTTTGTTTACAATCCTCTCCTTATCACTTCTTTGTTCAAGTGCATGAATATGGATTCGAAAAAGAGCAATTACCTTTTGAGATAAATTCCTGCAGAGATGAAGCGACGATTCCATATCTCTTGTCCCTGGATACATCTACGATTTTGTAGGGCGTCAAGTGGCAGTTAGACATTTTGACATTCGTGGAAATGATACAAACTAAACTAGAGATAAGGCAAACCTTTAAAGTTCAAAATCTACGAAAAGTTCAAATCCAGCTCCAGCCATAGAATAATAAAGCTAGCGTAGCCTTCTATACTATATATTATTCTATGCTCCAGCTCTTGCTCCTCCCTTTTCTTTTCTTCCTTCTTCTTCTTATTCAAGCCATAAATGGAGAAACTCGAAGTTACGTCATTTATGGTAGCCACCCATCTTTTTATTCCAGAAATTTTATGACTCAGGTTCAAAATGGCCGAACTGACATCACCTGATGATGTTGACAGGTTCGAGGATCGAGGTCTACCTAGAACCTACTCTTCTACACGCTGTGACACCGCATTCACCACCAGTCTCATGATTTTGTTTCCGTAGAGCAGTTGCCTCGTGTCATCCAGCCGTTTCAATTCTTCGAAACATTTTCTCTATAACTATCTTTATTGTTTTTAAATAAATAATTTGAAACATTCGTCTTTGTTTTTTTCATCCTTCATTTTTTCTAGCTAGGTCGGCACTCGACGTTCCGGGATTCATGGGATTTCAACTCCTTCTTGAGTCCTGACGTCACAGTGGGCTTTCCACCAATCAAATGCCGGCTTTTCTTGGCAAATTCAGTCGTTGTTGCTTCTTAGCCGCCATTATCGTGATCGTTGAAATGAGTTCGGTTTGTTTTTCACGTAATTTAATCCCGAATTCCTCTTGAGTAAATGTTTCATTACTCATTTTATCACGAAATGTTCACATTCTTATGATGCTAAATGGTTTTTGCTCCTGACCGCATTCTTTATGTTGAATCTCGTCTTAGGATTGGGTTTTTCCATCCGAAGTCAAGGTTTTCAAAATTTTCATTCTGGGCGCTTTGGTGCGGTGGTTTTGTGACAAATTGAACCTGAAACCCATGCCATCTCAATAAAGGTAGGTTTTTCAAGAACATGATCAGCCTGCATTTCTCACGCGCTCAAATTCGCTCCGAATTTGACGAACGGGATGTAGCATCGGGGTTCGGTCCGCTGCAACTGTCGCAATATCCACCACGGTTGTTTTCTAGAATTTTTTGGCCTTTCTTATCACTCGGCCACGAATTTAGTCACTTCTCGTGACTACTATGGAGTATCAAAGGAACTGTCTTTTCGCACGAATGAGGCGAATATGACCGGTTAATTGCATCATTTTCTGTAACAGCTACTCACTCAATTCACCATAGGCTTAAGGTTAGGCAGTGCCCTAAATTGCTGTTTACACATCCACATTTTTAAATTATTCATGCTGGAGATATAAACAGTATATCCAGCCTCCGCAAGGAACCTCAGAATATTCATTTGTGTGCTCAGCCATCCAGGGAAACCTTAACCGTAAGTGATCTGATGCCTCAATGCTATTCCGATGTTATCAGGACGATGCTCATTGCTACTGCCATTCTCCACTGAAATCTATGTCTGTGCCTTCGGCATTGATGTTACAAGGATATCAGTGCATACGGCTTGATGTAAGCTATCCTGTCAAAGGAAAATACCAGCTGTCAACCTAATATTGTCAGATCAATCGGCCTAATAGAGCTATCGGCCACAGAGTGAAACGTCCGGTCTTGCATGGGGAAAGACTACATTCACCAGTGAATGTGCTGAGTAGTGCCTTCAAGATGCTTAGTCTTCTTGAACTTTAAATCTAGACCTGCTCTGTCAAAAACAGTTGCATAAGATAGACTAGGTCTGGGTATCCAGCTTTTGCCAAGCAAATTTGCCTCTGGTTTGACCGTCAAAGAAACTGTCCGTAACTTTGAGAGCATTGTTGAAGCACATTAGAAACATTGCAACTATTAACTAACCTATCGGTGGTATCCATAATAATCATAGCATCAGTGAAGGCACCCACTTTCGGCAACCAAGCAATATTTTCTCAAATTTGATTTTATGTCGCAGTTAGTTAATATATAAGGAATTCGGCCCTATACAATTTTCATTGGCCTCAATAAATGAAGCTTAGTGGGCCAGCACGCCCATGAAAGTTTTAAGCAGCCCGATAAGACACCAAAATGCCTGAAATTGCATGATTAAGATAGGGCTAGAGCGGAAGCATCGGATGTTAAGACAAATGTCCATTTCTGATTACCTCAGAATCAGCATCTCTCAACGGGCTAATACTTGCAGTCAGTTGATGCCGCTGATGATTGGTAACCTAAACAACACTTGACTTTGGTCTTAATGTACGATGCTTCTGCTGTTTGCCGTGCCGACATAGTTTCATTTATCGAGCCACTGATGTCCCCTTATCCTCTAAAGGGGAGTTTGGAACACTGGCATGGCTGAGCATAGCGACAGTGTAAGTCGGCAATCACATAACTTGGTTTGCGACGTCGCAGACTTCCTGTCATACTTTATTTTTTGCACGGAAAACTACTCAACGGCAATTCTTTAGAACTGGTGTGATTTTTCTTCCCTGTGCAAAGATAATTCTGCAAAAACTTCAAGGATTTATGTCAATTTGTTCTCCTTTAAAAAAATAACACAGAGGCGGAGATTTTTAGACACCGCAAACAAGATATGTGATTGCCGACTTACACCCTCAATAGGTGCCGTAAGCTAAGTTTGCACTCAATGGCATTCTACTTGCAAGCAGTCGCTATGTATTAGTCTGGTAGAATTTGAGGATCGACCGCAGCCTGAACTTGAGCATTGTCAATCCTCATTCCCTATTGGATGATTGCATCGCAGTAGCTTTCATTTACGAAATGTAAACAAGGGCCTACTTAGGTGACAACACCTCTAGCTTTTAGCTGTGATCTTTGAAATTGTTGAGTTTTTTTTTCTTTTGAAAACCCAACCTCTTCGGTCACGTCTGAGCATCAGCTTTAAATTGCTGTTATGACTGTTTTTGTAATCTGGGATTGGGCCTTGTCTGCTACTCATAAACTTCTTCCCTTGGCCGCAGCCATCTCATCATGGAACGATAATTTTTGACATCGTGTTGCGCCACTTTAAAATGATCGCTGAATTCGATTGATAAGAGAAGCAAGTCAACTCCCCAATATTAGTTGGAGGAAGAGTGATAGCATTCTGGCAATCTTAGTACTGTTCTCTCCTCCACTGAACTCTTCCACTAACCAGAGAAGTAATTTTTGTATGTAGAATGTCTTGGCGGAGGTCTAAGCCCAAGAGAAAGGAGTTATATTTTATCTTGAAATTTAAAATGTAAGAATTGTAATCTGAGACTTCGTCATTCAGCTGGGTGTCTATCAGTACAAAAATTATTTTTGTTGATATTAAGCCTGATCATCTGTGTAATAAGCAATTATGTGCAAAGGAAAATGCCTTTTCAAGAGAACCAGCATCTAATTTTTTTAATTATGAGTGTTGCACTAATATCAAAGGAAACTAATAAATAGGAGTAAAACTTAAACTGCACTCCCTCCCCCTTCCTGGAGGCATTCAAGTAAGAAGTAGAATTTTTCTGTTTTGAAGCACTGTATTGAAAAGAAGTCCTTTTCTTACAGTATGTTTTGCATTAAGATCTTGAAAATAGCAAGATTTTCAATTGGATCTAGTAATTTGTTTTTTTTTTGGGGGGGGGGGGGTTCTTCCTCAGTATTTAAGAATCTCTAAATTTTTTAGGTTTTTTTAAATGAGATTATCCATGGTAAAAAAGACTTAAGTGCCAAATGAACTAGTACTCTCAGTCAATGCCGGAGGATATCAGAAAGTGTTTTATGTCAAAAATCTAGATTTCAATATTTTAACCGAACTTGACAAAATTTGTTTTCCTTTAAACTTTGTCTTCGCATGCTGAGGTCCCATTTCTTACAGACAGTCTCAAACACTGTAAAATTAGAACCGTTGTGGCATGAAGGGCGAAGTGCTCCTAATTATGAGGCTGCGATTTTTAAAAACTTAGAGCACCAGCCAAATGCGGTGCCTGAAAAAATCAAATGCAACACACTGCGAATTCTTGAAGCAGCAATCCTATTAAACATTTCAACTACAATTTTGCATCCAAGTTTTTACAGTTTCATGAGCCACAATATGTAGTAGGTGAACAAAAAATAATTATGGCCTCTAAAAAATCGTGGGTGGCTTCTTAAAATTAGACTTGACAGCCAAGATGCCTCTTTAACTGTTACCCTGAAGGTGGAACACTTTTAGTTGGTAAGAATAGGCACATGTGTAGCCTAGCCATATCTGTTTTTCATCGCTACTTTTTCAAATTTAAGTCAATTCTAATAGTTAAATTCATTTCTTTCAGAGAGGTCTGGGCGAAGCAGTTTATGGACTTGGAGAACCATCTAAGTCACAAATCGACAATGAATAAGCAGGTAATTTTTGTTCTTGAATTGTTTTCAGTAAAATTCTGATTGAAATTCAGGCGTTCTTGATGGAAGATGAACTATGTCCTTTTCATGTACAGGTAAGGGTTTCTCACGGGATTAAAACTGAGGAAACCATACACATGTGACAAAATTAGTTTCCGCTAAACATTAGGAAAATTGAAAGGATAATCAAACATCTAGTCAGCCTCAGTGGTGTAGTGGTCAAGGCAGGCCTCTGCCAACACTGAGGTTGTGGGTTCAATCTCCGGAGGTGACTGATATTTGAGGACACTCAAATATCAGTCATTGTGACCGTGGATGACTATGCCACTCCAATACCCTACCCCTTTGAGGTATTAGGGTGCGGGAGGGACACAGTCACCCAGTAAGTAATTCGTCTGCACTGTTTGACTGAGTTGTGAAAAAATCGGTGATCACTCGTTGTGTGCGGGACTGCCAGCGTTACCTATTAGTGGAGATGTAACAACACAGTCCAACTCGGTGGAGGCATGGCCGTGCTCTGCAGCGTCTGCCACAGTCTTTGACAAGACCTATCTATGTCTATCAGACGGCCGCTGAGCCTTGCAGGAATATAGAGGCTACACAATGCGTCAATAGTTCGAAGTTCGGGAGCACGGTCCAACTCGGGGTGCACGACGGTAGTAGCCAGTTGCCTTGGCCCCTTGAGGGCGCCTCCCCGGTAAGCCCGGCCTTGCTTACTTACTTAATCCGACATCTAACAGGAAATCTTAATTTATTCAGTGCAGTGCAATTTGCATCGTGGCAACTTGGACTGCAGACCCCAACAACCACAACCTCCCTTCCTTTTATTTTGTGGCTTAAAAGTTATTTGATTTACAAACTTACCAAGAAGATTTTCTTGTGGTTGTTTCTTTGCTGAGTGTATTATCCAAAATTGTTACTGTGGAGAAGCATGATCGCAGTATGTAGTGGGATTTTTTCTGAAGCAAAGCAGTATCATTACTGACAAAAGAGATCCAATATTGATAGGAAAAAGTTATTGCGAATTCCAATATACATATCACATTTAGCTAGTTCACCCCATTCAAAACTCTTATCATGGTAAATTTCTTTTATTGGGACAGCTGTGAAAGTAATCAGGACACAATTGCCTTAGAATGATGTTTCCTGACCAAGCAAAGTTGACTGTATTATTGTATTGAAAGGGCTGGACACACGTTCAAAGTGAAGGCTGTTCAGTCAAGTGTTGCGCATCGATGCGTCGAAACAGAGTGGGCTGCTCTCCTTTGAAGGTAATCAATGGCAACACTTATCTAAACAGACACCGCTTTGAAGCTTCACTTTGAACGTGTGTCCAGCCCTCAATGCCATGTCAATTTTTTGTAACTTAGGTGCTGCGTTTCTAAAATCTGAAACCTGCTTTTTCTAAAAATTTGCACTCCAGGTGCTGTTCTATGATGTAAATTTTATGCAATACTTATTTGAATGAATATTTTTTTTTAGGAGAAAGGAAACAGTGATACCGAGAATGATGATGAAGAGTGGCCTCCAGCAGATGAACCATACGTTGAGCCTGTCAATGGGCAAGTCAGACCGATCACAACGCCACCACCACACCGACCTGGGCGGCTCACTAACCAACTCGATTACATCAAGAAAACTGTTGTTCAAGCTGTTTGGAGGCATACCAATGCCTGGATCTTTCATACGCCCGTTGATACTATTTCATTAAAAATTCCGGTTCGTTCATTGAATTATTTGGTTTCAAATAAATTAATTTCTCCGATCAGTACAGTATTCATCACAGGCTTTTCAGTCACAAAGCTTCCATAATCTACAGCATACTAAAATCTCAACATGTCCATTGGTTGACAGAAATTGGTGCATTTTTAAAGCATCAAGTATCTGTTTTCTGAAATTCTCTAAATGTCACCAGCGGAATTTTTCTATCAATTTTTTCCCCTTTTCCTTGTTTTGATTTAGTTATATTTTGACTTATTTATTTTTTTCTTTCCAGGATTACCACACTGTTATTAAACGTCCAATGGATTTAACAACTATCAAAGAGCGGCTGAGAAAAAACTTCTATCAGAATGCAAAACAGTGCATCAAAGATTTCAAGCTCATGTTCCAGAACTGTTATACCTACAACAATGCTGAAGAATTTGTTTGTAAAATGGCCAAAAGTGTTGAGTCTTTGTTCTATTCAAAGGTAAATATTGAGCTAAATTTTAATCTAGTTTATTTTACGGTCTTGATGTATGATGAGACGTGTTCAAACGCAGATTTAAAACGAAGAGGTGAATATTGTAAAAATTTGATGAAGTTTTTGGGGAGGAAAAGAAAGCAGACTTGAATTGGGGAAAACCATTAAATGGAGAAATTAATGGTATAGCGCTTCTCAGTTGAAGTGATCAACGGACATGCACTTTGACAAGCGCCAATTCTTGAGAGTGTCCTCAAATGAAGTTCCTACTCAAATTTCTTAACTGTGTCAGAATTCACATGACGGTTTAAAGTGAATTCAGAAAACTTGTGTCTGAGTTGGTTTGTGGAATTGTGAGATCATAACTCATGGAAGAATTGGCGATACATTTTACAGTTCAGCATTCATCTCTCAGTCTTGGATGTTTTTAACAGGAGTGGCAGTTTTACTGTGACCCCCAGGTTCTAATCCATTCACTTCAGTCCAGTTAATGAAACACTTGAAAGCCTAAGGAATTTGAAGAAAACTTTTTAGGCTGCTGCAGAGTCCTACTCTTTTCATTCGATTATTGCAGGAAAAATTCTAGTGTTTTTTCATCAACATCAACAGATTTTCTTTCTAACCTTAAAAAGGCATCGTCCTTTCAGTCGCAACTCAATTCGATTGAATGAATGTTTGATATATTCAAGGAATGTTATTTATGGTCTGAGAACTGCAGTGTAAAACCACATCAATGGGCCTGTTGCAAACTTCTACTATAGCAAAAATAAGAGTTGTTCCTAATAGATTATGTCAAAAATCACGATGAGCGCATCGGCAAACTCTGAAATGCACTCCCAACTTCACAATCTGCAAAAGAAATTTGCGTTTTTTTTTAGCTATCTGCTTCAAAAAGGATACTAAGGCACTGGCGAATATTTCGTTAGAGGAGTCGTTCCATTCAATTCCTGCTCAACATGGCCGACACTTCTATGCGCAAATTGAGAGCACGAGGTCAATCAAGGCGTATATTTATCAAAGCAAGAAAAATGTGAATGTAAACACGCCGCTTATTATCAGGTGGTTAGAATCATCGTCCCGTCACATGCGTTTTGGCGGATTGGCGTCGGCTATGTTGAATATTGCGTAGTATCCTTGTGAGCAGGGGTTGGATGGAATGACTTCTCTCCCGATTTGTTCACCTGTGCCACGGTATCGTTCTTGAGGTGGGAAGCTCAAAAAAGTGCAAATATTTTTGCAAATTGTGATGAAAGGAGTGCGTATAATACTTTGCCGATGCGCTCATAGTGATTTCTGAGACATTTTCTATGAGAAACTACTCTTATGTTTGCTCTAGCAAAAGTTTTCAACAGGCCCATTCCGTAAATTTATGGGCAAACTGTTAATACGTAAACTGCTATAACTTTTATTAACTAGTATCTTTTCCGGGTTATTTTGAAGTACAAGCTTTTTTATTTTTCTTAAAAAAAAATTCCACTTTCTAGTTAGCGGGAATGCCTAAAGATGAAGTTGAACTGGCGTCACTGTCCATAAAACCCCCGCTTAAAAAGAAACCCCCTGGAACAGGGACTTTGAAATTAGACTTAAATAGGACAAGCAGCTCAGCTGTCTCAAGTACTTCCAGCAATTGTGCTTCCACAGATGTTGCTAGACATGCTTTACCTCAACAGGTAAGTTGAATCTCTTTTAAAAATTTATCGTCTGTGTGTCCAATTGAATAGCACATTTGAAAATTGTTTCATTCACTCAATATCAAACATCTAAAGCGAAGACAGATACAGAGCTTTCCACTTGAATCCGGGCAATGGTGCTAAGTCTTACTTTAAGAGACTAAACATTTCTATGCGCAATAATAGTGTAATTGTCTCACTTTGTCTCTTGTTGAAACAAAATAAAAAAATTGTGTCAAACATGATGCACCTTTGTGTATTAAAGCTAAATTTCTTCCAACCAAAATTTAAAAGAAGTTTTTTTCCTTTTGCTCTCTCCCTCCTGGTCCCAAGATGAAAAACCTTGTTTTCAGATTAAGCTAACATAGCAGATTTTATTTTTTCATGTTTCTGTCTCCCCAGAGTACGATATACCTCAGATTTCTCATGTGATTGAAAAAACTCTCATGGAGCTGAAGTTAGAAAACATTACCGCAACTTTCACACAGCCTTAACCTACTTAGTGTTTCGTGACTTTCATCTATTTTTAAATGTCGAAAAACACCTCTCAGACAAATGGATCTCTTTGGAGAATGGAGTCAGTGTTGCCGTTCAAGAACAGAACTTGAATATACTTTGCAGATACCATGGAAAAACTTTTCTTATGTTGGAGTCGCAGTCCCATTGTTCTGCACTTAAATCATACTCTTTATATATAAGATTATTAATATTTTCTTTTCTCTTGCCTAATTTCATTCAAACAAGTCGAAAACATTTACTATTTTTGCTTTTGTTTTTCAGGTGGGTATGCCAGTGAATAGAGCCAGTTTCACAAGATCTCCCCCTCAAGCAATAAAAATTGAAGACGGTCTGCATATGGGCTTGAAAAGAAGAGCGGACACAGAGATTGGGGTGAACGATCCTCTTTACACGCCACCCGACTCAAAAGCAGCAAAAATTGGTGAAAGGCGAAAATCCAATAGACAAATAAAAAAGGTACTTATTATCTAAGCTTTTTTCTTCCTTTTTTTTTAAATCAGTAATTCAGAAAAATTGATGTGTTTTAACCGAGAACCATAACCAGCAACCATTTTGAAACTGCAATAGATGCAACTATCTGAGCTTGGAGTGAAAAATGTTCATGTTTCATGCCCTTTGTAACAATGTTCTGATACCAAATGTATAAGAATGGAGTCGTCTTTTGATAATAAAATTCAGGTCTTGTGTGATTCTCAGGGGGCGTTTCCCTTTAGGGGGGTTAAAAAGTAGCTCTCATTGACCTAAGAACACACCTCAAGTTTCAACTTATTAACTCAATAAGAGAAAAAGTTATTGGAGAGGTGTGGGATTGTTGGATTTCACTGTAGAATGTCCTCTATCAAAAATTCAAGATCTAACTTTTAGTCTGAACTGACAAAAATTCATTCCCTGGAAAGTTTTCCTTTATTTACTGAATTCTCTTTTTCCATGGTTTGTCATGTTTATTCATGTATATATAATATTTTTGTGTTTTTCTTCTTTCAGCCTCAGAGATCAGCAGAGGAAGTAGATCCATTCTTGGCAGTTCCTTTGGCCAGCGTGTCAAGCTCAGGAAGCGCAGAAGTATCAGTTAAGGAAAAACTGACCCCAGCACTGAAATACTGTCATGATATAATCAATGAATTACTTAATAAAAAATTAAAAAAATGGGCTTGGCCTTTCGAAAAACCAGTGGACGCCGAATGGCTTGGTCTGACGAATTACCACGAAGTCATAAAAAAACCGATGGATCTCAGCACTGTTAAAAGCAAACTAGAAAATTTTGAGTACAAAAACTCGAAAGAATTCGCTGCCGACGTCAAATTAATATTTAGCAATTGTCGTCAATACAACGGCCCGGAGCATGAAGTTGTTGGAATGGCGTCGAAAATTGAAGAAATTTTTGATGATAGGCAAGTGTTGTTCAAAACACATTTCCTTCACTTTTTTACTGAATGTCAGGAATGCTGTGTTGCAAAACAGTCAGATCTCTTAGCTCAGAAATAATTCTCTGAAATACTAAATTTTCTTAAAAAAAACAATGAAAGCTGCATAGCAGTCAGTGAGAAAAACCGCCATAAGTCTGGGACCACACATTGAAAACCTTGATAACAGACTAACGTTAGGAATAAATAAACAGTTTCTGTGTTGAAATTAGGTTCTTTTTGAACTAATACTTTGTGGGAAATAAAAACCAGAGTGGGAAAGATAATTTGTTGTTTTTAATGTTTGTGTTGCTCTCTGGATGTTGAGATAGTTTTAAGAAAAATTTAAGTCAAACTAACAACAAAAACATGAAAGAGTCTTAGGACGCGGGTCCTTTTTTTGTAATTCTGGTAAATTTTCTGGAGAAATGACAAGGAATTTTGAAAAACTTACTGTGCTTAAAGTTTCTAAATTGACTTACAGGAATATCCTGCCATCAGCATATGCCTGTATCATGAAAGAGTATGCTCTTCCTAAAAAAAGCAAAAATCAAGAGAACGCGTACTCGGATTTTTCCTACCTATTCTCCATGCTGGTTGATCTTCGCCCATTTTTTAGCTCAATGTGTAAAATGGCTATCTCCTCAACAAACATCTCAAAAATCATTTTCACTGTTCTGAATTATTTCTCTATAGTTGTAGGTTTTTTTTTACGTATATATTTCTTGATTCTCAGGTTTTCAAAGTGCCCTCCAGACCCACCTGAACCAGATCTTGATATGGAGGTTGTTGAGGATAGTGATACTTCAACAGACTCGGAAGGGGCAGGAGAAGAAAGAGCTAAAACTCTTTTGAGGTTCCAAGAACAGGTAATTTTGAAAATTTTCCATCTCGAGATTACACCCCCTGTTCTTTACACGTGATCATCAAATTTTTATTGTCATAAATTCGAAGTTTTCTTCCTTCAAAACCAAGCTACCTAGGTATCATATCTTAGTCATGTTTTGAAAATAGAGTATTTTCCTTTTTAATAAGACCTCAGCGCTTTTTGACAAAACATTACAAAGCTACAGAAATATATTTAACCATTGTGTATGTCCACCAATCAATTTTCAAAGCAAATGTCTATAGATACCTTGACTGAAAGTTTCATTTTAAAGACATCGTGCCCTGAAGGCCATACAACATGTGGTGGTCAAGAGTAAAGAAATCTAAGTGATGCCCTTCGATTTTCAAGCCTTATCTTTTCTTTTCTGATTGCTCATGGTCAATGTCTTCAGTTTTTCTTCTGGAGTTAATCACTTCTATTTCTACTCCTTTTTCAGGTCAAAATGATGCAGGAACAAATTCGAGAACTCGTGGAGGAAATCAGTAGGAAAGGAAAGAAAAAAGCAAAGAAGAAAAAGAAAAAAGAGCAAAAAGAACTTAATAGTTTTTCAAATAATGTATCTCTTAATAATCACGTACCAGCTAATTTAGGACAAACAAATTATAGTCTTAGCAACAATATAGGTAATAAAAAATCAAAAAAAGGGCTGAGCACGCCTGCTGCTAACAAGAGTTACAGCAGTAATTTAGTGAATAGCACGGTAGATAATTGTGTATTAAGTCCAGAAACGGAATTTCCACCCGTCTCTGCGGGAGGTAGGAAGCAGGTAGCAGCAAGTTTACCGGCAATGCCATTGACAACGGGTAAAGCAGTAAAAACCAAGGCAGCGACAAAACAGGCTCCAGTGAAGACTCCAAATAATACGCAAGCGCCGAAGAAACCTAGAGCTAATTATGCAACCAAAGCTCCCAATAAGAAGAAGGGCCCTGCAGCAGCCGCTGCGTATGACTCAGAAGATGAAGACAGTGCAAAGCCCATGTCATATGATGAGAAACGGCAGCTTAGTTTAGACATCAACAAATTGCCAGGTAAACTGAAAGTTGTGCTCCTCATTGTATCATCTGAAATGCATTACAATATAATTCTGTCAATGCTTAGCATTAGATGAATGTAGGGTGTTTTTTTCCCCTAATCATACTCAAGTATACTCAATCATTTAAAAATAAGATATAAAATGACTGTTACCAATATAACTGAGGGTAAGCCATCCAGTCAATTACGCTTCAAAATTAATTATTTATAAACTTTGTTTGAGCTTAAGTAGCCTACAAGTTTAATTATAGAGTGCCTGCAGCCTGATTGTTGAAATTTTGTGTTTGTCGGATGGACATGGATGACAAAGGCTGAATGGCGAAGCGTGATTGGTCGGCTATGTCTTATCGTTGCTTTGTCGATTAAAATGGATGACATACTGTTGGAAACTCAAGAGGTACCTTTAGTTTGTCGTCCATTCCAATGGACAAAGCACGACAAAGCAGCGATAAGACATAGCCAACCAATCACGCTTTGCCATATAACCTATGTCATCCGTGTCCACCCGACAAACACAAAACTTCAAAAAAGTTTCCAGTCATACAGATAAAAAGAGCTGAATTTTAAGTAAAGTAGTGAAGATAGGTAAGAAATTAAACTCTCAATTGATGGATAAAATATGTCATGCAGGTATCTCAAAGGTCACGTCCATAAATTTTGCTCTTAATGTACAGGACCGCCTAGTACTACAGCGGACAGTTTTCCCGTTTTTTTTATGTAAAAAAAATTGTTACCAAATTCCAGAGGCTGCTTTCAGTGCCACTTTAAATTGCTGTGGTCAGTTTTGATTCGTACAGGTCCACTTTTTGCCCGTCATTTAGAACAAGTTGGGTTTAAATAGTTTTCCGTGAAATGCAGAACCTCGCATGCACTTTTTGAATTACTTTGGTTTTGAGCATCCGATGAGAAGAGATGGAACTTTCTTCATGAGGTCAGGAAGTTCTTGAGAAAATTATTTTAATCTACAGAGTTTGTTTTTCCGTATCATCTTTACAAAAAATATTCAGCTGTTGCAGATCTAGTGCTCTAATCAGGGTGGCTAATGAAGTGAAAAACTCAGGGAATGCAACTCGACAGGGAAAAGTCAAGAAATTTCATTAGGAAAAATCAGGGAATGATAAAATTAAATTGTGTCAGCCACCCTGTCTAATGAGGCTATACAACTCTACTTTCGAGCGGTGTAGCCCAGGTTGATTGGCTACAACTAGATGACCTATTAAAAAGCCCTCATTTTCAACTAATCGTCATGTAGAATAATGGCTAAGAATGTAATTTGTACGATCAGTCCTATTGAAGTCTCTTTTAAGCTTCTTTGCAAGTAAAATACTAGAACGAAATCCTTCCTATCAATATTTCTATATTTTGTTTAAATCTTTTCAGGAGACAAACTCGGTCGTGTTGTGAACATTATTCAAACTAGAGAACCTTCTTTACGCGACTCAAATGCAGATGAAATAGAAATAGATTTTGAAACATTAAGGCCATCTACTCTTCGGGAACTTGAGGCTTACGTTGCCTCATGTCTACGTAAAAAGCCACGGAAACCTTACAGTAAGTTGAAGTTCTTTGTCAAAATCCATCCTAGTTTATTTTTTTCTTTATACTCAAGATTTCTCATGATGTTAAACTTTTTTTGTGTTATGTACAATAAACAGTACATCTTCGAAGCCATGCACATTGAAAGCTCAAAAGTAATGAGCTACAGAATGCTCTTTGTACCCATTAAAACATGTTTTCTACCAGGGCTCCTTCTTTACAATCAAATCATCAAAAAAATCAGAGGTTGGACTGGTTTTATATTAATTGCATGATTTTAATGGCAAGTCATACTTTTTGACGTATATTGATCAGACTATATTTGCTCAGATTTGGGTATCAGCAAACATACTTTCAGTATAGATCTTAACATCAACAGTAAAACCTCAAGATAATAGTCTACATTAAAGGACTTTTTTTTATATAACGACAGTTCGTGTTAATCCTGTTAAAATTTCCCATAGTCTAGATGTATTTTTCTTTCCGAGTAAAAACGTTGTGGTGCACTTGGATTTGATTTACCAACTATTTCAACAAACAATAATGGATTAAGAGGTTGTTTTTTGCGAAAAACTTGGGCAGTATTCCAGATCCAATCTTGTTGCAATGTTGTTAAGAACTGAACGCAGTGCTAATGTATGTAGTAAAGACGGTTTTCTGTCTTGCGCATACAGCACACAGGGAGGTACTCCATACCATGATGTCCCACCAACCGGGTACTTCGCTAGGAACACCAAACATCCAGAATGTCAATTTTTTGCTCTTAACCCATTGACTTACAATGACGGCTCCCAGCCGTCATCGCAGCGCTGGGCCAGCTCTGAAATGACGGCTCAGAGCCGTCCTCTGATTGTTCGCGTTATTTCGGCAATTTTCCGCTAGACTGCGTTCTCATCAATGTTTATATGAGTAGTGTGGCCACCCTATGACTTATTGTGTACGGTAATTTCTTGTTTTGTTACGGTATTTTCATATTACTGTGCGTTTGCACATGAAATAACCTCAAAATTTTCTGATTTTCGCTGATCTTGCGATTTTTGCGATTTTGACAGCTATAAACCACATAAAAAAATCAATGTGTTCAAATTTTTCACCATTTTTCTCAAACGTTGTATTGAGAATGCTTATTTTGTCAATTTTTACCCTTTGAGAAATAATTTCTGGATTATTTTGAAGTGTTCAAAGTTGCTGATTTTCGCCAAATTAAATCGTAATTCCTGGCCCGGCAGGGTCAAATTAAATCATAAGTCAATGGGTTAATGTTTGCACCAAGTGGAATGTGAAATGGTAGTGTTTTTAGTTTTCCAAATTTCGTTCCTAAACCTATCACTCTAATTTTTTTGTTTTTCTTTTCTCTTTTATAGCAAAGAAAGTAAAAGGAAAAGAAGAAGTATCGCCGGAAAAAAAGAATGCCCTAGAAAATAAACTACCAGCTGCGCAAGCAAGCAAAAAACCAAAAAAAGGTTTGTTACTGAATCATAATAAAATGTAGTTAGCTTAAGTCATTGTTTTAAAGTATTTGATTTTTGAAAACGTGTTCCATTTTCGTTGTGCGTTAATGGATCAAAAGCATTAATTTTGGGATTTTTTTCATCAGGATTTTTTTTTTTTTTTTTTTTTTTCAGGGTTTTGTTTTCTCTTTTAGACATTTTCATGTTGCTTTAATTAACATCTTGAGATCATACCAAATAGTGTCTTGGAAAGTTTTAGTGATTACAATCACTGGGTTTCCTCTTTTTATTCGTAATTTATCACTGTCCATGAGTGGGACTTTAGTGCAAAAGAATTAAGATATTTGCTCCACTGTACAGAAGAGATTTTACAAATATGAGCCTGTTCAGCTCTATGCCCAAGTATTCTTAGATCGTGCGTGACATCATTTCCAGAGTAAGCCTAGCGGATGCTGCGTACATACTCTAGGCTTTAAATGTTCCAAGTTTTTTTCCATGATAGTGCTATAGCAGTGATTGAAACTGTCAAAGGTATGTGGCAATCTGTTGAGGATAATTTGAATTGTTACTGGAACTGAACAGAGAGCGTGCCAATTTTTTCACAAAAGGATACATTTTATCTGGTTCTTCCTGGTCCGTTCATGCTGGAGCCCAATTCTTGAAAACAGATGTTTACACTTCATTTTCTTTGTCAAACGAATCTTCATTCCATTGCTTTTTTAGAATTTCTATCTTCAGTTTACTCAACCTTCAGTTTGATAGTTATGCCACATTAAGTACAGGCTCAAACCTTGAGATCGTAAATGTGGGTTATTTTTACATGATCTACAACTCTAAACATAGGGTTGAGGCTCATTCCTAGGCAATCCTAACCCAGGCATGAATAGGTTGATGTCGATCCTAACCAGAGCTATGCCCGCTTGCAGTTCAAGCAACATAGCTCAGAAAAAGCCACAAGTTTCAATTGATCATCCATGGGGCTTGCAATTGTCAATTAAAAATGTAAGTTTACTCCCTCCATTTGCATAAAAATGAACAAATCAGTTATCAATTTACTTGTTGGGATACCAGTGAGGGCCTCATGTTTATAAGTCTAACTTGAATGTTCTGATAAACGTTAAAAAAATCGCTCTCTTGAAATACTAGCCTTCGCCCTCCAAATTTCCTTGTTGAGGCGACATGCACATTCCGTTATCAAGAGACCAACTTGAATAATTATCATTAGTTCGGTTTCTTGGTGCCTTTTTTTTTATTTTTATTTTGTCAATTACTAATTATAGCAGCTGTAAATTAAATTTCCTTTCTTCTCGTTTTGCAGAAAATAAACAAGTTTCAAATAATCTAGGAAGGTTCGATGATGAATCTAGCAGTTCAGACTCCTCATCCTCCAGTGCCAGTTCATCCTCATCAGATACTAGTGACTCGGAAGGAGGTAATTTTTTTGTTTTTTGGCTTTTTAAATTTAACATTTCTCGCTTGCATTTGATGTATCACAAGTTTTGTGTTTTGTCTCTTTTCATGAAGATGAGGAAGTTTTTATAAAGAAAAATGGCTTTACTACATCCCTTGGAACTAATTGAATAAGCTGAGTGTCTGCAGGTCTGACAGACAGGGCATTATTGGGGAATTTCGTGAGGTCAGGGAAACCAGGGAAAAGACTGAAAATTTGAAAAATCTTGAAACTTAAAATATCTGTGCGATTCATGCAATCACACTGAGTCTCATTGTTAGTTTGGTTTATGTCCCTCCCACTGCAAAGACATTAATGTGAGCTGATGTAAGAGCACAGATCAACTGTAAGTTCACTCAAGATTGAAAACACTTTTGATCCTGTTTCAGAGTGTTTTCCACCGTTTGTGAAAGTTTGCCTTTTTCTTGTGCGTTTCACTGGTGTCATAGAAACAAACGCACAAGAACACAAATGCTTGTCTTATGTCATTTTGATTTAAAATGTTTTCTCCATGCCACTTAACACACAAAGAAAGAGTATATTAAGAATTTGAAGAGCCTCTAATCTGTGACAAAGACTGTGATAATTTTAGTGGTAGTTTTCAATGAGGATTTCAAGCGAGCAGTTTACCAAAATTCGAAGAGGTACACCTCATTTAGATTGAGCAAAGTTATCCAGATTTGGTAAAAATCAAAAATATGGATCGTTCTAAATCTATAGAAATGGGTTGCAGGATCAGGTATTTTCTCATCGTTGAACAGGATTTAATACTGTGAATTCTTGTATTCTTACAATTTGACAGAAATATGGTTCAGTATCATCCCAATATTACTGTAAGAGTATATTGCAATAAATGCTATCCTTCTTAGTTTATTCAATGAATTTCATTTTGTGCCCTTTAATATTGATGATGAAGAAATGATAAAGAATTTATTAGAAAAGGCAACTATGTAGTGTTACTAGGATCGTTTTTAAGCGTCTTTCTTATGATCAATGTTTTGTCACTTTACAGGCCATGATGGGCACCTAAAGAAGAAGAGTGTAAAGAAGACGAACCAAGTTGTAAGTATTGATCGAACGTCTTGAAGATCAGTTTGCTGTTCTCTTTTTGTTCTGATCCTTTGTACAAAATATATGTGTCCCCTCTAGAAAATGTTCAAATGCTCTATTAGTTAAATCAATCACAGTGTATGAATGATTAACAGCCTGATCAACGATGAAACCCAATGAAGTGAAATTACCACCAAACTGTTTCGTAGTTGCTCTCTCGTAGCTTTGGTGCATCAGCTTGAGTTCTAACTTGGAATTCATATTGAGGTTTTAATCCCCCAGTTTTTTTACTCAAAGCACATTGTGACACCTCTGACCTCTCTTTCTGACGCTCAGTTTGACACCTTGTTTTACTTTAAAAAAGTGTCGTCTTTATACTTAAATAAATCAAGTTAGAAGCATGCTTTTATAAGCATTTGTCTGTGACAGAAAATCAATGGCAGATATGATTTTTTAGAGAAGCCAAAAATGTTGGCTCCCTTTAGTTAAGCTCAGCTCCATCATCAAGAGGATTTGAACAAGAAAATCGTATAAGCACTTTACTGTGACTTGTAAACTGTCTGAAAAGTGATCTGTCCTCCAGAGTCCACGATGGATATTGCTGGCCTCTGCTTGCACCAAAATGCAAAGTCAGAAGTCAAAATGAAAGTTTTGGTCAGCTCAGCAGTTGCATAAGCGTAAGTTAACGCACCACAGATTGATTTTGACTTGGAAATCTTTTGAAGATCATTGTGCAATGAATGTTTGTGTGCAGTAAGTCTTCAAAATAATTTTTGATAAAGGAAGTGGATGCAGCATTATTGTTAGTGTTTTAGTTGGTCTCTGTCTAATTATTGACTTTTTTTTGTTATTGAATCAGAATAAAACTGGTGCTGAAACGAGGTCCGTCCCAACGCTCACAATGAACACAGCCACTGGCGGAATTATTAATAAACCGCAAATACCTCCCCCTGTAACCGTAGCAACTCCTGTAACTTCCAGTGTTCTTCCTCCAACAACAACAACTTCACAACAAACACCTGGTAATTTTCTTACATTTATTTAGATTGGGTTGCACTTCGCTTTTAAAATTGTATTGTTGCCCACTCCCAAACTAAAAACTAAGATAAATTCCGGGCACTTTAAGTGATTCAAGTTTAAACAGTGTCAATAAAAAATTCAAGAAAATTTGGAAAGTATAATCTTTGGCCGTATCTTTGTTAATGATGCAGTAACTTTAAGTTTGGAAGTATCTCATTATTTTTACTGAACTATTAGTTGCCTTAATGATCAAATGACGAGTGAAATAAGGGAACCATTGGATAAAATGCATCAAAGAGAAGTATTCTTACGGGGCTTTTAAATATCGTACCCTTGTGGAACCTTCAAAAATTGAAATTCTTAACTTTCAAAAGAAGACATTTCTTTAGGACGATCAGGAACCCTAATTTTTCTCTACTTGTTCTTGAATTTTAAAAAAGCGCCAAAAAGAGTCATCCTGGGAAACATTTCAAGGTATTAAAGTGAATAAGACAATCAAAGCAAGTGCTCGTTGATGTTCTGAATTTTCATCCTCAAGTGGGACTCGAATAGGTTCACCGGTTTAGGGGCCCTTTTTTTTTATTACAATTTTAAACTGAGCCCAATCATCATTAATTAACTTTTTTCAGCTGCGCCAGCTGTGAAGAAAGCAGTATCTGTGATTGCAAGTCGGCAAGATCAGCCAGATGTTAAACCGGTTGTTGTTGAGCCTCCAACTGTCCCTCAATTTATTCCAGCGGTGGTGAAAGTGGAAGCAGGTAAAAATTTCAGGACACTTGACTATTTTTTCTTTTATGTAATTATTTCCATTTCCAATGCACAAGCACTGTTGATTTCATGGAGAGTGGTCTCACAAAAGCAGGAAGCTAAAATTTTGAAAAATAGGGCGTGCATGTTCCAAGAGTTCAGGAAGTTCGGAAGAACTGCTGTAATTACATAGTTAGGGGGAAGCACTTCAAAATTACGGAAATGTATAAATGGTCTGGATCTTTTTTGCCATGCTTTTGTAAAAGTGATCACCTTAGAGTTAAGCGACAAAAAACTCCAAGAATGCGTCGTAATGAAATGCCTGAGCATAGTCTGCCAGGTCAGCCATTCTGTGAGATGCACATTAGATAGTTCAGATGATAGCCATCAAATGGTGTTAAAGTGCATTGCACCTTTACTTCAGGCTTGAATTGATTATTTGATAGATACTGATTCATTCCTATAGTCTTGAAAAGCCTTAATTATCGATCAGATCCAAGTTGGCGCAATTTTTCAAATCTATCTGCAACCAATAAAGTAACCTGCTGTAGTACTTGGTAGCTCGTCAATGTCTGGAGAGCGTATGACAAAAAACTACTTACAGATTGATGTTGTCATCAAAACTTGTTACTATCAACAGGCAAAGAGACGTTAGTTGAGTTTTGGACTTTAGAAAAGCTGATAATCAAAATATTTTCTAACTGTGATGATTTTTTATTCCGGCAAAACAGTGACCTGCTTGAGTCGGCAGAATTACTCGTTCCGCGCTGGCTAAAAATAAATTTTATTCATTCTACAAGCATTAACTTTCTTGTTATTTTACAGAATCCACTGCATTGGCACCAAGTAAAACAGAAGTCAAACCTCCAGTGCCCCAACACAATACTGCACCTGTAGTTCCAAATATCACCTCAACAGAGCCTCCAGTTCCCATTCCCAGCGTGGTGGCAGTCCCAAAAACGGAGGTTGAGTCGCCCTCCACAACTCAGTCATGCCCCATCCCTCCCTTGCAAATGCCTCAACCATCAAATGGTAGCATTAGCAATCCAATCAATTTGTTAGTGCAGCCGCCTAAAGAAGAAAAACCGTCCTTTGCTGAAGGTAAGATCTTAAGTTTGACTTTGGTGGATCGAATTAGACAGCTGGGGAAAAAAAGGTGATGACGAATCTATTTTAAGCATCGAACCTATCCTATGTCTTTAATTTAGCAGACCATGAAATCTTCATTTTAAACTTCAGAAAAATATTGCTATTTATGAAAACTTTCAATTTGGTGCAAAATTATCTCTCCTGTAGATCGGAAACGATGGAGGTTACAAAAAATGAATAAAAATACAGAAGACTTGTGTCCCGCAAGGTTCCAATTTTGGATCTGTCATTTCTGATGTATATTAAGACTATCCAGATACATATATGCCAGACTATCTTGCAGGTGAGTTGTTGGCATTGGTATCGATCTGCAAACAGAAATTTATGCGGACACCATTAATGTAGTGATCAAAGGCACTGATACCGTGATCAAAATTCGCCTGGCCATTTCCAGAGTGAGAAAGTGGGCTGAGGCAAATAACCTAATACTAAACTTTCCAAAACCCTCTACTTAAAGTTTATCGAATTTGTGTCAGCCTCCAAACCAATCAATTTTAAGATCATGAAATTATGACAGACCAAACTATAAGGTACTATCAAGGATTCTATATCGATCCGTTACTAAAATTAAACTCCCCTATGAGGCTCACAGGAAGCCAAATTGCAAGTAGATAATATGGAATTAGAAAACTTTCAAGGGAAACCGACAGAAACTCCCTCATGGTTTGTAACCATTTAAATATAGAATCTATGGCATTCAATTATGGGGCCAAACAGTACTAGGGAATCAGCGATAGTTAATTTATTAGATATTTTTGGGGCCTCCCCATTTTCGCATGTGACGAATTATTACCTGCCGAACGTATGTTCAAGAAGCTTTTACACCCTAGTACTGTAAAATGCTTGTCATTGTTGCAACTTGTGTCGTTGCAAATTGGTGTGAACACCATGTGTTTAAAATTCGCCTTACACTACATTTTTTTTCATATCATGACCGATTAGGAAGTAGTTTTTTTACACAGAATCATTTCAACAGTTATCGTATTGTTTTTTACTTGAACAATATTGGTTTCTTGATGATGAAGTTGTTTGTAACTATTATTGAAATTAATGTTGCAGCTCCCACGAGCACATCAAATTCCTTGCCAGAACCTGCGAAACAAAATAGTGTGAGCTACAATAACAATAATACACCTTCCTACAGACCAAAGGTAAGTCCGGGAACTATCCTTCCAGCAACATTCAATTTTTCAAAATTCGTATAGAAACCCGTGCCTACCAACCCTATATGAAGCCTCATATGTAAAAACAGCGGATATTGTGTTTTTAAATTTTGAGAAAATCGTGTCCAAAGTTTTCAAAGCTGTGCACTTTAAAGTCTATGTAGCAAATACAGTTCGGTCAAAGAATCTATTACAGGACAAATCCTCCTATAAAATTAGCCCTAGAAAAAATTTAAAGCAAATTTCAAAGAGATATAGTGATTTTATAAAATGACCATATCTGCTATTTTTATGGAGACCTTCTTTCAAGGCATAAAATGGCATAAAAAGGCATATGAATGGCATAAAAAGGCAACTACCTACCTAGCTAATGCAAAAGAGGTAGACCAATTGATATTGATCAAGTCATGATGACTGCTGAGTTTTTTTAATAATTTTTCGAAAAAAAAAATAAATATTTGGCAAAATAATAAAAAATAGGGAACAAACTCTATTATCAGTCTCTTAAAATAGGGAAAAAATTAAAAAGGGTGCCAAGTTTAAGGGACTTTCATGGTATAAGATGTTTCATTTTGGTTTTAAAATGTTTGTTCCTCTTTTGCAGCTTCCAGAACAAAACTTAAAAAATGCCAGCTCATGGTCATCTTTAGCCCAATCCTCACCATCAATGCTGGTACCCCCAACCCCTCCCCCCTCAGCTGCTCTAAAGTCAGCGGTAGCGGATAGTTTCCAGGCATTCAGGGAACAAGCCAAGGAACGTGCCAAAAAAGTAAGTTATCTTGTAAACTTCACTCTTTCAAATTATCAATGTGAAAAATGCAGGGTTTCCGAAAGGTTCTAGTCCGTTCATTTGAGAACCGTTTTCTTCTTTCTTTTTCTTTACTCTCTGATTATGAATGCAATTTTGTAAAGAATCATGCGCAGTTTTCAAAATCAAATGGAAACCGGGTTTCCCGGTATTTGCAGCCTTCCTATTACAGCGCTCGGCCTGCTAATAGTGTGGTTGAGAAGTTTTTGCACTGATGTCTTCTTGTGTGGATGATGGCCCATGCATAGAAATGTCGCTACTATTTTATCCACAGCATTAATGCGAATAATTATTAAATAGATAAGTTACCATGATAATTTGATAACCTTAACTGTACCTGGATTTTTAAGATCTAAAATGTCATAGAATTTTGAGAAAGAGGATAAATGCTTTGTACAGAAGTCCTATAATTTTACTGAGTGGGTTGTCTTTGTTGACAGCAGACCAGGTGATAGAAACTTCAAAAACTTCGAATAGCATCTCCCATCTCTTTCAGTCATGAACTAGCTTATTTACGTAGGTTGTGGAATGTTAAGACATAGCTGCTGAAGTTTGCTCTGCTTAAAAACTAATTCTTAAAGAACATTTTTTAACTGTTCTCTTTATTCTGTTTCAGGAGAGAGCCTTAATCGAACAACAAGAGCTACGAAGAGCCCAAAAAGAGCAAGCAGAAAAAGAAAGATTACGTTTAGAAAATGAAAAACGGAAGGAGAGGGAAGAAGAAGAAGCTTTAGAAAGAGCAAGGTATTGTATCATGCATCTCATCCAAAGTTATGTCAGGAATTTTCTTCCAACAATTGTCCATTCTTTTACTACCATGATGTGTTTATTTCATCCATTTTTATCATCCCATTCATTGGTTACAATCATCAAATGGTCATCATCAATTACCGTATGATTGTCTACGGGGGAGAAAAGGTCTTAACATTGAAAAACTAAAAAATTTGATCAAATTTGTAAATCGCAAATGAAAATTTTGTCAATTTTTTTTATTAAATTAAAATTCTAATCAATTTCTTTGCATTGCATTCAATCTGAACAGGGTGTCTACAAGTCTGGAATTTCCGGAAAGTCCGGAAATAGTACGGATTTCTTAAGGGCGGTCTGGAAGTATTGAAAAAGTGCGGAAATTCCGCTAGAAGGTCTGGAATTTATTTTTAATTTGTTGTGATTTTTGTCGCAATTCGAGCGAGAAATTTGAATTTTTAAAATTTTTTGAATTTTGTCAATTGAAGGTACTGAAAAAGTACTAAATGTTTACTGTCGAGGAGGTATTGAAATCTTGGGAATGCACTGTAAAAGTACTGATTTTTGGCCAGCCTGTTTTAGTAGACACCCTGCTGAAATAAAATTTTAAATTTTAAAGATCTGAAGTGCTCCTTGAACATACAAGGTCGATAAATGGCCATTAAAAATGTCCTCTTTTTGTCACGCACAAGTGATGCTTCTTGCAATAACATGTAATTCAATTCCAAAATTCTTATGTTCGTTTTTCGTTTTGTAGAAAATCAGTTGCGGAGCAAAGCAGAGTAGAAGAGGTTAAAAGTGTAAGTCAAGTTGAAGATATCACAAGCCCAGCTGCACTTCAGAGAACAGAAAATTCTGCTGCTGCCGAACGGGAAAGGTTAAGGAAACGAGAACAAGAACGCAGGAGAAGAGAAGCGGTAAGTATTCTAAAATTTTCTCCTCAGAATGTCTGTTGGTTTGAAAAGTTTGAGGATCCTTGAAAAAAGTCCTTATTCTTTTAGGTGGGTATGATTAAACTTAAAAATTATGAAACTTGTATTCTTAGTTCAGAACCATGTACAAAGTTTCAGAAAATTTATTGGAATAAGAGCAACTTCGAACCATGCTTAGTAATTGTAAAAGAATAGGTGCTTAATTTTCTGAAAGGATGTAGGTAGACATTCTGTCTTTTTACCTTTAAAAATTTATGACGAAAATGTGTAACTATTGTGATTGCACAAGCCCAAGATGTCAGCTTTGATGGTTGAAGTTTCCGAATCAAGTTTTGCCTTTGTGAAGTCATAAGCAGTCTGCTTTTTTGCCACATTTTTTTCCCTCTTTGGTTCGTACAGCAGCTTCTCTTGTAAAAAAATTTCCTGATCTAACCGTATCTTTCTTCTTTCCTCTCTGTTTTTAGATGGCCGGCCAGATAGACATGAACCTGCAAAGCGATCTGATGGCAGCATTTGAGGAATCCTTATAAAGTGTATTTTCGTGGCAATGCTTTTGTGTGAAACTGATTTCTATTCGTGAGAATCACATTTGTTTTTGTTTTACTCAAACAAAATTTAGGAACTCCAGGATTGTAATCTACACTTACTGGACTAAGTAACTAAAGTAATTTATTTACATAATATTCATGATCACTTTAATTTTTTTTTCTCTTTTTTTATGCATACATACTTATATTTAAAGAGATTAAGGGAAAAGACTGTTTTTTCTGTTATTTTACTTTGATCTTATAAATCTAGACTTTGTTTTATCTGTAAATATTTTGTTTGTACAATTCTTATAACATGTCAATTGGCTGTGGATATCATTATTAATATTTATTACACCTTTCAATCTGTGTCTTGATTCTTCTTATTGTGAAGTCAAGTAGATTTTACAATTCTTGTCTACTCAATGGTACACCCGACCCTGCATTTTAAATTCAGAGTGGTGTGTTCAATCTTTGTGTGTTTGTGTAGGTATGATTAATATGCCCGTTTATATTGCTGTCTTGTGAGCCCCTTATTAGTTTAAGATTACCAAGAAATTATTTTGGATGTAGAAAAATATAAATATGTTCATTCTCAAGGAACTGGCAGGGAATAAGTGCTATAGGGTGGTAGCTGCCTGAAATAGTTAGAGAATCAATGCTGAGACCTACATTTTATGATACTTTCAAGAGAAACTCTCTGGTCAGAGAATTTTAATTTCTCTAATTCTGCTGCAGAATCTAAAATTTGTCTGATGTTCAAGAAAAAAAGTTAGGAAATTTATTCCTAAGGTTTCCACTCCCTACATTTCCCATGTTTACTTACAAACTTCAACCCCTTCTCTTTTATTTGTCTTCAATTTGGGATAAAGAGCCTTTTTTCATTTTTCTGGTCTTCTTTCACCTTGAGTCTCATGCGTTGCCCTTGCAAGCAAACTATGCCTTATGAACTCGAAAAATTGTCAATCTTTACTAGATATTAGATTTTCGTTATTGCTGAAAACAGTAAAATGTTTAGTTGCTTTTTGCACAAGTAAGGAAACTTTCAAAAATGGTATTTTGCCCATTTGTTTATCTATTTTATACTTCACTGTTTAGAGCTTGTTATTTTGTAGACTCTCTGTCACCCAAATTCAAGATATTTTGTTCCGGGCTTTTGCATGCTGTAATCTAATAAGTGTTATTAATCTCTAAAAATGTGACCTATGAGGTTTACATCAATTGCAGGGACAACTCTTTTGACCCCTTTAAATGGCATCAAGTTTCTAACAGGGGTGCAAAAATAGTAGATCTTGCAATCCATGAATCACAGTAACTGTGAGCTGAATCTGGGAATACACAAAAAGGAAAATCATAACCTCCAAAAATAGGTTCTAAAATTTAGGAAGTTTGTGTCAGAGATGATGCAAATCTCTAATTTTGCCACGAGTAGAAATGGTCGCCATTTTGGAACTTCTTGCATCTCTGTTATGCGACAGGCTTTGTTGTAAGGGTAAAAAAGAAATTGACATTAAAAACCAACTGCCTGAGCGGCTAGTCTTGCTGAGCCCACAAGGACTGGATGCAGGATGAAAGTTAGGAGGAACGGAACTTTGATCATGTTGAAATGTGCGACGGAATTTTCGAATAGAAGTATATTTCAAAATCTTATTGAATAAAATTCAAGTTTCTAATATGCCTGCCCGTAAATTCTCAGGCAAATAGTTGTCCTTGTCTAATGGCTTTTGAACTGTCAAACAGCATTGTTGAAGGGAAAGGTGGACATTTTGATAATGGAAACTTTTTGCCCTTTTGAAAGGTGATTATGGGGGATATTAAGCAAAATAATTTATGGAAGAAAAAAAGAAAATTGAGAATAATATGGTAGGCTTTTCGTGGTTTTTACGCTCCTCATGGTTATTAGCTATCAAGTTTTGCTGTTACCGAGGCTCTTGTGAAGTTAAATTTTTTGCCTTCAAGGCCATGGAGAAATTTGCTCTTCAGAGACTTTTTTTGCCAATACTATCCTCGAAAGATCTAACATACGAACCGAGTTTAATGGAGAGGAGCTAATGTTGTTTGGTTTATTTTAAAACCGTTGTATCTGCCTCTGATTTCCCCGAGGAAGTAGGTGTTATTGTAGTTGTGACCATTGACTTCGCTCCTTTCTGTTTAATCCAATCCAAGCAATGAATCCCTCACATTTTTTAGAACATCACATGCTCCTCTAACTCACCTCCTCCTTCACAGAAAACATACATCTCTAATAGCAATCGAAGAGGAAGAGGTTGGATGCCCTCATTTAGTTAGCTGATTACTTTGGTCTCAAGTTTAAATTTCATTAAGGTGTTCGAATTTTAAAATTTTATCTTGATCATTCAAATGATTATGGAATAGTCTTAATAGGTCATTTAAGGTATGTAGCAGTAAAATTCTTCCGTCATTGTCTTTTTGTAACAACATTTCAGACAGCTCTTTCACTGGTATTTGGGCCTACATGAGACTGATTTTTTAGATTAAAGCTTCCTTGGCCCAAGCTTTCTCTGTAAAATGTTTACTAACTTCTCATCTTGGGACTTTTCTCTCTTTCTCTTTTTCTACTCTGAAGATAGTCATTCACTGCTTCAAAGCTGATTGACTGTATTCTTGGTTTGACGTCCGATCTTGAGCTCTCAAGAACCCATTGGTGACAGAAACCATCAAGAAACAAATATGAATATAGTCCTTGAAGTAATTCGACTTCTTACATTATAAGCAAGCTTTATTACTTACTAAACTGTATGAATTATTCCCCATGGCATGATGTAGCCAAGTTTCCAATGCCAGAAAATGATGAGTCAATCAGATGAAAGTCAGAATTTTCAATGGAACTTGACTGCAGCCTATTTCAATCTCACTTTGCGTATGATTTTTGAATATCATTATTACTTAGGAAATGAAGCCTTGTAACTTTGATGATATTGTAATGACTTGTCCTCTTAATTTTTATGGAAGTTTTCTAAGTTGAAGTAACTGTAAAGCGGCCCCAACAGGATTAGCAACTATGTAGAATATTCTTGCAATAGTTAGTTAAAATCGACAAAAGCTTGCTGTTGACGATAGAATGAAAGACTGTGTAGTTTCCAGACATCTTAAAAATAGATCCTCAGGTAGGATGCCTTTGTGTGAAAAACCACAAATTTTATAGCCGTGAGAACATGGTGAATAGTTATTAGATGATTATTTACTGGAATATTTTGGTGAAAGTAAGCCTTGCTACATAGTTTTATCAAGTTACAATCTATCGCTGTCATTGTAATACACTAGTTCAACCATCTTTATTAAATATGTATCTGTTTGTAATTGACATCTGTTGATTTCTTCAATTTGTATTAACATCAAAACAAAATCAATCAATAAGTCATAATTGTATCATTTTATGAGTATAATGCTGAGACATCATCACGTGCTAATTCTTCATATCAACAAGCCAGTTTTGTTTGTCTGTCAAACTGGCACCCCTTCAGAACTGAACTCAGATGAAAATTTTTTGTAAAGTAGTATTAGAAGGGAAATACACAATTAATTTGTCAATGTGACACAATATCTTATAAATTAATGGTATAATTGCTGTAAATGTCCCCTGTCCTTCTTGTAACAAGAAAATGGCTCTCCTCTGAAATAACTTTTGTTTGCGTTAGTTATTGTGCAAGTAAAACTCACCCCTGATCGAACTATTTGATGCTGATTCTGTTGAATTCTATCATTTAGGTGTAAATATTTGTTTGACATAGTTCAATTTTTGTTCAATTTTGTACATAAATTAAAAAACAACAAAATCATACGACTATTTTATTTCTGCTTCCATAGTTTTTTAGTAACTCACTACTTTTTTTTCCTCCACTATTCTGTTTCCATTGAACACTTTCTCTCGTCAAAAATTATGTTATGTACCTGAAATCCTCTGCTTGTGAACTATTGTTTTAAAAAGAAAACAAAGCAACTCTTGTGATACTTTCTGTAAAATCTTGGACCGAGAAGAATATCCCAACAATATTGGAAGTAGAGCATTGCTTGGTTTTCTTGTAAAAAAAGAAATATGGGAAAAAATTAGGTGACGAGTAATAGGCCCAAGTAGCATCGAGCAACAAGCATATTGAAATAAAGTTGCAGTTTAGTGTAATAAAGTTGCAATTTTGTTTACTGTGAAATTGCTGTAATTTTATCTAATGTTCAAGAAATGCTGACTTTATGCGATTAATAAAATTAGATTCTTTTATTATAAAGATAGTTTATGTGCAATTTAAACAAAATTGAAACGCATTTCAATTTCATTGCGATAGAAGTCATGAAGAGATTACGATCAGTACCTAGATAGACAAAATACACAACACTCCAATGTAGTAGCAATAATTTCATCATGAAGTTACATAGCATTCTGTGCTACAAGAGTGATTAGGTTGATTCTGGTTCATGCCATTAAATTATTCAAATGCAAGGGTGTTTTATTTTGGCAGAATGGCATAACGCTGTCTTGAAATGCTTGAATTTATCTAATGCGGCAACAAATAAAGAGGTAAAATGATCACAGACGTAATAAATACACCAAATGTAGACAAACAATGTCTCAATTTAATGGGGTTTTTTTTGTAAACAATTAAAAAAGCAACTTGAACAGGTATACAAAAATAAAAAATGTAAAACTTAATGCACATAAACTGAGGGTTTAGGTTTGATCTAAAAGCTTATTTGATTCAATTGCAATAATCATGAAGAAAGGGTGTTTGAATTGCATCCTTCTCATCTCAGTATGAATTTACAAAAATTCAAAATATAAGGTAAAAAAATTACAATAATACTTAGAGGTAAAAATAAGTAAAGGCCACCTCAGGAATAATAAATTGCACAAATTGAATTAATTCAGCACCCAACTCATATTTCCTCAACTATCATTTCAACAGATAAATAAAATCGAAAAAAATCTTAACATAACGAGACAAAGCTGAGCTCTGATATAAAATACGCGAGATGTTTCTGGATGAAAACAATTCTTTTATCGAACAAAACATTAACAATTAATGGGATGGACAAAAAACCCATGCATCTGACCCTTGGTGTTGATAACTAATCAATGAAATGGCTTCTTTGAAGAAGGGCGTAACCGTCAAAAGTCCAGTTTAAATACAATTTTTGTTTGATGATCAGATCAGGTTGCAGCCATTTAATGTTGGGAATAAGTAAGTCTTGATATGTCCAACATTTACCAATAGAGCATAACAACTCTATGGAACATGGTCAGGAGAATTGAAATGAGACCAACCATTCTCTGACGTATTGTTTTGTCTTTACATAAACATCTCCGGTACATGTAAGACTATTATGAACCTAGGATCTTTAATTAATACATTTGTGGGAAGGGGGGGTGTGGTGAAAACAGCAAATAATCATTCTGCACAAAAAGGGAACAACTCAATACATACATATAACATTATGAATTTTACACATGAGGTCTAAACCTCCCAAAACAAAAATGCACAGAAAAAAATTAAATTGCTGATTTAACAATTCAATCGTTAGAAAAAGTGACTGCAATGTTTCAATGTACATTTTACAACAAAAAAATGATACTTTAACAAAAAAAAATGCTACTATAACCATCCCGGGGGTTAGATTAGCTTTCCACTTTTGTAAAATGTACATTTGAAACATTCGATCACTTTTTTTAACAATTGAATTGTTAAATCAGCAGTCCATCTTTTTCCGTGTGGATTTAAATAAAAATGAAATCAATAAGAGAGGGAACACAAGGAACTCCTCATCAATGAATTATATCAGTCAGTTCAAAAAAGATAAAACTTGATTTGTTAGTGATATTGACTTTTTTGTGTAAATTATTGGTATAGAGATGAACGCATATGGTGCCGAGAAATTTTTGTCTGTATCAAGACAGGGGGTGTCCAAAAGGATTGAACATCTCGAGGAATTGGGAGAATCCCTCTTAAACACCGTCTAAGATGAGGTTTTGGGGGTTTGAAAGTATTTTCATTGAATTCCAAAAGGTTGATTCGATCTCTCTCGCATCCAACATTCAAATTTATTCAACTGCTGACAATTTTGTTGGAAAATATAGTTCCATCACGGATACGCATCTGATTTTATGATAGTTGCAATGCTTTGACTTTGATTTAGATTGAAAGGAACAGCAAAAACAAAAACACTTCCTTTCCTCTTTTGCCGTCAAGGGTCTACTCTTCTCAGTTGGTCAGTTCAAAAATGGCCAAATTCAATGAATTTGACAAGTTTATTTGTTGCTTCTGAATGATATATTCACTTTAAACCAAATCGAGACATAAAGCCCAACAGAGGGTACTCTTAAACATCAGATAGTTCCCTCTACCTAGACTCTTGGCTGCTGAGCCACTTTATCAATACTAGAAATTTTTTTACAGAGAGGAGGCTGTTTTTGACTGATAGTTTCAACTGCGGGAAGAGAAATCTCCTGATGATCCCCCACTTTTTGATAAAAGCCGGATGTCTTTGAGAACAATGGACTTACTCACAGCTTTGCACATGTCATACACTGTCAATCCTGCAATAGTAACTGCTGTCAAGGCTTCTATTTCAACCCCTGTTTTCCCCTCACAACTAACATTAGATGTAAGTATTACAGAGTGACTAGCTAAATCCAATTCTGCTTTGACGTCAACTTTGGACAAACAGATATTGTGACACAGAGGTATTAGTTCTGGGACTTTTTTGGCTGCAATTATCCCTGCTAACTGAGCGACCGTTAAAACATCGCCTTTTTTGATCATGTTTTCCCTGATGAGGCTCATCAGTTGTGCTCCGATAACAACAATACACTGTGCGGAGGCACAACGTTTCGTGATACTTTTGGAGCTAACATCCACCATTTTGAATTTTCCATCCCCCTTTATGTGTGTCAAGTTCCTGTCATCCATTCTTTTTGAAGTGTGAAAATATCGTACGGCAGAGTGGCTCCAATTCTGTTTTCTACTCGGATACATTGTACATTGAGGACTTAGAAAACTAAACTTACTTTGACTGTCAGTGTATTCCAAATTAACGCAGCTAACTAAATTAATTTGGCTAGAGAAGCAACACAGATTGTCCATGTTCAGTTGCGGTGAAACAGGAACTGAAGATGTAGAATCCGGTACAAGGAATGGTGCGTGTGAATTGTTCGGAGATTCGCATACTTGTACAGGAGCTTTTTCAGGGCTCAGTTGGAATGATTCCTGACCAAAGAGCTTTAACAAGGTTGTTGAGCCATCTGGAACGAAAAACAACGCACGCTCTGTCATCCACCAATCAAAATCATGGGACGGTTTGGCATTTTCGCGAGATTGCTCATACCTGCTCGATTAAAAAATAAGAAGATGAAGTTTATATGCAACACAGTGGGTGAATTTTTTTGAGTAAGGCTTAAAAAAGTGCTGCTCAGCTCAATTCAACAAAACTGAAAAAATACTGTAGTCCATGACAGGTTTTCAAAGCCATCATCATTCATCAAAGGCTCATGTAAGGCATTTTTATTAATTAAAGAAAAAAAAAATAACCAAGGATTTTAAGGAACTTTCAAATTATTTTTTATTCCGACGAAAACATTTCTTAAGCCTTCCAGAATGCCTGAAAATAAAGCTTTTCCTTTTGACGCACCAATATTATCTGCCATCTGTATAAAGAGACGAGTGCATGTCAGGGTGAATGATGCTTATTCAAAATTTCAAGTTTCCATTGCAGAATAAAAAAAATCTGGATTTATAAAACTATAATGTATGGTCATCAAAATTTCAAACATGAAATACTTCACATAACAAATTCTGAATTAAGCTCATAAGCAAAATTATTTACAAGATTAATTTACAAATGTCATTGGTTAAATGGAAACACAAAAGACAGATCTGTTAAACTGCTTGATTATTGTTGCTTGAAAATGTTAATATATTACATTCAACTTTATGTTCAAAAGCGTGATGGTATGAATAAGTTCTTTGAAAGTTTTAGTAGACATAACAAGTCACATGGGGCTTTAATTCATGAAAAGCCTAATGGCCTATTCTTTGGTTCTCAAAATTGGATAAAAATGCTATTAGCGACAGATTCGAACAGAATCCGGAGTATATCTGAAGCAGAATATGAAGTTGCCTTACCTGCGTGTTGCTGTTTTTTCCTTCGAACAGCTACTTGTATCATTGCCAACATGTCATCTTGACTCATTCCACTGCGTAACATGTCCCTGAAGTACAGAGAGATAATTATGAAATTTTTTTTTAAAAAAAGGGTGAAACAATTTTGACAGTTGCTTGTAACTTCGTAAAAATTGTATTTGTCTTCAATAAAGACTGAATCTGAATTCCTGAGATTAGAATCAGGACTAGAATTTTTTCAGGACTTTGTAATTTTTGCAGGTGAATGAGCATTCAAAAGTAAGCATTCAGAGTGAAATTCAGATATCTAATGTTAAAAATGGCAGTCGGATAAACATTGAGGCTCTCTAAGGATTATTCCTCATCTTTGGAAAAATTGAGCTACTAGTGCTAGATAAGATTCATTTCATAGAAAACCTAAAATAAATGTTACCTCAAATCGTCAACCTCCGATTCCATAACGCATTTCTTTAAAAAAAAGAGAGAAAAAGGAAAGGGCTTTTCTCACCTCAAGGAAATTTCAGAATTTCCAAAAAGACAAACTTTCAGACTCCCATCTGCCATCAAACGTAGGCGGTTACAGGTTCCACAAAAATGATTTGACATGGAGGTAATGAACCCAATCTGACCTTGGAAGCCAGGAATTTTATAAGCCTGAAAAAACAACACCAATTGAGGCAAGAGGCAACCAAGTATGTTCTTTAAAAAATATTGTCAACCGGAGGACAGAAGGATACTTTCGAGAAATTTTGGTTGGATATATTGCATGAGTTGCTTTAACGGAGATAGTGTCTTAGCCATACAGCATTCAATTCTGTGAGGAACCAAATATTCAAATGATAGCACGGTTGCTTTACTCAATCTCTGAGAAGTTTTCATGACCTCTCTGAGTCTGAAAACAAAGAATCTGATTTTTGAAAAATTGATGATAAGATTGGTTATTTTGGAGAATTAAATGTGCATCCATAGTTGCCTTCTTGATTGGCCTTGACTACTGTTATACCTTATCTTTTAAGAATAATGGACCACTAGAGAAGGTACGATTTTAAGCAATCTGTTACAAGTTTCTTAACCAGAATTTCATGTAAAAAACGATTTGCATAACAAAAATTACTGAAACCAACTCCTAACGAAGATAATAACGTTTTTATTTCACATTGGTTACGAGGAATTTAAACTGCCCGCTCACAAGAAACTCAAAGCTATACGTGAGTCAAATCTCACACTACAATGGTTTCAGCAAGCTTCTCAATCGAGCAATGTTCATTTCCCACCATGTGTTGTTCAAACTATTAGAAATTTGCTATCGCTGAGCCAAAGCGTCAAGACTGAGGTTGCCAGATTTTTATATCGCGGAGACTGTCATGATAATGTTTAGTGTGCGATGTGATTCACGTAAAGCATTGAGTTTTAATGAGTGGGTGGTTTGAATTCACGCATCAGGAATCATTATATATGTTTGTAAGGAGTTGATTTCGGTAATTTTTGTTGTGCGCATCGAGTTTTACGTGAAATTTTGGTTAAGAGACATGTATCAGATTGCTGAAATTCGTACCTTGTCTAGTGGTCCATTGTGCCCAACTGAACTTTTTCCCTCTGTGATAAGAACGATTGGTTAAACATCAGCACAATCCTAATGGATATGGTTCAGTACACAATCCTTATTTAAAAGGAATGGACCAATAGACCAGGTGTGAATTCAAGTATCATGATGTGTGTTGTCATACCGAGATTTCACATAGAAAACGATTTGTGCAAAGAAAATTATTGAAAGTAACTCCTAACCAAGATATTTAGACAGAGAGATCATTTCTCCTCTTGAGAAAGAGAGTTAATTAATTACCTTTGATGTATCATGCTTTTGGTTATCCAGAGGTGTCATAGAGGGATACTTGGATTTAATAGCTGTTAACATTTCTTTGAAGGTAACTAGTTTTGAATCATTCCATTTGTTCCCAGTGAAAGGCATGTATTCGATGAAACGGACATCCACAGGCCGGTCTCTTGTGAACTCGACAAAATCCATGACTTCATCATCGTTGACGCCTCGCATGACAACACAGTTGACCTAGTGCAAACAAAAAATTTAAGAGAGCGTTAAGTCTATCCGATGAAAATTATGAAATAATGTGTGACTGATCACAGAAAAAAGGGAACTTGGTCAACACAGAAAAATTCCATGACAGTAATATCCTGGAAAATGCGCTGCAACCATGACCAAAGCATAAATTTGCAAACCTCAATCTCCAATTTGTTTTGATTTACTGAGAAGTTTATGCGTCGAAATTTTTATCAAACATCCCCTTATCTATGTAATAACTTTAACGGATTAAGTAATTTATCATTTTTCTCTTTAGAGATAACTTTTTTTGCAGACAGTCACAAATAAGACAAGTTAATTTCCCAGACTTTCAATGATGGACCAATGAGACAAAGTTCTCCAGGAAAGTTGAACTCTGGGAACAAAAGCACATACTAGAATATTTTAAAATGCCAATTGGAGAAAGGGGCAGGAGTGTTTTGTTCCAATGAATGAAAAAAAAAAAAAAAACTCCTACACATACTTCTTGATTTTGACTTTGAGTTGAAGTATGAGAGTGGCTGCAGGATACAGCATAGATGTACTCAGAGTACAAACAAAGGTGTATGGGCGATGCGAAACTAAATAAAATAAGTTTACTCGAGATGGTCGAGCGCGGTACACTTAAGAACGCTCGTGGAAATCAGATTGTGCTTTAATATTGATTATGGTAATTTTTATTTACTGTTTATTCTCGTAATACAGCACTGCATTTGAAGTACAACTAGATTTTTAAATGATAAGAACACAGTTTGGTTTCATGTCCTGGCTGTCTCTAGTTTTCTAATGTGATTTGCGTTGCGAAGTTGCACCCAAATTTTCATTTCAGGTACTTGACCCCATGAAATTCATTAGAAATTGGAGTGGGAAACCATCCGTGTTATTCAGACACCATAAAATATTTGAGCTCTGAGGAAATAACAGTGAAAATTTATGTTATTTTACAGAGACTTGAGTTAAAGGTGTCCCGAAAAATCGGGAATAGAACATTGTTTACATTTTAGTGGAGTCTAGGTGACTTACTTTGGGTTGTTGAAAGCCTAGTTGTACAGCGAGATCAATTCCTGCTACTACTCTTCCCCACCCTTTTCTTCGAGACATGATCTCAAATTTTTCAGGTTTCAGAGTATCTAAACTAATGTTGACAGAATCAAGGCCTGCTCTCTGAAGAGCAGGTAACAGTTTGGTGAGGGCAAGTCCATTTGTTGTCATACCTAAGTTATTTAGTCCACTTAATTTGCGCAAACATTCTGCAAAAAATTGTAGAAGAAAACATGGAGGGAAAATTAAGGCCAGCTTCAGAGTCAGTTTGTTCTCAAGCTTCTCAATACAATCTAATGAAATTATTAAAAATACAGGTAGATGAATGAGGTAGTTCTTCGTAAGCCATTCATTTCTTAGTGTAAATAGTTATTCGCCTGTAACAGATTACTGGGAAGCTAAATTGGTATTCTTAAACCCCAAACAACATCACTCATACATCAAAATGGGTGGGAAGCATCAGTTCATAAGTACTAATATTTCCTATTAAAAATATTTCAATTGATGATATAACATGGTAATGATAAAACTATAAATACTTGTATTCTGATTGCTGTTTTCGAAAATTTGAGCGAGACACTTCGATGCTAGACCCACAGGCTTGATAGCACAATGTATCAAGCATGAACATTTTTAATGAAAAAGTTGCCCTCTGTAGAGAAATTACAAAGAGGTTTCCGGCACTAAAAGATATTCCTTAAAGAGAAAGCTCTCTGGTTGCCTGTCTAGGCTGAGTAGGTAGGTCTTTTAAACTTTTTGAAAGTCTTACCAACTATATGGATGATATCTTTGCAAACTGTTGGTTCTCCACCAGTCAACCGAATTTTTGTCACACCTTCCTGTACAAAAAGGGATGCCAGTTTAATGATTTCATCGGATGTTAAAAGTCTGGATTTTTCTGTCAATTTGACTCCTTCGGCAGGCATGCAGTATTGACCTAGAATAGAAGAAAATAAGATAACGGGAAGGAAAAATAAATTGGAATGTATGAGAGAAGAGAACACACTTTTCGTACAGGAATTTTCTTACCACAGACTTTAATGAAAGTGGAAAACTTGACAGGTCAAAACCCACTTCTTTCAGGGGAATGTCTCATTGCACAGAGTGAATAAGGCACTCTACATAGTGGACCGTAAAAATCGTAAGGTAACAAACCCTGAAAGCCCAATTCAGAAAGTGAAACTTTTTTTACATCTTTCCTTCTGCTGTAGTCGGATGAAAATTTGGATCAAGTGACACTGACACAACACACAGCAACCCCATAAGAAGTCGAACAGAAACTTGAATCTGATGTCATCTTCAACTTCCTATCCAACTTTTGCCAAGTTCGCGATGCCAATAAGATAGAAATTTGGAACGGAATATTCAGCCCGACATGAGATGAGGCTGCATCTTTATAAACCAGAAGCTGATGGAAAAATCTCGACGCTGATGTCTGGTATTCGATGGTATCACACAGCAATGGTATTGAATCAAATTTTTTTTCGTCCAACTTTCCATTCAGCAAATTTTATTCTTTAAAATTTGACCTTGAAAAATGATGCTCGCTTTCTATGTGGATGAATAAAACAACTACAAGTAAACTGCGAAAAAAAAATATTTAGGATTCACACGTGTGTTTCTAAATAAAATGATTTAGCCAAATATGTAGCACAAAGGTTTGATACTTACATCGTAGATTACACTTTTCAGTGAGTGATATCCTTAAATAGGTATGTTTTCTGCCGAATGAATCCGTTAGGAGAGAGGGATTTGCCTCTTTGATGTGTGAAGATGTTTTATACTTTATGGATTCCTAAAATAAAAAAGAGCAAGGCTTAGTATGATACATTTTGAGCAAATATAGTAAATTCCAAGGGTCAAAAATCATTCATCACACAAATGCAAGGAATTAGTAAATCTGCTGATTTGATTTAGATTGATTATTTTCGGTGAAGATCAATCAGGAACTATTTTTTTTCTTTCGTATTTTTGAATTTATTTTTTTAAAAAACAACAATACCAATAGACAACGAGTATTTGAAGGGTAAATTTTTTTTCCTGCTCCTAGATCCACTCTGATTGAAGAAGGTTAGGTACTACGGTTTTTGGCTAAGTGGGACTTGGTTTTTCTCGGCTGAGGGCCCCTGCGAGGGAAGAACAACTTTTGGATACTTCGTTCTTGGAACAAAAAGTTCAATGATGAATTTTCGATGTTCAAATGTTTTCTCTTCCATAGAATAAAGTAGGTACCTGACTCAATTTGGTTTCATAACACTATGATAGAGTCCACACTAGATAAGTTTACACACTTTTGGACTGCAACAGAAAATCGTTTCACGTCACCATGACATATTAAGTAAATGCAAGGATTTAGATGGCGAATCTTTTATCACAGTATGAAAGTGCGTAAACTATTTGGTGTGAACTTTATTAGATTCTGTATTCTGCTCACCTTAAAATTGCAACAAAAAAATTGTGATTCTATGAGTAAGTACAGCGGAGATTGATCTTCCTCCGATAAACGGAGGTAAATAGCCTTTTTTTCTCCATGCACCATTGACTTTTTCTACCTATGGGAGACAATAGGTAAAAACGCATATAGAACCAGCGATACCTACACCACTCAGGGTGGTTGGTGGTTATGTAACCGTCTGCTCAACATCCCATGTCCCTAGGTGCTGACTAAGATATCCGTCTCTCGTTAACTAAATGCAACGTAATTTTTGGATTTTAGCTTGCACTGTAAATAACCGCCCTTTGACAAAAATAGTTGATCCTTCCTCTGGTGGCGAGTTAAACATTTGTCAACTTATTGAACAATTTGTGCATTTCGAACAATGTGCGAATGAATGATTGATTTTTACTGTAAATACGAACGTTTCATAGTATTGGCATATAAGGATTTGTTTACACTACAAATATCATGAGTAACCTTCTGAGATGAAGTTCCAACGGAAAATATCTGCACTATTTACCTGAATTGGTGTAGGGGCAGTTACAATACAGCGACAATGGTTGTTGCTAAAGAAACTTAATAATAAAGTTTTAAACTGAGATTTCTGAACAAAAGCTCGTGCCATTTTACTTTCAATAAGTGCACATGGTACCTGAGACAGCATGATGCTATCAGTTATAATTAGATATTTTAAAGTACCGATCTGCGCTATCTTTCCTGTAATAAAACGTGGTAGGTAAACAATGATATCAATGATAACAACTTATCACTGTCAACAGGTTTGACGTCAGAAGTTCAGAACTTCCATGTGACGTCATCTATCGCAAGCTAGGCTTTGGCTTTGGCTTTACTCCCATCTTTATCTATTATCATACTTACTCCGTCGTTTCGTTTTCCACCTCACTTCCTTGTAAAGTATTTCTGATTTCCTGATTTCCCCACAATATCTCTAGATATTTTACTTTCCATTGGATACCCTCCACTGTTTGATTTTCCTAAGGACTCTGAGAATCGTATCTCTGATTTATCATAATCGTGGTGTGTGTGCAAACTTGCAACAATTAGTATCACGTACATTTACTGCGTGTGATCTGAGCCTGAGCCTGTGCTGATCAACCAATCTAAACTTTAACCTTTCTGTGCCGCAAGTCGCCTCTCTTGCGTTGTCTGCAATATATTTTCCTATTTTACTCCAAAGTTTTTTGCATCCTCTTTCGAATAATGGCCGAAGAAGCTGTTGTATTCACCTTTGAAGAAATCAAGCAACTTACTGACAACAAGAGGAACCTTCTTGTCATCCACAATGGTGTCTATGATGTGGCTGAATTTTTGAATGAGGTAAGAAAATAACTATTTATTAGATTTAGATAGGCCTGTTGGGAGATGATTGCAGTTACTTCTATTTTTGTCGGACATTAGACAAAAACTTTAGAGTTCATCGCGAGGGCTCCTGCTCGTGGATGAGGACTTTCATTCCTTCTTACCGAAGATTTTTAGTGATGAGTTACAGTCCTCATCATAATACCATGACCCCGCGCTGTGATATCAAATTCCTACTTTTTTGCTCACTTTTGCCTGATACGTTGCCTATCTGTATGAAACAGGGTTAAAAGTTGAACTAGCCGTAGTTAAAACATGAAAGGTTCAGCTTTCTCTTCTCCAACTCTTGGCTCCGATTATTCTTTCAGAATTGCATTACTAGCAACTTATGAAAAGGATCTTTCTAGCCACTAAGTAATTGCCTGAGGGACAGTACTTAGTGGCCCCAACTTCTGTAGGGATACTTACTACGAGTGAATTAAATGAGTTTGTGGTTCAGTATGAATTTCTTCAGGAGAACACATGAATCAACAGAATCAACCCTTTCCAATCTTAGAACTTATCACTGACTGACTATCTTTAAAATTTCTATAACGTTGTAATTAAAATGTCTGAACCTTCATAATATTTCATCAATCTAATTCTATTTCAGCATCCTGGAGGTGAAGAAGTGCTCCTTGAGCATGCTGGTAAAGATGCCACTGAGAATTTTGAAGATGTTGGACATTCAACTGACGCCCGTGAAATGATGGCGAAGTACAAAATTGGAGAGCTAGCAGAGGTTCGCATAATCTTTTTGTATTTTAACTTCTTACTCACATCTTCCTTTGAGCTGACCCTACATCTTCTGCCAAGTCAAATATATTGGTATCCATTTGTAGTATTTACCTAATATCAATCACCTTAATTACTAAATATGCACAATCTTGGAGATAGATTGGTGCCAGAATTAGATTATCACTCTTCTTTTGATTTTATTTGGTAAGCTGACACTTACAGGTGGGAAAATTTAATCCAACTGTTGCGTTTGTTTAATTAATGTGCTTGGGATATCATTCTTGTTGACAGAACTATCAAGAGATTTATTATAAATCATTTCTCGATCTTTTTTACTTTAGCAAGGAAGGATTACACCTTTTCTTGAGACAGAGAAAAAAAATTTCATGGGATTGTCCAAAAAGTTACCTTGATTAATTTTTCAATTACTAAAAGAGGAAAACAGCAAGTTTACTTATAACACCGCAAAATGAGGTATGAAAGCTCCCTCCAGTGTTAGTTTTCGATATGCTAGTTCTGGTCGGAAGTAAATTTTCATTTCTCCTTAAGTGAAAAAAATTATTCTAGGTGCAATTTAAAATATTTTTCTTTAAGTTTGGCTCGAGTCAAAGGCAAATAATTGACAACTATCTAACTATTTTTCTCTTTGATATTTCAGAGTGACAGGAAAGCTCTAGAGAAAGAAGAAAAAAGTAGAGTTGCTGACTCATCTAGCAACAGCGACAACTCTAGGTAAAGATTCTTTCTCCTAATTTTTTTTCTTTTACTTTGCATTTTCCCATCATCAATGTGAAATTTGACTAACATTTAATCAATTTCCCTTGCAAAATTATGTGACTCTCTATTGAATCTTTCAAACATGGTATCTCTTGTGCAAGGCTAAGAAAAACCAAAAATAAGACTGGTTGGAAACACTGCATTTACTCTCGAACTAAACTAAGCAAACTTGACCTCGCAGTGATTCCACCGGATACTTTTGTGAAAGAAGAGAATTGGGGGCGAAATCGGTGCTCATTTGCTCTTCCAGGGTAAGCTGAAAAAAACTATTGAAACAACTACTGGAATGGAGGGAATACTCAGCGTTTATTAGCAACAGTTTTTTGTGCAGTATCCAATTGACTTTAAAATAAATACTTAGCAAGGCTGCAGGTACACAATGTTTGAAAGAAAGAGGAAATCTCATAATTATTTGAGAAGCACTGAATAAACATGGTAAATCAATGAACAGTCAGTAATTCCTTGTGTTAAACTTATTGGTTGTAATGGCCATTTAAAAAGTCTGTGAGAAGTAATACTTCTTTTACTCAATATAGAATTAATCATCAAGATTGTCAGCCTTTGGCCGAAGTGTTGCATGGGCTATTTTTGTTGAGGCAATGTTCAGAAAATCCTCAAATTTATCCAATTCTTACGGGAAAACTAATGAACAGAATCACTTGAAAATTTTACCTAATATTTCTTTTGCCATCAAGATTAATTCTTAAATTATGCCTAAAAGTTTGTGCAAAAATTTTAAAGAGAAAATCAAAACAATGAAGAACTGGCTGGCAACTTAACGTCTAAACATGAATTACGCTTGTGATACTTTGACCAGAAGGTGACAAGTTAGCCATTTTGTCAGTCCTACATGAAGTAGTGTTAATGGTGCCTATCTTTTAGTCTCCTAGAAGCCCTTCGATAATTTCAAAATCACAAATTTTCTACTATATTCTTCAAATATTTTATATCTCTCCAGAATTTTATTTTCTATCATGCACAAATTAAGTTGCCTCAACGAGAAAAAAAACATGTATCTGTGGCTGTGTCCTTATTTTCTTTCTGTTAGGTTTTCTAAATAATAAATACCCAAACCGTCACTGAAAATTTTATGAAGAAAAAAGTCTGTTCTTTCTACAGCGTACCTACTCGAAATGCCGTGCTAAAAGGATGACTCTTCTGGAAAATTCATTTAAAAAATTACAAAACATTTGAGATGGCTGACAAGCTATTATTTTTCTCCTCGTTCACCTTCTCCTTATGACCTCATTTTTTTCCCCATGAAAGTTGTCCCTCTGTCCAATTTACAACTGTGGAACCACCCCACTAGCAAAATTGTTTCTTTGATTTCTGCCAAGTCATCAAGAAAATCACCAAATCATTCTCTGAACCCAGCATGAATTTCCTGCATGTTCTAAAGCCCAGTATATATCTATTCCAATAAACTGGAACTTCCCAGTTAAAAAATTGATGTGTCAGTGTGGGAATATATTTAAATTGGCAAGATGTTATTACATGATGGAATCAAATCAGCATAATGAAGTGTAGCTTTGCCAAGTTCACTCTTAATATTTGATAAAGAGGCAGTTGCAAAAAAGTGAGGTTAAGTCCTCAGAATCAGAAGTGAATAACTTCTTCCTGTGTCGTTATTCGAGAGCTGTAATTATCTGCCTGCTCCTGAATTTTAATGAGTGCATGTGGGGCCAACCAATTATGAAATATGCATGGCATAACCTCTTCGAGTTTCTCCCCTCAAGATTGCTTCAATCAAATTATGCACTGTTCACCAATATGAATTAATCAATCACAGATTCACTTATTTTTTTCCTCTCAGTATGTTAAGCATTCATGTTCCTAAAACTCACTGAGTGTTTGGGAAAACCTGTTTTCTCTTATTTTTTTATGTAGAACTTTTAAACTTTTTCCCTCGTTCCATTCCAATTGCCACCAACAACACATGTCAACATGGCCCTCCTTGGCCTTCATTTTCCTGGGCATACTTGCCATGCTGTTTTTATGTGTCTAATTCTTAAGAATGTTATGCTCTGTCTTCACTCATACTAGGTGACTACACAAGCTTTGTGGGCTCGGTAATATACAGGGTAATCCGAAAGCCCCGCACCACCAGCACCAAGCATCACCTTTGTAACTTTTGAATAAATTGAGGTAGAGACTTGAAATTTTTTGAGTACTTCTAGGTCAATGGAAATGACTTTTGGGGTCCCCCAAAATTTTAGGTGGACCTCTCAGAAAAAGGGCAAAATTCTCAAGGTTCCTAACAGTGTTGCGGAACTTTTGGATCACCCTATATATTGCACTTCTAGGTTGCAGCATAGTATCTCTCAATAATATTGCAACATTTCCACTGTTATACCTAATTATTTGCTTTATTTATGCATTCTCCATTGAGAAGTTTTATTTGAAAAGACTCAACCTGGCAACAATGCTGAGATAGTGTAACTTGAAGTACATCTAGTAATTGACCATTGTGAAGTAGATTGGAAACTTTACCTTGGGACAAAGAGGAACAATTGACTTAATGCTAAAGAAAATAAATTAGTTTCTCAGTCTCTCGGTTGGAAGCTTTTTACTACCAGATGCATCTCACATTTTTATGGGCCAAATTGAAGATTTACCTCTATAACGTTTTAAGTCGAAAATAAACCATCAAGAGGGGTTTCTGAATGCTTTTTATTTAGTAGGTAAAATTTTATAGGATCCAAATTTTGTCTGTATTCGCCAAGAAAGGGGAGAAAATTATCAGGTATAACAGGCTGCTTAGCACTGAATGCAGTTATATTCTGGTTCTTTCCAGTGGTCAAAAGATGACTAATTGTCGTAAAGCATAAAATCTCTTTTTTTTTTTTTTTTTTTTTTTTTTTTTTTTTTTTTTAAACTATCATACCTGCTCTGACTTATTGCAAAATTGTTTTATGGATGTCTTATCCTCTGCTAGTGAGCTGCTCATCTGTTCAGGATATTTGGTCACTCATTAAATTGCTGACCTTGAGTGGACTGGTTATTATAGTCATGATTTTTCCACAGGGTTGCCACTCATAATAGAATGTCTTTGCTTGATGGCACAACAGAACTTTTTTTTATTCCTTGCTGCACCCATCCCCTACGCCCTAAAGTATCTCATTGCAATGATTAATGCTTTGCAAGTTACCTGATCTTAACAGCTACCTCCAGTTTGCTCACCAAAGCTCAAAAATGTATTTCGACCATGAATCTCAACCCAACTCCGTAGTCCAGCCAAACTAAGCTACTGAAATGAGGCAACCCTGTGTACATGCAATCTTTTCATTACCTTGCTATTATATAATCAGCCTCTTGATTATTTCCTTAATTCCATGCACCTCTCAACTAATAATGCCGATTTTGTTTATTTGGGTCTACTCTTTTTTTTTTTTTTTTTTTTTTTTTTTTTTTTTTTTTAAATCAATACCAAGCTGATGAGTTCTGAATGTTCTTGTTTCTTTTTTATGGTGGCAGAAGAGGAAGAGGGGGGGGGATTACATTTTTGGAATTTTAGATTGACTTGTAAAACTCAACAACACAGAGGACTACTATCAAACGTCACCGATTATATTTATATGAAAACTTCAAATATTTTTATCTTCAACAAAAAAAGAAAATCATCTCCTTTTGAAGCTTCTTATCTCAGGTCGGCTCCTCTTCTTCCTCTGTTTCTTTTTCCTCTTCTTCTTCCTCTTTTCTCTTCTTCCTCCCCTTTCCCCTCTTAGTCTTCTCCTTCCTCTTCTTTTTCCCCTTTCCCCTCTTCTTCCTCTTAATTTTCTCCTTCTTCGTCTTCTTCGTTGTCGTCTTCTTCTTCTTCTTCTCCTTCTTCCTCCTGTAGTCTTGCTTTCTCTTAAAAACAATGCAATTATCATTAATTTGTACGAAAAGGGGGACTACATTTTTTGGCACCATTTTCACCTCCATCAAGTTTTTTTATTATTATCATAATCATGACACCGTTATTCAAGTAAAATATTTCATGAAGTGAACTACGTAATTTTTTTGAATTTTTAAATGAGTACCCTATTTGTCCTCTTTAAAATTCAAACAAAATTAACCAGAATCAGACAGTGGTTAGATTCCTTGCATGCTCTATTTTTTCTACCAGAAAACTAAGTAACATTCTACCTCTACCTAAATGTTGCAAGTTCTTTCTTTACTCAAGAGAGGAATCCTCCCTCCTTCGATGTTGAAAAGAGGGAGGTAATTGTGTATGTGTCGACCTACATGTTTAATCCTTTCAAAGAAAGTTTTTCTTTTCTCTTTCTTTTTCGTTTTTATCTTTACTCATTCACTCACTATTTTGCTTCCTTCACCTTTATTTACCTTCCACTTAACTCCACTAATATGCTTCAGTAATTAAATAGACGGTTCCTTTAGCACCAGTTAGACTGGGTGAAGCAAAAAGGAACGGATGAGCACTAACATAACTGTAAAAGTACCTATCTCCAAACGAGAATTGTGGCAGATATGCTATTTTTGTAATAAAAGATAACACTTAGCCTATTCTGCTGTCCGCCTAGGCTGTATGTAATCTTTTTCAAACTTACTTCTTGATCAACAGAATGAGGCCTTTGATGATGAAAAATAAAGATTATTGAATTTGATCCTCCCTTCCCCCTCTCATAAAGTAGCTGATGATCACAACCCTACATGAGTCTAATTTTATAATAATTTTCTTTTAATCATTACCTTGTTTTCTAACAAGGAAAATTTAGCAATTCGATTTTATCAAACACTCTTCCGTCCATGAGAATGAATAATTAGAGAGAAGAATGTCACAAACTTTGCTTCCATTTTTATCTCTCCATAACATTCAAACTTGTAAAGGGGCCAGTTGTCTCAGCATTACTTCAAGTGAAGATAAGTGAATGCATAGAATTGTTCCATTTACCTGCGTTACATAATTTTTAAAAGCTTATCATCACCTCATTATTTTCGCGTCAGTTTGTCAATTTTTTAAAGTGCTGCGTATATTCTTAGCCACCTGGATCTGGAGGAAGAAATTCTACCAGCAAATATTTTTCTCGTATAATTGAGGAAGTCATCCATAAATTACGTTGCAACCTGAGAGGAGATAGGGGACTGTTCCAATAAAACCAGGGGAGAGGATCTGACACTGCTCGATGTCACGTTACAATCAGTGCTAAGGGCTGATTTTTGAAGAATGAAAAATTGCAATTCTTTACGAAAAGAAGAGAGGAACCCAAGATAATGTGTCATCAGTTTTTGGAGGAATGAAGGGATAGGAGGGGGGGGCCTTCACTATGAGGAGTATGTGACCTGGTTGGGGTTGACCTGGTCTGAAATCCTTAAATCCATTGTTGTACAATTTTAGAATGGCCCCTAATCGAGGGAATATTTTGAAAGCTTCTTGTTAGAAAATAAAGCAAATGAAACTCAAAGACTTTCATGAATAGATATGAGTGAGATATGACTGAAAATAATGCCAGGATTCATCTCTGGAGAGTTGGCACCAGGAATCATTATTTTTTAATCATTATTTTTTTTTTTAATTTACTTTTTTCTTTTCTCTATTCTCTCTATTTTCCTATCCTATCATTTTATCAATTGTAATTTTTGTTTCAGCTCATGGAAATCTTGGGTCATTCCTGTCGTTGTCGGTCTAATAGGAACTTACATCTTCAAATCCTACTTCTAAGCTGTTATGGTTTTCATGCTTGTTATCTTTTACATCTTTAATTTTTCTATCATACCTACATTCTATACAGAGTCCCCTCGTTAAGAGATGAGTTAAATATAATCTATGTTTTTGAATTTTATCTGTTACAGTTCATGGAAATCTTGGATCATTCCAATTATTCTTGGTCTAGTTGGAACATTCATTTTAAAGTCTTATTTACTGAAGCAGTAGCTTTGCACATATCTTTTTTATGTACAATTAAGTTCATTATTTACTCTTGTTATCTTGTACTGTAATTTGTTAGCTGTTTTTATTATTTATTTTATCTATTTCTTTAAAATAAAATGGCTCAAAGGGCAATGTCAAAGAGAGTTTCTTTTCTTTTTTTTCTTTTTTTTTCTCTTTTTTTAAGTTATTTATTCATTCTTTCTCCAAAAATATTTTCATAGCAGCTCTCATGGTTTGTCTTGTAAATCTGTAAGCAATCATAATTTTAACCTACGTTAAAGTTGTCCTATTCAGGCTTTAAACATAACATTTGATGGTCATTCTGAGAATGTATCTAATTATTGCTACCTCATAAATATATCTTGAAGATATCTTAATTGTGCTGTTCACATATTTGCATGCCCTCAGTGTATGGATCCATCAAAGATTTGGGTTTTCAAGTCTGATCTTATTCTGAAAGACCTCTTATTTGCCTTCATTCAATTTAACTTATGTTCAGTTCCAAAGAAGATTTGCTCCACCAAGTATTAATGCGCAAATATATAATAAAGAATTACTTAAAGTGCTGTTTCAATCTAGTGAGGAGAACTACACCCAGGGTGCCTCATGTAATAATAGCTTGCAAAAGACCAAGTGAATTTTATTTTACTTCCAATGATGTCTCTTTTTTTGGTGTTCGCATTTCATTATGATTAAATTGCATATTCATTTCTTTGACTCTTTCGTGTTTTAAGACTGATTAGTAAACTTGGACTAGTGTCTACTACGAAAAGATTCTGCATTTTTATGTATTCTCCATTTATTGAAATAATTGCACTGCATAAGGCAGAAGTGAGCTGCACAAAACTGAATAGGAATTTATTAGGTACCTGTTCAAAACCCTCAAGTTTAGTAAAAAAGACAAATATCTCAATCAAATATTTATGATACAAGTATGAAATTTTTGTCGTAAAAAATTGTCCATCTATTCATTGACCAAACTGATCTTAAATATAAGTTGATTATGGAAAGCAAAGTTTAAAAAATGGTATATTTCTTCTCGAAAACATAGACTCTGAAAGTAATAACATTTTTTTCTTGTGTGTGTTGGGGAGGGTGTGTGTGTGTGGGTTCTGTCTTCTCTGTACACGTAAGCACTGATGCCCTCTAGAAAGTTTAATGCATTTTTTCTCACTTATCTGTTTTGTTTTGGATGCATTTCTATTTTGACATTATTTGTTCAAACATTTTATCAACAAAAGTTTGCCAGTTCAATTTCTGTTCTCTGGAAAGTAGACTTCTAAAAGATGACAGTTGTTCACTATACACCCTGCGTTGACGCTCAGCGTACTCTCTGTTAGCTATCCGTTATTACTATTTTCACGAAACATTTGACTTCCTGAAGACGAGATGTATTTGATTTACCTTAGAATATCAGCAGAGTCTACCAGTTTCATGTTTTGAGAAAAACTTATTTTTACTCACTTGTGTGTAGAATTTGATAAGCGGACGCGTTTCGCCGTCTCTCTCTGGTATCGTCAGCGCAACTGATCATGTATTTTTGTTCATGTTTCACGGTTCTAAATACATTTCATAAATGATAGTTCCTTTGTTGATTAATTACCAATGACCATCAGAACAATCAAAGAGATAGGAGGAATGCTTCCTACTGAGTTAAGAGCGCCATACAATCGCTGATCCTTCTTAATTCAACTTCTTTGACTGAACCTTTACCTAGAACTGTTTGCTAAGACTGGAAAAGCTAACAGAGCCTTCATTGTCCAAGTATTCATACCAAGATCCAGAATTTCTTAGAGAATGATATCCTTGATTTGACAAGGCACATTGGAACTCACCCTATCGCTGCAGTTTGAATAGATTGGGATGGTGCAAGGAAAGCCTTCAAACTACATTTCTACTTCCTCACTTTGCACTTTTGTTAAACTACTTTTTTCAGCGACACCATTTATCAGTATGAATGTTTGTACTCCATGGCAGAAAAAGTGGCGAATGAGGGAGGAGTTAGTGACTGGCTCAGGATATTGTTTAAAGGTTGTAATGCAGGCACATCAGCTCATTTAAACGACCCTGGTTTGCTGCAACAAATCTGCCCTCAAACAATGTACAGAACCACTTACCAGACTTGGCGCTCAACTGTCACTTTCCATGGCATGTTCTTTAGTGGGTTTTTAAACCTTTTAAAGTGTCACTGTTAAACTTGTCCTAACAAGCGGAGTGTTTCGATGTTCCCAACTCCAAACTCCTCTCTGTGCCCTGCATTATTGCTAGTTTGATTTCAAAATCGCTGATTGTCAACCCATTTTATGATGGAAAATTGTATCCATCCTACTATCCTATATTAGTTAGTCTTAATTTAATCCCCATGGAAAATATATTAACGATCAAGTTATACTATATTTCAGTAATTACATTTTGTTTGAAGGAATATAAAATCAAAATGGAAATTTTAACGCATCTACTTTTTTTCTTTAAGTTTGGATGGTTCTTCAGAAACTGTCCTAGTGATTTTTTGTTCTTTGTTCTCAGTAAAATAAGAAATAACTGGTTTCCTTCACAGACTCTTAATTTTAGTGTCATGCAACCATCACTTTTTGTTCTTACAGTGGGAATGATATTGAACGGTACCCTGAAAGTTTTTTACACAGATACCAACATGAGTTAAGGTAGCTTCGTCTGCTTTGTTTGTTAGGGTTTGTTTCGGACGCTAATCCATTGCATGAGATTTCCTTCTTAGGAAAAAAATGAAGTAAAGTTTTACCTTTTTATGCATGAATCACCTAATTTGAAGTAGAAATACACGGTGAATGAAAGAATGTAATTTTTAATTTTACAGTTATTGGTTAGCCAAAATGGATAGTTTCTGTAGGATTACCTATTCATGTAATGTACAAATACACATCTGAACAAACATCTGAAATTTTAACACTTTGGTCCTGCTCTATGCTTTGGAGTTGAATTTTTTGTGTGATCCAAAGTGAATTTAAATTAGAGAAAAAATCGTGTATACTTATGATATATTTGGTTAGGGACTCGAAAAAGCAATTTTATTGGGTACTGGATATGGGATTTTTTTTTACTTTTTTATCATCGGATTCTACCGAACAATTTTTGTCTTTAGATTAATTTTATCCGTAGTCATCAAATCATGAAGTATTTTCACTTTTATATAGGGCGAATTACTTTCATAAGCATGTGAACAAAAGTGTTTGAGAAGGATTTTAGTCTGTTGAGAGGAACTTTTTTGTTATTAAGTTAAACATCATGACTAATAAACTTGATTATTGATGATTTGTTTCGTATTCATTCTCTTCAAATCTTTATACAGGCTTTGAACATGAAACTTCAAAAATGCGTATCTCGGTTCCAGTGGTTCAAATCTCTGCTCCTTTTTTTATTTGATTTTTAATATAAGACCAAACCAACATTATGATTCGGAATTTTCACAAAATATTCTTCACATAGAGAAGAAAACTCGCTGTAGCTTTCAAAAAATGATGTTCAGTAGTTTTCTATAAGGAAGTCTTACAGGAAGCCTGCAATGGTGCAAACAGAGATGCGCATTTCTGCAGATTCACCGGGAATAGGTGTCTGTTCATAGGAGATGGAACCTCAATCCACAAAAACTTAGAACTGAGTTACTGACACCAGAACACAGTAGAATGTTTCATGAACATTTTGGCACCAAAAACACGGAGAAATGTTAAAACCAAACCAAGTAATAGCGGTTAGAAGTTTGCAGTTCTAATTGTAGACACAGGGAACTTCCGTCTAAGGTTTTGAAGTGTCTTCTTCGAAGAACCAAAGTGCTAGATAATAATACAATTTTAGTGTCCTCGATTGGCCCAGAACATAACTTAACTGCTCTCAATTTATGTGTCAGTGCGCTAGTAAGAATTTTCCGTCAAAATATCAAAACGCATAATTTTCACCCAATCGGTTCCTAAATCGATTTATTGACGCTTTCTCTTTGGATTCAGGTCTTTTTTTCCAGTGGGAGGTCACATGATTTAGCACAAGTAAAGAGAAAAGCTGCCTGGTAAATCTTGAACAAAAATTAATTTGCTTTTTCCTCCACAATTAATAAAGCAATTGTTTTTCCTACGAATCGATTTTCTTTTAGAATGAATTTATTTGAATTTTAAGAATTGAAAGAAGAAAAGTCTCTAAAAATCATAATAATATTGACAAAGAACTTTTAATGGATTAGTGGCTTCCACTTTTCTTTCAGATCCATTTTCAAAAATTACGGAGTGAACTAAGCTTCTAAGAATTTTGTCAATTTCTTTTAACCCGAAATGGTGAAGGAGTCATGTTTTGAAAATGGCAAAAATGGGATCCATTTAAAATATTTTTGGCAGGCTTTGATGGTGCAGCCAGGCGGGAGAAACGTTTGCTGATTGGCTAATCTCAGCTTCAGGCACTGCCGTGCTACATCAGCTTGACTGTTCGTTTTGGATTGGTCGGTTTCACATTAGCTTGTTCTCCCGTTAGAGATGATTTTATGAACTTCTTAATGAACTCCTAGGGCTTTCACAAAATTTGTCTTAAAAAATTATCATATAACCCTGCAAAAATTCCTTGCAAGTGCTTGCTTGTTGCACAAATTGATTGTAACAATGCGGTTCAGAACTAGATTCCTATACAGAAAAAAGTATTTCGCACATTTTCCCCCCTTTCTGGCTACAGATGGTGGAGAACCACTTCTTAAATTGAGAACTCACAAAATACAATGAAAAGACTGATGTAGGTATAAGCAGTTTCCCTCTGTAATTCTAAAGTAATTACATAGTGTTAGAAAACAGAAAATATCACAATTCATCTTTAACAACATCAAAAACACCTTCACAATCGTTGCAGTCGATATTGTGAGAGGGCTGTATCACAGGTTCCATCCCATCTCTGAGTTTAATATCACTTCCAATACGCTTGCTCCACTCCTGAAAATTGATGAATACATTTATTTTTATATTTCTTGCTAAAGGTACGACCGCAATTGAGAGACAATCTGACCATTAAGCATTTTTCCAAAAAAACACCCTAAAGCAGCGGTTCTGAACCGGTAAACTGTGAGCTGATAAAAGGTGGTCACTAAATTTTGTTTTGAATTTTCATTCAAAAAACAGCAGGACTGAAAGAGAATTTTCACCATTGCTGTGAGCTCTTAATGATAAGGTTACAGTAATGATTAAGTTATCGTAAGTTAGTCTATAACAGTGAGGAGGTAACCCTCTCCCCCCTTTAATGAAACAAATAGCAGAAGTTGAATTAAAAAAGTATATAACTAAAATTAAAAGTTTATTCATTTCTGTTGGTGGTACACAGCCTCCGCAGAAAAGAGTGGTCGGCGGCCAACAAAGATTAAGAACCGCTGCCCTAAAGCAAACATGTTTTTTTTCTTTCACTCATGAAGTTAATTATTTGAGCAGATTCAGGGTAAGTTTGCAGATTAGAGGAATCGATTCCTTAAGCCAACGTAAGACTTGAAGTAAAAATAAAAAAATAGAGAAAAAGAGAGAGAAACCAGAAAGATTTTGATGAAATTTTAATCATTTTTAAAAGAAATTTTTATTTTTCTTACTTACCCATCAGCTCAATACATTGAGCTGAAAAAGCTTCTCTCAGTCATCAGTTACATAACTTCTAAGCTCTCTCACTTTTTACAGATTAAAGGATGATTATTCCAGAGTTGCACGCTTCATTTCTGGTTTTATCACAACTGATCCTTCTTCAGGATAAAGCTGAAGATGGAGTGTTCACCTCCAAAACAATTGTCCTTTAATCTATAAAAAGTGTGTGAGCTTAAAGTTAATGTATTTGAGGACTGGATGTACTCTCTGTTGAAAAGTTCACCGTCTCGTATGTTCTATCTCCATCTACAATATTGAGTGACACTTGGTGAGGAAAAAATTTCCAGAATTCTGCGTTTTTTTATAACTCCTTAACACTTACAACCGTAGTTAGGTCTCCTCAAAGATTGAGAAAAAAATATTTTTTGTTGAAATAGTGACAAAATTTGTGAATAAAATCAGATAAAAATAGTTATTTGCAGTGATTTCAGGTCCTCCTCTCATTTTGGACGAAAAAAACAGTTGTCAGATGTAAAAATGCCGCAAATCCAAAATTTGAAAAAATTTACTAAGATACAGAAATACGGTAATTGGAGTATGAAAAATTTAAGGGTGAAATGAGAATTTTGATACCACTGTTAGTTTTTAAAGTGCAGACTTTCATTTTGGTAAACTTTACGGCTATCAAATCTGTGAGAAGAATCTGGATGAGACAATAGTATAGAAAGACTGCAACTTACGTTGAGCAGATACACATGGTAACAAAAGATATCTTGTGGCATCAAATTATTTCGAGCGAATGTTTGGCCACCAACAGCAATACGTTTGGCTTCTTTATCATGATCGATCGCCCATTTTATGCGCTCCACAAGGTTCGACAAATCTGAATTGAAGGGTATGTAGTGCTTCCAGGGTTTCAAATCGGAATAAAAATGTTCGTAATACTCAGAATCTTGTTTAAAGACTAAAGAGTCACCTGCCAGTAAGTATGGAAATCGATACGCTGCCACGGTGCCATCCATATTAATTTGATATTTGTACTGAAATAAAAGAAAGGTGCAAATAAATGAAAATTAGCACTACAAAATGACAGCTTTCACCTTGCTTGATTTTTCATTCACAATGGGCTAGTGATTTGTTGTCATACAGATAAATTCCTTTCATTTTCTCTATGCTATGAGAAATTAGAGAGCAGGATAAGAGGGCTCCGAGCTATAGCTACGTAAACTTCTTTGTCTCCCATTTGAAGAAATGTATCTTGTCTGCCCTGTCTCAATATTTCTACTAACATTGTATTTTTTCAAGGGAGAGCCATCGCATGAATTAGACAGAAAATTTTCGACTTTGTACTGTCTGATTCACTTGCTGAATAAGATAGCTGACAGTGAAAGTCATACTCAATAGTCGTAATTTTGTTTGTTAAATATCTCAGAAAAAAATCCCTGTGATCTGAATGGACGTTTGCCGACTAAAGAGGAGAGAAAAAGGACCTGAAATGGATTTCAAAACTGGCTCCTACAAAATATGTAAAAAAGACATGAAATAGACAATGTAAGAAATAAGGGGTCAAAAAGCAATATTTTTAATAATATCTCAGCAATTATTGATAATTTTTCTTCTAAAGTCTACAAGCAAGTAGAAAATTCATACACGGCTCTTCTGTACAGAAACTCATTCTAAGATTCAAAATAAGAGATTATAATGATGATTTTGCTGGTGGCTAGTTTTGTTTCTCCTGTGAACCTGTAAAATGGCCAAAATTTTCTGGTGTTCCGATCTAACTATAATTTTTGTTAGATTTCAAAGTTTGGTTTTTTCTCACTATCCTTTGTCTAAAAACACTATTTACAGTTTAGGTTAACTCAAAAATGTCGGATTAAAATTCAACTTTGCAGATAATGGTGAGTGCTACCCGTGCAAAACTCAAATTTTGAATTTGAAATTAACCCGTTGAAAATTCCTCTCCTGATCATTTCGACTCAGAGCACTATGGTTGTTTTACGTATACATTGTCACGTACTAGAATTCACATTTTAGAGACATCATGACACATTTTTTTTACATTGGTGCAATAGTGCATTAACTTTTACAGTTTTAAAACACATCATGCGCTATACTGTGCTTCTCATATGGTGGTAATATTTGCACCACATGCTTTCACTGTGTTGTTAAAATAGATATGAAAAAAGGCTGACAATATGACTTGTAATGAATCTTAAACTTTTAACTTGTGTTATGTCAATAGGAACTCACATCAAAAAACTTGAAAAATGAGACAAGTTTATCTTTGGGACCATACTGACGTTCCAAGTCTCTGAAGAAAAAAAAATTGGTTAACGATGCGTTGAATAGCTGTGGATGAGCACGAGCAATCTTAATCAATTTCAATCTCTCCTTGCTTGAATCTCGCCCTCGCCAAAAAGCCTTTGGAATTTTACTCTCCCATTTCAGGTCTATGTTACCTTGGACCGAAAGCATATCAAGACTCACTCTGAGAGAAAAAAAGAAAATAGGAAAATTAATAAAACTTGAAAAGCGTATTCCTTCTTCAGCACATTGAATGATTACTTTGATTCACACATGATTTTTTTGGAGATTAAATCCTTTTTTCTATTTTACCAATTGTTTCTTTCTGGCCGGCAAAATTGTGGGTTTTTTTCTTTTTCTCGAAACTACGGTATAAACGACGTGTTTTTAGCAATACCACAGCAATTTATATGCACAGAGCCATAGAAAGGTCATTACTTTGAAATTTCTGAGGAGAAAGGGGTTCGGTTTTAACATGAGAAGGCCAATTTGATAAGTGGGGAGGCAGAACTTTTAGCATCCCTGTTATTTCGAACCCTGTCTGGTGGTTCATTGGTGAACTAGGCTGAGTTTGCTGAATCAGCAAATTGTGAACCCAAAAACACAATGCTACAAACATGTTTTAATCTATGGTACTGCATACAAAAAGAATTAGCAAATCAACCTTGCATCATCAGTATTTAATTGAACAACAAAAAATATTACCTGCCCATGTTTTCTAGAACTGATTCAGTGAGATCATAAGTTGGCATAACGATATCCTGAGTTGAATTTGAGCCACACCAAGAAAACAAGGGTATCGGTGTGTTCTTATTTGAAAGAGGCCAGTCACCAAGATTCACAAAGAGCTCTATATCTGGTAAAGAGACTTTCCTACTTAGCGACAGAAGAATAGCATCCATGAACATCTTGAATCCTACATGTTCACCATAGCATTTGCGATAGATCTGGAAAATGGCAGGATGGCAGAACATTAGATGTAATTACAGTGGATGAGTGTTAGCCACATAGTATAGGTCAATTTCATGATCATTCACATTACAAATAATTCCACAGGCTCCTTTGGAAAATGTGTTCATTCACATTTCACAGGCAAAGGGACCTCAAATCATTGAGGCAAATGTTTAGGAGAAGAAATTTTAGTTAGAGCGGGTTAAAAAAAAAAAAAAATTTCTTCCTTCAAAAACCGCTACAAGAGATAACTTTAACCTTCCTGAACTTGACAACACCTTCAAGAATGTAAAATTTGGCCCACTAGTTGTGAGTATGTATTTTTCTACAAGTTACAAAATGGGAATGACAAACTTGCTTGAAGTTGCATTGTATAAATATGAAAACTGGATCTTTGATGCACAGCCCAATTCTTTTTTTTTTTTTTTAATCTAAACCTGGGCTGATACGTACAGTGCAAATACATAAATCAATCTCGTGATGATTTTCAACATGACTGAGCTGAATTTCGGCCATGCTATGACTAAAACTCACCTGGTTATTCAAAACGACATAGTTACAAATGCTTGCTGATCGTGAATTCTCAAATTTTTTGACCACCACCTTGTGAATTTCATCTAGGTTGACATTCTTGAATGACTGGAGATCTTTGAGGACTTGAGCATACTCTGAATTGCATTCATTGTCTTTCAGCCACTGAGGTACAGAGGAAATGGGACAAAAACATTCATCAGGATACACTGGATCTAGGAGTAGAGAAAAAAAGAATGTACATAAGAACAAAAACAGATAAAGATTGGAAAAAGGGGCTTTGTGGACTTTAAAATCAAGATGACATTTGCACTATTGTGAGCTCCTCTACCAATTAACTTAAGGCAAAACTCCATAAGAATACTAAGAAAACTAATAATTCCATAAGAAAACTATAAAGATCTGACGACAGTTTCATTTTTAAAGCATCTCCACTTATCTGTCCATTCTAATTGCCTATTCCTTAATGTCATCTTCCAAAGCATGATTATAGGAGATGGTGTCGATGGTAGAATCCACTTTCTTTTGTATTGAGTGTTGTGTGATTTGTGTGTTACAATTAGAGAATCGAGCCGTGTCATAAAGTACTCAGATCTTCTCGAATTAGTTTATGAAAAAGAGGACAACCACTTTTGAATGCATGCGTGTAAAGGATAGCGAAGGGAGGAAGGATTTAGGGACTCTTGTACCTCCTACAGGTAGGTGTACAATTAAAGATTTCAGGTAAATAAACCATGTATGCTGGAATTTTGTGCCAGTATTTATTAAGCTATTGTCAATTGTCAAAGGTTTTTTTAATGCATGCGCAGACCAAAAATCAATTAATAGAGCTCCTACTGAAGACTTAAGAGTAGACGCACTCTACATGACTATTAGTCAAATACATTACATATTATTTACAAATAAACGCATAGATGCATTTAAAAAAAAGGAGTCTATCTGCGTATTCTTTATGCTTAAGTATAGTATGCGTATCGGTTTAAATACAGAATACGTATACACATTCAGCATTTCCATCTGGTGTAAGAAGACTTTCATTTGCACTAATGTGACCATGTATTAGTCTTAGTCTGGAGAAATATTTCCAATGAAAAATAGGACACGGGAATAGAAGAGGAACAGAACAGGAACTTCGAACACATGAAAAGAAGATGAAAAGAATCGAAGTCCATGTTCAAGTGAAGAAATGTTTATTTTTAGGGGGCACTAGTGATTATTTACTTCACAGTGGGTAAAACAAGAAAGGTCGACATTCTTTTTGGGTTGGCATACATTTTCTACTTTTAAAGCAGAAGCTGATAAATGTGCAGCTTTAAGTGAAAAGAGGAGGGAAGTGCACTTTAGTGAAAAGTTATGTGAAGGCTGTCTTAAGAAATGTGAATAAAGAACATTTTGTACCGAAAAAAATCTTCTAATATTAGTAACACACTTGATCCATTTCTTGAAATTTGTTTTCTGTTTGTAGTCTAGTGTACTGATATGTGTATGATATGAAATGGAGAATACAAAGGACCATCACCAAGGATACCATTTGAAAACGAAAGAGAGAAGGAAAATGAAACAAGATGCGATTGAGGATTCAAGTGCCACCATTCCGAGATTTAGTGAGAATGCACATATCACCTTGAAACTTATATGGTGAACCTCCTACATGTGTATTTCTTGAAGTGAGGATCTCAATTTCGAAATCATAACAGATTTCGTACAATTTATACCTTACAATGAATGAGCCATCTTTTTTGTCGAGAATATTCGTCCATACACGGCATTGGTGTCTTTTGATGGAATGACCATTAATCCTTACTCTGAAAGGGTCCTTCAACTGGTTCTTGATCCTAAAACATCAATATACAACATTATTACGATTATAAATGAGGGGAAATATTTTTATGCAGGCTAAGAAAGAAATTAGTCAAAAAGATTTTTTTTTCTTTTAGTAGATAGTGATAATCTGCATTAATGATTTTCGTTTGCAACTTACCAGATGAGTTTGAGAAATTAATCAATAAAGAAAATATGGATTACTGGAACCCGCTTAAATTGTGATTTAGCTGCCAGGGGTTCACAATAATGTGCCATCGCGACTGATAACTTTAATTATTCTTCCTTTCAATCATGGATGACAAGATTAGAGAGCAGAAAAAAAAAAGATAAAAACTTTGCTAGGAGCAGCAGCATCCTTAGCCCTTGGCCCCCCCCCCCCCTCCNCTTCTCCTACCATCCACTTTCAGCCCTGACGATAAATTCTGAAATCTTTAGCAAAAAAAAAAAATTAAAAATTGAAGAGGAAAAGAATGAAATGTTCATTTAAGTACTGCAATGACTGAGCACGAATGAGTCCATTTTCTGGGATGAAAACCATCTGAATGTTGGCGGGATTGAAATTTGCTTTAGGAATTACTTACTTTTCGTTTGAACGATCATTTTATCAGACCAGACATTTAATTTTAATTACATTTCAAGGTAAATTATTCTGTAAGACATACCTATAAGTTAAGGCATTAAGTTTTGATGAAAAAAAAGGTGGTATAAATTTCTCAAGTGGATTATTTGCTTCATAAATATTCCATTTAAATGTCAAAGGAACCCAGGAATTTGATGGGTATTTTGAATGATACGGATAACTATCCAAATAATTAGGAATCTGTGGTCTCCTCTAGCGAGAGTTAAGCTACTTCAAAAGTTAAGTAAGTGTTGAAGCTCTTCAGGTCTAATGTCTGTATTAGAAATGGGAAACACAATTAATATTCTAGGCTTCCAACTGTTGTGCCTGCATCCTAAATGGGATATACACTTTTTGGCGAGAATTTTATCAATGAATACCTCAACTTCTCATCTGACAGGCTGTCAGATGCAATGATCCCCTGCATGCAAAGTCATCCAGACAGGCCAGACTTGGCTAAAATATTTGATCAAAAATGCATCAACAATACAAGCAAAAACTTACTTTTTGGCATTGTCATCCACAAGTTGCACAAAAAAATATCTGGCAGGTGAAATGATTTTCACCGGATTTAGACCAGGACCCCATACTTTTGACTGTCTTTCATTAAACAGTAAGGCTGTTATATAATTAACTAAGTAAATATTGAAAAAGAAGATGACAAAAAATACTTTGAATTCTTTAAATATCATTGCAAGATGAAGACAGTGCCCAAGTGAAATAAACATTCAGTCCTCGTTAAGCGTGACAAGGAGCATCGTATCCATGACCTCTGACACAAACCTCCGCAGGCAGTCATGGAGAAAATATTGAAGCACACTTGGACAAGATTTAGCGTTATTTCAATGTAATAATGAAATAAGAGACTACACTAAAAACGAAACCTGTATCTAAGTCTAAACTTCTCGAAGTCCTTCATCGTACCGAACTGAAAAACTTTGTCTTGATAACACTTGATAATAATAATATAACCTCAAATTCACCTCATTTGTGATGCAACCGATTAGTCTCATAAAAACAACACACATCGAAAAATCATGAAAGGTTATGTTGTTTTGTTGTGAAAAATTCTGAGATGAGATACATTGCATGCATGACATGGCATGCTTCACAATTGTAATTTTTTCGCACTTATGTAATTTGACAGTTTAAGAACTTCCCATTTTAGTGACTTCTATACATATGATTGAGAAAGTAAGTAACGGTGTACCTCTAAAATTTATGATTGCGTAGACAGCAAAGAGATTTTTTAGCGCCCAGGGACATTGATAAGCCAACAACTATCGAAGACCATGGCGATGTTAGCTGAAGGAAAATCCAAAACCAAATGGGTTCTCAATCCGAGAGGCTCAAATGCAATGGAGGGTAAGTAAACCAACTTAGTTTTGATATTTTGAAAAGATCTCAATTTAAACTCGCTGCTCCTATGCTTGTACATGTGTTTCTTACGTTTACCTCTCCATGTGCACAGAATGACCTCTACTCTCTTTGCTAGCATTTTGCTCCTTACTTTGAAGAATGTCATTGATGCTGCAAAGTTATCTCTCCGCTGCCATGTTACTTCTAAAATTTTGTGACCACTGAGCACATGCGGTCATCATCAAGACTGTAGGTCAATCCTGCAGAACATGAGTATTTTTAATAAGTGATTCTGAGCATATTCTGCTAGTATCTATGTTTATAGGAGTACTGTTGAAGCTCAAATATAGAGCATGTCATGGTATGTGGGTTCAATTCTCAGGAAAATAAAATAGTTTGTCTGAAAGAACTCTTTGATCTTCCAAGTATCAATTCTGCTTGGGTTCGGATCTGAAAGGTGCAATTTTTTATCAACTCTGGTTGGAAGCAAAACTCCTGGTTCAGGCAATTGGAAAATGTTGTTCAAGATAGGTGAAGTACTTTCAAACGCATTCAGATTAGGTTTTAACGTCCATTTGTCATTTCTGATCGGCTTCATAGGATAGGAGTCTTCTTGATCAGGATGGTATCCAACCTGTATTGAGTTGAACATGTTTGTTGGGTTTGTGTTCATAAAAGAGTTTTCTGTATGCCTCTCTCAATTTAGGTTGCGAAAGATGGATTCAACTAGTATTGAAATGCTAACATATACTTATTTACTGACCAACTTCAACCAGCCTAATGATGCCACCGATTTGCTCAGTAATGCCAGAAGTAGTAGCATTAACAAGTGCTGAAAGACACTGAACGCTACCTTTTTTCTTCTCAAACTTGTCTATTTATCGGTAGCAATAGGAATTTTCTATTTCATTCAGAAAATTACCTCAAGCGAACTGTAGCACTCAGCATTTAGGTAATCTTTGCATTGTGAGGTCGGTCTCTTTCTGCATAGCAAGTAATATTATCTGTGTCTATATGAGGTTAAAAGCTTGACTTCAGTTTTTTATCCTTCTGAACAGGTCCCTACATAATATTTTTCTCTATAGTTTTTGATCATTTTAAATTTAAGTAAGTATGTCTAAACTTTCAAATTCTGTAAGAAGGAAGAGAAAATGGTAATTAAAAATGTGACCCAGAAGTAATCAAATCTCCAGAATCAAACTCCTCAATTTATTGTCTGTGTTTTTTTTTTTTTTTTTTTTTTTTTGGCTTTTTTTCATTTATCTTGAATTCTACCACAAATAAGGTTTCGTTGTTTACCAAACACCAAGTGGACGTACGTTTTAGGAAGTTGTTCGAGAGCCTGATGATGTTTTGTGACGAACTCGTGACACAAGATTTGACAACTTAAATTGAGAGTTTTACATGCACTGACTGTGCATGTGGCTGACAACCATTTTCCAAGTCAGTTCAGATTTAAGTGGTCAAAACTTGTGTCCGGAGTTTGTCACATAATGTCGTCGGGCTCACCAACTAAAATTAATTTTACTGATATTATATTTGCAGGAATGTGCTTTGGACGAAAAATACTCGAGAAAATGGGATGGCAGTCCGGTGATGGTTTGGGTGTGAACAAGCAAGGTGTCACAGAACCCTTACGTGTCTCCTACAAAAATGATGTCAAGGGTAAGTGTTATCTAGTTATTATTTTGAAGTACCCTTAAACCCTAAAAACACCCTCTTGGTACTGCCAAAGAATGATAATGTCACATTTTTACCTACATTCTAAAATACCTTACTTGCATTCTGTAAATACCAGGATTTGCTAATAATGTGCATAGGTACCCTTGATTTTAGTATTGAAGTGACTTAAGTGTTTTAAAACATTTTCAAAAAGGCAGTTGGAAATTACCTTTAAACTACAGCTGTGCTCTCATGTAAAACTGATTTGTTCAGTTTTCGTTCGTAAAGACATAAATTATTTTACCAAGGTGTCAAATGAAACAAATCCTGCTTTCTTTTTGCTGTCAGAGCAGAAAATGACCCTTTTTTCCCCATCACCAACCAACTCTCCGAAAAATATAATTTGTCAAAAATATGCCTTTTTGACACCTAAATGTAACACTTTCTGGGGTGCTAAGCTTAAAGTAGGATTAACCTGAACTGATCTAGATTTTCCTATTTGTCTTAATGTACCTGCAGCACAATGACAGTATAATGTATAAAACAAATTTATATTTCCACTTAAATGTGCTTCAAAGCACAATGAAATTGAAGTGAAAAGTTGATGAGTTTCATCAGTCCTGCACGTACTCAACAAGATTGTTTTCATTAAATTTGACATGCTCCTGAGTGGAAAAACATATTTGTTCAAAAAATGGTATTTAGGTTTGTGTGTGGGATTTCCTGTAATCCTATTAATTTGCCTGTAACAATATTTACTTCGTTTTTCCCCCAGGTATAGGATACAAGAAAAATCTGGACAATGAATGGCTGAAAGTAGAAGATGAATTTTCCAAAATCCTGCAGAATCTATCAAATGGTGAGGATACAAATCAAAAGGAAGAAACCAACATTGAATCGTTAGAGAAAAAATCAGAAAGCTCTAAAGCTCGTTTGCAGTAAGTATCCTACAAGTTTACTCTTTTCTACATAATGATGTTCAGTTTGTATTTAGGGAGATGCTAACCCATTTGCCTCATTTGACGAGTATACTCGTCAGCGCCCACAGGACATATCTTAGTTAATGAGTTAATTCGCAGCATCTATTGGCGTTTCTATGAAATTTTTTTGTTCATGTTTTTTCACTTTTCCGATAATTGACATCTCAAGCGTCACAACACCGACAAATGGCGCATTGGCGCAATTAACTCGTCAGTTGAGATAATCTCCTGAGCCCCCGCTGACAAGTGAACTCGTCATTTGAGGCAAATGGGTTAAAGAGGAAATTGATAAAGAACGATGAGTCACAATGAGACCCAAAAATTCTCTGTCAGGTTGGCACCAACTCTGCTGGAGGGTGAATGCAAGATGGTATGTAAGGAATCACAGATACTGTTACCAGTATTACAGCACTTGTAGTTTTTCTTTGTTGGTGTTCTCAAAAACGACTTAACTGATTTACTTCAATTCTTTTTTAATAAAAGTTTCTGTCTTGTGGTTGTACCTGTACCTTAGATTTTTCAGTTTTTGCAAAGGACATCGCAAAAGTTCTCTAAATTGAAATTTTCGTATTCCAGTTTGTATAAGGTTTGAAACTTTTGAGAGCGAAATTTATCAGAAAATCCAACTCGTACGGTTTACTTTAAATTTTTAAAATGGAACCCTCTACTTTCTGACTGTGCCCATAGCTCTAATGTGCCTCAGTTTTTTCGATTCTTGCAAATAACTTCGCAAATTTCCCTTGAATTCAATTTCATGGACAGGTTGGCAGTAGAAGGAAACATGAATAGATGGAATATTTCAATAATATTTAAAGATACTCACCTACAGTTCAGACAAGGCTGTCCCAACAGCTGCTGATAACAAGCTGCAGGGATGCAGAATGGGCCCAATGATGAAAGTAACTATTGTGAGGGGGAAAATAATGTAAATTCTATCATGGGAATAATCTGTCTCAAAAGAGGCCTTATCCTGCCCTTCCGAACTCACAGGAAAGGGGGGGGGGTTTGTGTGTGTGTTTGCAGATGGTCAACTTTGTTTTTCTCCTTATTGAGCTTTATTGAGAAACTGCTGCATTTTTCTGTGAAACACATAATTTTATTGCTGATTCTGGCCGGCCTTTCAAGATCTCTTAGCTCAACCTTTATACTTTTTAAATCTGTTTTGAGGGCCCTCCCCTTTTTGCACATGAACATTTGCCACTCACCTGTCATGGCAAGGGAGAAGTTTCTGTATCCCTACAGAACATCAAAGCCTTCCTGTGATCATTATTGAGAGCAGCTAATTGCAAGTCATAATTTCTTCTTTGCAATAATTTTTGTCCAATGAATTTTCCTTTCTTGCCGTCTCCTTATCTTTTTTTTCTCCTCATTTGTTATATTTTAACAATATTTTTATTTTTTCCAGTTATCGCAAGTTTACTCGCAATAAGGACCTAAGTCGGTATAGTGAAAAAGACCTGTCGTGTATATTAGGTCACGTCAAGAGTGTGGAGCCATCGTTGGAAGAAAGCAAAGAAGACGATAAATTCAGGGATAAAGGAACAATCGACCAATATTTTGAATCAATGGCCTTCAAATTCTCACAGGCCTCAAATGAGGCTATCGGAAATGACCCCTCTACTGAGACGAGTAGCACTGAAAAACCGAAGAAAAAACGAAAAAGGCAGGAAGAGTCCTCTGCCGAATCAGTTCAGGTTTGTCAAGATGAAGAAATGAAAGACCAAGTGACAAGATCTGAAAGCTATGGAGCGACTGAACCAACTGAGGAGAGCTCTTCATCAAATTTTAAGAGCGGTGATGAGAAATTTTTGCAGAAGAAGAAATCAAAAAACAGCAAAGAACCCTCAAAGGCAGTTGGGTGCTTAGAAGATATGCCCAAACTTGAAGAAGAATCTACAGAAGTGGAGGTTAAAATTAAAAAGAAGAAGAATAAAAGAGTCAGATTCTCCGAAATGGATCTAATTCCAACATCAATCAAAACTGAAGAAATGCCTTCATCTCAGTCTGATGAGATAGACAGAGGTAGTCATGAAATAAAATTGAAGAAAATAGAACTCAAATCTGACAGTATATTGGAAGTTGCAGTAAATAACCTCGAACAGAATTCCCACGAAACAGCCTCAAGTTTTACAGAAATATCCGACTCTCAGGAAAAAACAAGAAGTAGAAAGAAGCGAAAAGAGAAGAAATTAGCTGTGAGTAATTGTGATGATCTTGGGAGTATACAGAGCCCCGTAAAGATAGATAAGAATGGAAAACGGATAAAGAAGAAACCAAAAAAAGAAGTGAATGAAACAGAAACTATGGTAAACCTACCCTCTGTCTTAGAAAATTCTGAATTTAGCAGTGGGTGTACGAAACATAGAAAGAAGTCAAAGAAAAGGAAATGTCACCTCTCAGAAACTAGACAGTTGAGAAGTAGCTCAGCAGAATCCTCAAGTAGCTCCGACGATGACATGAAAATACCATCAGCAGTGATGGAAAATGATACATCCTTGAAAATTTCGAGTCGTCAAAGTAGCCCAATAGAACGTGATATAAGTAAGAAGAAAGTAGATGTGGCTAACGAAGAAATTTTAGATAGTGATGTGACAAAATATGAGAAGGGGAAAAAACGTAAGCAGAGCAGTCTTGATGAAAACTCTGAAGGAGCTCCGAACAGCATAGACCCTGAAAATACTAAGAGTTTAGATAGTCACAACAAAGAACCTAGGAAGAAAAAGAAAAAATCCAAGCATCTTGATTCTGAAGAAGTGCCAGAGTCTTGCGAAAAAGTTGAATTTAATATGCACGAATCGCCAGATTTTCCAACTTATCCAGACGGAAATGCCTCCTCAGAAAGGAAACACAAAAAATCCAAAAGAAACAGAGCTCAGGTTGAAAATTTGGAGCTAGATGAAGTAAATCTAGAAAATGGTCCAAGAGAAGACAGTGCTAGCAGCAAGAAGAAAGAGAAATCCTCCAAAACTCTAAAATCAGTCACTTTTTCTGAAAACACAGAATGCATTGTTGATGATAAGTTAGGAGCAAATTCTGAAAGTAACAAAAACTTAAATAGGAAAAAGGCTAAAAGGTCTAAGAAAGATAAACTGCAGGTGGAACCTCTAGATTTTGAAAGTACAGATGTGGAGGTCTCAATATCAGAGAAAGGGTCTAAAACCATAGAATCACAAAATACCAACAGCACATCGGAAGTCTCTGATTTAAAGTGTGAGATAGACCCCAACATTGGTGCCTCGAAAAAGAAGAAAAAGAACTTGAAAAATGTAGATTCTAATGATGAAAGTACAAAGGCGCTGGAGAAGGATAAGAACGCTAGTCAACTTGATCCTGAATTTTGTGATCCGGCTGATTCAAGTGCCCTCAAAACTACAGACAAGAAAGCCAAGTTGTTGGCTATGTTAGCGAAAACAACTAAAGATGAGTCTGATGATTCCGATAGTGATTCAAATTCCAAGACTCCAATTTGTAGTGTGTCCACTGAACCTACAAATAAGAAAGCTAAGTTGTTGGCTATGTTAGCAAAAACAACGAAAGATGAGTCTGATGATTCCGATAGTGACTCAAACCTGGTAGCTCCTGTAAGTAGTGTTTTCAAGGGTTCTAACTTTGAACGAATCCCTGGTTACCGTAATGTCAGTGCGAGGTAGTTGTTGCCTAATCACACAGTTCCTTCTTGTTGTGCTTAAAATTCAGTTGGCCCATTGTGGCAACAACTCCTTGCGTTGGTTCTGTCAGAAAGTTTAGGAATGAGTATTTTGAAGTATGAAACTATGTTGTAAAAATCAAAAAGAAAAAAATCTTTGAAATGTCCAAGCATAATGGCGGAAAACATTGTGGATTATGTTGCTATGATGTTACCGTATTGTGAATGTGAGTGGAATTAGGGGGTGCCTAAGAGAAAATTTTGTTTATGAAAGAATCAAAGCTTATTTTTGGGTAAAGGGGGAACTTTCAAATGATCTTACTTGACTTGAACTGAAAACCTAAATATGATTCAAACATATTAATATGTAGCACATCTTCCTGTCTAAATTAAGACTTTAATAGAGTAAGAAAATTGACAGCATGACTAGGTGTTATGTTTCAAGAAATGAAATTGAATGTTTCATGTATTATTTTTCTCAATGAACATTCATTAACGTTAGGTCGTTTCTACATACTCAGTCCCAGCTTGCCTGGATAATTTATTTTCATTTTAAATGTGAGCCATCATTTCATAAACTTGAAGTTGGTTTATTATTCATACAACCAGACATTTCAAGATGTTGCCAGGCAACATCAGTAATCTCTTTTATGCAGAGTCTTTCGGTAGAGTTTGATGAACCTTAAGTATGTGACTGTTTGATCAGCCAGAGTACTGCCAGAACCCTTTGGAAATTCAACGTCCCGTTTTCAAGCTACTTGTCCCTGAATATGAGTGGTAAACAGGCCATGCACTGTCTAAGGACACGGCAATCAAGTCAATATCAATGAAGTTTGTTTTCTCACCAATCCTTTTACTCAATTCTAGGAAGCACATAAATTTCGTGCAGAAACATTCTACTGAAGATTTTTAGTTTTTGGAAGATCTTCCTCTACTGTGATTAGCAGTCGTCTAGATTTAAAGAATAATCATTGAGTTTTGAAATTATTGACTAAATTCAAACTATGTACTATCGAATTTTTGCTTTTATGTAAATATAATCGTAATTCGCATTTGATTGTTATGATTCAAATCTTAATAAATAAACGCGTACCTAAGGCTGTAATTTTAGCCATCATCACCATTTCTCCTGGATGGTTTGTCGTAACAGGTCGCTAACTATACCAGTTTATCAAGCAGCTCCACTCGTTACATTTATTATTTAATTTCATACAGATTTTTCCTGATTTGTAAGTTTGTTTTAGTGATGTTTCTCCAGGAAAACACGGATTTTTCTGCAGTGTTGCTGCGGTTCTCCACATTTTACTCCAACAAGGAACAGTATTTATCTTGCATTCTAAAATGTGTTGCAAATTCAGAATTTAGTTTTACTGTTTCAAAACCTATACAAATCAACGAAAGCTGATTATCAGCCGTTTTTGTATCCTACAGCAAATTTTTCAAGGAAAATTCTCAGAACGAAGTTCAAATTTGATATCAGCAACCAAAACTACCCAGGAGTCCCCACTCAGTGATATCGTAAATACTGCCGGCCTTTTAATTTTATTTAGCCTTGATTGGCTGCCAACTGGTTGCGTGCTTAAAAATCGCCGTGACTCCTGGACTCATCAAGTCCACAAGGTCAAATAAAGTGAGAATCTCTATAAATACATGGAAAATCACTGTGATAGCTAGGATTTTGTTCAAATTGTGAATATTAATATTGTATATTGAAAATTATCAATATTAAAAGAGGAGTATAAAAGAAAACAAGAGGACACAGGGTGAAGAATAGGGCTCTTGAGAACATTCTATCATACAAGAGACACCAAAGAGAATGAGTGGGCCGCACAAATTCTAAGAAAGGCCGAAACTCAGATTGGCTCTTTGAAAAATCTCGAGACGATGAAAATTTTTGGTCGCGAAAATTAAAAGAGGACCGGCCACCGCACCGGCGGCCCAAATAATAATTCTCCACGTGACTCTGACCGACCCTCCAAAAATGTGCGAGGACCCTAGAAATTTCGGACCATATCAGTTCATAGGTGTTCTGGAAGCACAAATCGTTATTTTTCTGATGAATTTGACCAGCCCCCGAAACATTTATGAGACGCTAGAAAATTTGGGCCGTCAGTTGATTAAAAGTTGGCCGAAGGCACAAATCATAATTTGTTTGGAATCTAATGACCGGCATACTAATTTGTAAGACGGCCAGAAATTTTAGGACGTATCAGTTCTATGGTGAGTCGATGGCCTAAATCATGATTTTTGGATAAATTAATTTGATCGACCCGTCAGAAATGTTGGGCCATATCAGTTTTAAAGTGGATCCAAATCATGATGTCCTGCATGGATTTGACTGGTCCTCAAAAATTGCTATGGCGCTAAAAAGAAATAAGGGGTTTTTCGATACATGTCGACCGACTCGTACGGGTTTGTCGATCGATTTACGGCTATCGTCGGTTGGTTCACGTTTTTTATTTTTCAATTGATTCATGTCGATCGAATCCATACTCTACGAAAGGGTTCATCGATCAAATGCACTTCATTTTGCAATTAGGAACCGCAATTTCTGGCTTCGTTAATTTCCTTAGTCACACAAGTGTTTTTACAGATGAGCTATAGTAATTGTAGTTCCGAATAGCAAAATGTAATCCACATGATCACGACATTGCATCGCTGAGCAACGAGAGGCCTAGACGTAAAAGTTGTTTCGCTTGAATTTTTCTACTTAGAAATATTTATAAAAATAAGTAATTAATGAGGAGAAGAAAATTTGTTGGGTTTTAAGTAATATTTTACCATATGAAATGACAAAAATTCCAACAAACTGTGCAAAAACTTCAAAATCATGTACCTAAGTTGAACGCCGCTGACACTGCAAGTTTGAATAATCGCGTCAAACACAGTGCGGCCTGCGTAGGGCTCGCGCGCACGGCGCTAAACGCATAGTAGCGCCTCACAATACCGCAGGATACTTCATGCATTGCGCGTACAGCGTGGCGCGCATGGTAGCGCCTTACAAGTCCGCATTCATACATTGCGCGTATACTACGGTGCGCGCTCAAGTAGCAGTGATCGCGATGATTAGCGATTTTATCGGTTGGTTATCGCGATTATAGGTGGCAAGATATCGAGATATTATCGCATTGAAAATTGCGATTCATGGCGATTAAATCGCTACACATTGCAATTTTTGCTTCAATGAAATCGTGATCAAGTTCTGCCGATAAAATCGAGATTCAATCGCCATTTATCGCGATTTTTATTTCGAAAACATCGCGATAACTGTTGGGCGATCAAAGCGCGATTTTATCGCGATAAGATCGAGGATAATCGCTCAGATGTTGATAATCCTGGTGTTTTTATTGTCGATAAAATGGCGATATATATCAATTTTTCCGTTGAGAAATGCTACTTGGGCTTAGCTACGAGTTCTTTGCAAATCTCCTACCTTTCACTAAAGGGAGCCAAGCCAGACCCCTTGGCCACCTCTTTATAGTTCCACACCCATGCCCATGGGAAATAAATTCCCAAAAGGTAAGCCAGTTCTTATGAATTTTACCATTAAAATGCAACAAAATAAAGAAAATCTGTAGGTATGGAAGGAGGGAACTTTAAGCAAATACCTGAGTAATAAGCACGCACCAGGAAGTTAATACAAACTCTATATATTTTAGTTTAAATAACAAGTCCAAGTATAATATGTACAATAATACTCAAATATTTTTTACATATAAAAATAAAAATATCAAGTTCAATGTTTCATGAATTATTGTGCCATAAAGAGCAGCCATACTTACATACAGTACACGAGGGATTTTTTTCCAGGTAGGCCTTATCATGGGCGCGAACATCACTAGGTATGACTTAACATCACTGTATGGCTTCTTAGTTATTAAAGTTCATTAGGTGGGGAAGGGGGTAAGCACAACTAAGCATACACAATGAATGAGCGCAGAAATTAAACGCAGTTCAAGGGACTGTGGTGGCTTTCCCGATGATGGCAAGAGTAGCGTCTTGTTAATGTCGAAGTTTGATTGGCTTCGCCAATTTTAAACCTTTCACGAGGTTCTCAGGGTCCAAGCAATGTAGCAGCTAATCATAATTGACAGCACTGAATAGGCTACACTTTATTGATGTACAGGTGCATTCATTAGTACCTACTCTAAACGTGGTGAAACTTCCGCATGGAACTAATACTGTCTTTCCCGAGTAACTCAAAATGCCTAATTGGAGTTTTGAAGGCGAACTGGTGGGAAGAAACTTGGGTCACTGTAAAAAGCTATTGATGTGTAAGTGGACTACATTTTCTGGCTTATACAATAGGAACAACATACTAGGTATGTACCATTAGTTTCCCTATGCAGATAGGTCTTTTGCGGTAAGTAAGAGCCAATAGTTCCTGATTGCAAAATGTTGTCCAATTGATAGTGGTCTTTGTGTGTATATACGTGAACGAGTACCACAATGTGAACGAGATTTCAATACGGATACTTGGCATAAAACTGGCGAAACCATCGGGCAGTTGAACTCACACGGAAAGAAAAAAATGTTGGATTTTTCCACGACCTTCGGTAATGTCGGCGTCAACCAAGAAACATGGTTTAATTTACCAGTTTGCCATATTGCTTCCTTGGTACCGGATAGAATCGGCTAGGAACATGATTGATTCGACCATATTTCTTGCTTGGCGCTATACCTACAACTATAGCCGGGAGTATGTTAGAATCGATAGATCATTATTATTTTTCCCCCGAGCTGAAGGAACAGAGTAGATTTATGACAAAACCAGACTCAAATCTCTTCAAGAAATTTTAATTAGACAAGGATTTTCACCTAATTTTCAAACAAATCTGTTTCCTTCAGCTCAATCCAACTGCTCCACTAAAAACACATCGGGTCACTGAAGTACGATCTGCTTAGCACAGAGTGGACGGAAACCCACGGTGCACAGTCGATCGATTCAATTAAAGAGTTCGGATATGAAATTTTTGACTACAGCTGTAAATTTTGATGTTTATTTCATCACATTTCAAATTTCAAGGAGCGCAATGGGGGAAAAAAAAACTCATTGGATCTAGAGTCCAGACTCTTAAAAACATCGACAAGAAAAATTCTCTTGATTCAATCAGACTTAAGCTTAAATCAAGAACCAAGCCTCTTAATTTGAGCGGATTTCCTTTTGATTTAAGCTTAAATCTGCTTGAATCAAGAGTCCTTTTTCTTGTCAATGTTTTCAAGAGTCTGGGCTCTAGATCCAATTTTTTTTTTTTTTTTTTTTTTTTTTTTTTTTTTACCAGTCGTGCGTGCCGAAGAAAATTGAAGAGCTTTCCGGAAAAAGGGCACAAAGCAAAAAATTGCGTTTAAAAATGATGCATTTGAAGTTTTGATCATTACTCTATGGCCACCGACAGTGACTTTCGTTCGAAATCGGGAGTCCAAGCTACGATGGCAGGTACCGGTACCATCAGTGGCCAGAAATCAATGATGGAAACTTAAAATGCATTTTTCTCAAACGCTATTTTTTGCTATGTGCCCTTTTCCCGGAAAGCTCCTTAATTTCAGGAGGAAACCAATGGAGCTGCTTTTAAAACCTCAGGGTTTTGGTGAAACGAAGTTTAAAGTTTCCGAATTTTGTCCGACCTCTCCTACTGACTCGATCCACTGTGCGGAATGACCATGGAGGGGTCTAGGTTCGCTTTCCTCGGGCGGGGAAATAGAGGAATGTCTCCGGGATGGCGGGTGTCCTGTGTCACGTCTTCACCCTTGGTCGGGACATTAGTTTCTCTAACTTCTCCAGGTTGTGCAGGGTGGTCGAGTCCCGGGGGTCCAGCCGCAACGCCTCGCTGTACGACTTGATGGCCTCCTCGTAGCGCCCGTTCAGGTGCAGCATCGCTCCCAGGTTGCTGTGAGACCCCGATTCCTGCAATCATCCGAACGCATATTCTAAAGTTTTTCCCGCTTCAGCATATCGACGGTGAAACTACCAAACCGCGTACCTCGTTTGCTGTGTTTAGAAATCTACGCTCACATTTTATTTCTTTTGAAGTAGACCAAATCAATATCATTCCTTGAAATTTTCACGAAATTTTCTCCGCACAAAGAGGGAAAATCACAGAAATTTTCAAGACTGGATGTTGAGTAGTTTTTCATTTAAAAATAGAGTATGACAGGAAGTCTGCGACGTCGCAAACCGAGATACGTGGTTTGGTAGTTTCACCGTCGATATAGAAAAACAGTGCTGCCATTTTATTTGGACGTATTTCTGTCGAACGGAGCTAAGCGCCAATTCGAGTCCCTTCTAAGGAATTCAGAATGCTGGATATTGCGTTCTGTCAAACGGAACTAAGCGCCATGGAAAAGCATTGCGAGTATGGGACGGAATGAGCCCGACGCCCGCCCGGTCAGGCCGCCAATCCAAGCCCCCCCCCCTCTACCTTCCTCCCCCTATGGCGCTTAGGTTTCAGCGCTAAGTTTGACAGAAATACGTCGAAATCATCAAAAGATTCCGAAATAATTCCGAATTCCGGAAACATGTTCCAATTTGCCAAAGCTCCGAGAAAAATTCCGATTTCTTCAAGAATTCCGGGGAAAAATTTCGAAATACGCCCGGATTTAGTTCCGAAGATCGTCAAATTTGATCAAAAAGTCCATAAATTTTTTCAAATGAATGGTCATGGTCAACTGGCTAAAAGCTGCCAATTTTAAGGAAATTCTGAAATTATGGCTGAAAAAGCCGAGGAAATTCTGAAAAATCTGGGAAAAGTTCCAAATTTAGGAATTAATTCCGGGAAATGGCAGCACTGGAAAGAAATGAGGTGTTTGCATCTTGAGGATTGTTAGCCCCTTGACGTAGGTTGGCTGCTCTAGCAAAATCCGGGATTCGAAGTATGAAAAATGGATCGTAAAGTCCGATTTTTTTGCTGAAATCAACTCATGATATAATTTCAAACACTTTTTATAGAAACAATTTTCCCCATAAACTACACCATTTCCAAGAAAATTGATGATAAAAATCGTCCGTACCGACGTACGTCATCCAAAAAAATCCAAGATGCCCAAAATGCAAACACCTCCTTTTTTTCTCTACGCCAGTTCAGCACTCAAAGGCGATCGCAAGCTACCTACTAATCAAATCAAACATTTTTTCAATGGCATAATTAGGCAGAGTCATATTTTAAAGACCTGCCAAGTTTTTCGTGTATTTTTTTTCCTTTTAAAAAAGAAGTCTGAATTATTCAGCAATCTAAAAGAGCAATTTATAAAAAACCAATTTTTCCTGACCTTTGAAAACTGAATTGTCTACTTAATTCAGAAGTCCATAATTCAACATATTTTTTAACCCTCATTCTCAAGTAGCTGGATTGCACTAAGTAGCAATTACAGAGTAAGGATAATGCGATTCAACTGATTGTGAGTGTTGTGTATGTTGCCTAGCTCCTATTTGAAGGGGCCCCATTGAAACTTTTTGCAATAAAATTTAAATAAGTTGCAATTTTTCATTGCATTGCATATTGCCTGTATTTCTGACACGTGGAGCTCATTTTTTTAATGTTTAAAATCGGCGTTAATCGACTAAATGATGTAAAAATATTGCAATTTAGCGGTGAAAAAATTACAATTGTATTAACATCAAATGGCAACTGAATTTCAATATTTTCGTTACACTGTGCTACTTGGGTTCATGGTAATTTTTTTCCCTTAGAGCCCCTTCTACCCCCGAATGATTGGATTTCGGCGCTGATACTGAGAGGGGGATGAGGAGGGCTGGGGGCTTTTGGATCAATATATATTTTCAAAGCCATGACCAGCGTGGGGTTAACCAATGGAGTGACTTACCATAGGCTTCAGCTCTACGGCTCTCCTGTACATCTGCTCAGCTTTTTGCCCGTGCCCCGCCTGACGCAGGGCGGTCGCTGCCGAGACTACAAGATCGTACTCTGTCGGTGCCAGCTCCGCGGCTTTTACTAGGTGATATGCAGCCTCCAGAAATCTCCCTCGCTCTGCTAGGAATTGACCTGCCGAATCGAAATGACGCCATAGGTGTAAAAAAGAACCTGAAAGGCGCAAATCTTCAACAGGGATGCAAAAGTTCAAAAAAATCTTCGCAAAATTTCCGGTATAAAATTTTCTAGAATATACGTGGAATATTTGGTATTTTATGGACAGTAGATCGAGCTAGAGTAACGCATAAAGTTTTTGTTTCGTTAGTTTTTGTTACGTTAGTTTCTGTTAAAGTTACGGGTTTTTGTCGGATTGATCCAATCAACACACCAAGCGAAGAACTTAGTTAGGAAGAGGAAAGTCTTGTGTCAAAATTATGGGAGTTTCATTTCTTGCGTATATTTTTCATGCAGATTGTATTTAACACCGGTAAATTTTAAACATTTCACTATAGGATCTGAAAATTTTTCAAACGAATCAATAGTGCCATCGATTTTGTCAAATATCAACTCTTAAGCTTACCGAAATGTTGATGCACGGAAGGATCCTTTGGTGCTAATTTCTGAGCCTTCTGAAACCACAGCTCGGCCTCTGGTATTCTCGTTTTCTGTAAAAAATATGAGGGGTGAGTGATCAACTCTGAAACAATTTGAATGCCGCTTGAGCTAGGATTTGTTAATAGATTGAGTTGTCGGTTTTATAAGAAACTCCGATGTAAATGCTTGTAAATAAATGAAGTCTGCTTAAATTAAATGTATACGTATAATACAAATCAGAATCGGCGGGAATATTTTAATCCTAACTTAAAGTTTTAGACTGATGCATCTGCAAATGAAAGGCTTGAAGGACAAGGCGCAGAAGTGCAGTTTTTGAAAAATTGAGACATTAATGATTTCAAGTGAAACTAGTCTTGATGCACATTCTGTGAAAATTTCGCTCCCAAATTCCAATTTTTAAGCATCAAAAAGTCAGTTTGAACTATCTTTCCGCCATAAAGGATCCATGTAATTGTGAAACTACAAACACGTATTTCTAAAAATAGCAAAAACTGCACTTATGTGCCTTGTCCTCCAAGCCCCTCAAACGATTAAAATCGAATTGTTCACGAAATATGTATTTTTAACGACCACTCAAAATGTCGAACAAGTCGAACACTTACGTTTCGAGCGAGAAGTTTGCCGTAAGTTAAATGAGCGGGCACATGGTCAGGTTTTGCCTGCAGAGCTGCCTGGTACCAATACTCGGCTGCTTCAACTTGACCCAGCCGCGACAAGGCCTCTCCTAGTAGATTGTATAAGATCTGAAACAGGTCCACATAATCAATTTAGGTACGTATTCAATTTAACAAAATCAACACAAAAGTTGAGGGAGCCGCAGCGAACAGCCTACTGGCGTCTGCTTCAGCTGTATCGGTGACATTCGATACAAGATGCAACTATTCGTCCTTCTCCGATTCCCTTGTTGCCCACCCTCAAAATGAAGGCGCGCTGGTTATTTTAATGCTGCGATCTAACAATAAAATCGAATTGGATGACACTATAGAGGATGCCCCATTGACGGATTCAAGGAAGCGTGCCCCCCCCCCCTTTCGACGAAAAAAAGGAGGAAGAAAAAGGGAGGGAAGAAAAAAAGAGGGAAGGAATGAACGACAGAAGGAGGACGGAAGCTTATATTGGGAAATTATTCATCATAAAATTGACTCATACTGCATATTAGATGTTTTAGAATTTCACAAATTTTCTGAAGGGAGCCCCTTCTCCGCCCCATCTGTTTGAAGTGTATGGGTCCGTCTTTACGGTGCCCTGTTTCAAGGTTAAACGAGCTTTTGATACAATTTTGATACAACGTTTTGATACATAGAAAATCATTTTCTATTTGTCAAAAAGACGTTCTAAGTCCCAAACCACGTATCTTCGGATAACCCGATTTCTCAGGAGAGCGAAGGAACTGGCTACAAGCCTCATTTTTGAAGGTAGAGGTGGTATCGAGGTGGAGGAATAAAAAACCTCTGGTTTTTACCTCCAAGTTCTAGATGAATTGCCGCGGATATTTTGAAGTCTCACATGAGCCCTGCGGGCCGATTATTGAAATTGATAGACAAAGCTATAGTTAAAGAAGAAATAGAGAGTTAGGAGCTATCCTATTGGTTGAAATGGGTGGTTCCTAAAGACTAAGGGAGAAAATGATGGACTAACTATCGGGCCTCTCGTGGGGTGCCGATAGTTAGTCCATCACTTACCTCCTTCGTCCATTGCAATTACCCGCTTTCATCAATAAGATCCCTCCATACCTCTTTTGTCTTCTTTGTCTATAGCTTTGTCTATCAATTTGAATAATCGGCCTGCAGGTGTTTTCCGGGTTTTTCAGGTCTGAGACACCCCGACTTTAAACGGAGACACGGCAAAGCTGCCTCCGAATCTGAAACTTGGATGGGAGTTTTGGCAGCCGGGTGAGGCAAGAAAGTTTACTGCCGAAATTGATAACGCGGTTGCCGAACTCTCGCGGGTATACGCACAATACGTATACTATCCACGTCTCGAATACCGAGGGATGGCGCCTCGGACACGCGGCAACGGGGCGATACCTCCAACACGTCTCTTTCTCTGCTTATTACTTCCCCGCTCGGAAGTTTCAGGCAAATTGAAACTTTCGACGGAGACTAACAAGGAGACAACATACGAGTTGGAACGAAGCTGTGACATTGTTCGGTTTCCCCCGAGTTTCGCGGGAAGGTTCTACTCAAAATCGAGAGTTTATGCCGAATCGCGGGGTAGACCTCGTCAGCGCATGTACTTGTGCATAATACCAAGGGACGATGACGATGGAACACGAGGAGTTGGAAATTTTTAGATTCTCGAGTGCAAGTGACGATAATCTGGAGGCGAAAGTTCTCATTCAGAGTTTTTGGGTGGCTTGCACAGATTCATGATAATGTGGCGGATAAACTCTCAACTAAACGGAGAAAAAATTTGTATCAGCCATATGAACCGGAGTACTGTTTAATACCTATATACGGGAGAGTATTGCCATCTTGGTGCCGCTCTCTGATTGGTTCATCAGTTTTAGGCTATCATGAAGCTCCAAAGTTGGACCAATGTAAACAAACTCGATCTAGAGGAACACGTATTATCGGCTGAGAAATGAATGATAATCACACTCGAAGGTTAATTTTCGGCAAAAATATCCATCAAAATTCGATTCGAACTCAATTCAGAAGTTGGCTATAAAAAATTTCTAACACATCCAAAATCAAGTTTAGAGCTTTATAGAACTTTATCACCGTCTATTTTGTTTGTATTGGGCCAAACTAGGAGCGGAGTAGCTGGGGATTGTTTGGTCCAACTTTGGGGCTCCATGATAGCCGACCAATCAGAGAGCGGCACACTTTTTCTGTAGTATAAGGATTGAGATGACAATACTTTCCTGTATATAGGTATTCTACGACTGCATATCATCTCCGCACACTTTCATTTCCACACACTTTTTCCAAATTTCATTTCCACACACTTTTTCCAAATTTCATTTCCTCCCACTTCTTTTTTTGCACTATGTGGCAACATCTACAGAAAGAGGTGAAAATGTTTACTATAACGCACATCGAGGAGTGCGTTTGATAACGCACTGGTGACTGATTAGCTCCTCTCACGTAGGATCGGCGGACCGCAATGACAAACAAGGCAGTGACACGTCGTCGGTAGCCGCGGTCGGGTGAATAATTTATCATAGCCAATTTTTTAATTAGTCGTTTTTACCGTGTGTATTTCAAGGTTTTTAACGTGTGATTTTAGTGTGTTACGTTTTTAATGCAACCGGTCGGGTCAATAATTATTGTAGTCAATGTTTTAATACGTGGTTTGAATATGTTTAAAATTGAAAGTGACAGGGGTAACCCAATGATTGTACATGAAGGTGCTACATTTTATAAATTCCGTGATCAAAAGAACAGTTTTGTGTGGCGATGTGTGGACAAAAACTGCGGTGTCACTATAAAAACTGATCGTCTAGTCTCCTCTATATTAGAAAAGAAAAAGGAAGGTGGTAAAAAAGTGCACAACCACGAGATCGTCAGTGAGGGAGCGTTACAAAAAAAAGAAATTCGTCAGGCAGTGAAAAGAAAAGCGGCAGACGATGTCCACATTCAGCCGTCAAAAGTTCTGAAGCAAGTGTTAAGCGAAAAGAAAAACGATCTGACATTTTCTGATTTACCGCCTATACAGCTAGCCGGCTATCGAGCGAGAAGGAAAGTATTGCCCAAATTAGCTCGTAGCATTGACATTGCGATATCACAAATGGTTGAATTATATCAGAATCCGAGAGAAAATTCAGCTACTGACGAGGGGATGAAAGACTGTCCCATAGTTTTAACGGACGAAAAAAACAAGATAGTTGGAGTAAGCTTCCCTGAAAATATTAAGTTTTTGATAAGGCATGGTCAAAAACTCCTTGGAGATGGCACTTTCACGTATTCTCCCAATCATTTCGCCCAGAGTTATACGATCCATGTTTATAAACAAGGCTTTTACGTTCACGTCGCAACATTTTTTTTGCCTTCTAAAAGTGAGGTAACATATAACGCTATGTGGGTGTTGTTGAAAAGAATGTGCCTAGAAATTACTGGTGAGGATCTGCAAGTTTCCGAAATTATGTTTGACTTCGAGACTGCTGCTCACAACGCTGCAAGATCTGCATTTCCAGGAATTATAGTGAGAGCATGTAAGTTCCATCTTGGCCAGAATTGGTGGAAACACGTTTATTCTTACCAGACCCTAAGGCTTGCTTACTACTATAAAAAAGACGACAACAGCGACTTATGTCGGACAAAGCAGTGGCTACAATGTTTTTTTTCACTGTCTTATCTCAAACCTGAAGATGTTCAAGCTGCCTTCAATGAGTTGAAAGAAGTAGCTCCAAAGCATGAGGATGCCAGTAAATTTTTAGACTATGTTGAGAAAAACTACATTAATCCTACATCAAAGTTCCCCCCTGCCTTGTGGGCCGCTCCAATTACCGATACAGAGTTCACAACCACAAATGGAGTGGAAAGCTATAACAGTAAGTTACAGCATGAATTTTACCATTCTCACCCCGATATACACCAAGTAATACGTTGCATCCTCGACAACCAGAGTATTATCTCCTTAAAAATAAAATCCATATTGCGAGGCGAATTCTTCCAGAAGAGACACAGACAAAAAACTATGGAAGAAAATATAACGAGTCTCACGCATGCGTTTTATATTTACAAGTACGTCACCAGTACCTTAGCTTTCCTGTACGAAATTGGGGAGGAAAAGAAATTGCACCGCTTCAAAACAAACAACCTCACGGACAAAACTGATGGACACCATTCAGATGACGCAGATGATCCAGATTTCATTTAGGTAGGTGAGTCGTTAATTTTCTTTTTATTTCTCAAATTTTTGTCAACAACGTTGCCAACTTGCGTATGATATAAAATGTGTGGAAATGAAACTGTGCGGAAATGAAATTTGAAGAAATGTGTGGAAATGAAAAATGACCCAAAAGTGTGCGGAAATGAAAGTCTCCCGTATTCTACTGTTTACTGGGTCGGCCTTGCTTGTTGGTTTATGTAACCGAAATCGGTTGTGGTGACCCTATCCTCAGTTCCTGCATTTGAGCTCCTTCTAAAGTTCAGTCCACGATACCGAACTATTTTGACAGTTAGGTTCGGTCTAAAAGTTTGATCATATGAAGCGAGGTACTTGTGGTTATTTGAACCGAGAGATTACATGAACCGAATAGACTCCGTATTGTCGTTCATAATAGGAACAATCTCTTTTTCTCAACACAGCACACCCCGATGTAAAATTACCTAAAAAGTTTGATAGGGAAACCGCCCTAACATGTCCACTGACTTTAAACCAAGTCGAATCACTATGGCTTAAAAAAAACCCCGGAGAAAACCTACGTATGTGATCGAACTATACTGCATACCCAGTTTTACCAAAGACAGTACATTGGACGGTACCCAAAAGCGCAAATATCCAAAAGTGCAAAGCCAGAAGTGAGAAATGAATGGTCCAGCTCAATCAGCGCACGCACCAAAATAAAGGAAAACTTAAGAATCCTAACTTATCTTAACTCCTTTTCTTGGGAACAAATATTTGCACATTGACGTGAGGGGTAAGTATGTTTTGAGCTTCAGTCTTGATATCGCAATGTGCTGAACATGATTTTGTAGAACAACTATTTGTGCCTAAGCCATGTCCTCATAGTATAAGGGAATAATCCCAATCGTTCTGTATTGGATTTTTGCATTACTGCCCGCCAGCGCCGCAGCACCGCGGTTGAGGCGGTGAGTGCCTGGAGTGTCAAAACGCCTTCACTTTCGAACGTATGCAACGCGGACATCCACAGAGCCCGAATAGTTGTATCCAGGCGTTATGATGGAATTCGTGTATTGTTCGTCATATGCGTCACTAAATGAGGGCATTTTTCTTGTTTCTCTTACTTGGTCATTCAAGTGCAGCGGTGCCTGTTATACCGATGTAAACTGTTGTCAATTTTTATCCCAACATTGTCAATTTTCTGGGAATTGTTTTAATTTTTTAAATATATTATAATTGGAATTTTTTTTGCGGGAAGTACTCCACGGGCGTTCTAGGATGGTCAAATAATAAAAATCTATGTAATATCGTCCAACCATGTGATGCCTCTCATCTCATGCCTCTGGAGCTCTATTGCAGGGAATATTCAACGAAATTCGCAAAGTTGATTGAGCTACTAATTTTTCTCCGTGTAATGGCGTTTGGCTGTCGATGGTGGCTTAGCACTGAACGAATGACCGCTGGGCTCAATTCAACGGCTCAATCTTTTCGGCATTGCGTAGACGTTTCATACCCTTCGTGGAACGCAATCCTCCCCCGACCCCCTCCCTTGCGCCCTCGCCACTTGGTGATCCCCGTGGTAGAATAATTGGAGCTCACTTGTCGAGGCATTTTTATACCCAGCCCTGCACCGAGGCCTCATCCAATTTCAGTCTAATGATTCGCCGCTACCAGCGAATCCATTGATGGCTGACTTTATCATCTCGCGGAGCCCTCGCCACGCTGCCAAATTTAGCCGTAAATCCGCGGATTTCGCATTGAAGGCAACGAATCAAGCGCTTGATCTGCCACCCGCGCCTCAATGGGCGAATGCAATTTACCGAGGTGTAACAGTCAAACTACGCCTTTCAATACTGCAGTCCCACTTGGCTCGGAGGGGATCGGCGAGGGGGGCTCAGTCCCCCTCCCCCGTCAACCCCTGTCGCGGGTAAATTACTCTGACCGCTCAAACGTAATAGCTACCCGCTACCATGGAGCCCTCCCTGTCTCCATCCCCCCCGCCCTGTTCCTCATGCAAACGATTCGTTCGTTTCGATGCGTTGATGCTTAATGTGGCTTGCGACTGCCTCAGCTGGTATTGGGTTCGAGCGTGGTGCGAGAGGGCAGGTGCCACAATGGAGAGGCGACGCAAAAGTCAAGATATTCTATTTTCAAAAGTCTGCAACTGAATCAGTGAGAACGAAAACACACCAACTCGGTAACTCAAAAATGCTCAATTTTTATGAGAGAGAGTCAGTTTTTAAAAAGGTCATCGAAGATAACGCATCCGTTCCAACTTGGACCTTTAAAGTGTCCTTCAGTACTTGTCTATCGGCACCAAAGATCTTTTTCTTGTGCTAACTTTTTCAACTACTGTGTAGTTTTGCGTGTGTCTTGATTATTTTAATTTTTTCGAGTTTGTGTGTTTTCGTTCTCACTGATTCAACTGTGACAAGGTTAAACAGAAAATTGATATTTTCACCCCAGGATGTCTACCAGTTTTGAAAAACCAAAATTGGGGACAATCGAGGACTTTCAGGGGAGTTTTTTCAAGAAAATCGAGGGATTTTTTCCCGAAATAATAAGAGAAAGGGAGCTTGATAGAGCGTTGAAAGGCGTTTTTTATACGACTAATTTTATAAGTCATGTTGAATCGATGAAAACACACGAAAAACTAAGTAACACGTCAGTTTTTTTATTCCTGGTAATACCGCGCCGCCGCGGGTAGCGGGAAAATTTGAAAATGCCGGTGTTCAGGACGACTTTTGTCATTTTTTGGGGGCCTGAACAAGAAAGCTGGGGACTTTCGGGGATATCGGGGACACCCTTCCAAAATCGGGGATAACCGGGGACATAGGGGACTTTTGGAACCGGTGGACACCCTGGATATTCTATTTTCAAAAGTCTGCAACTGTGACGAGGTTTAACAAGAAACTCACATTTTCACCTACATGGGGCAAAATGTATTAATATCCCTGGCTCCCGATTTTTTAAAGACTTCTAGTTGTTACGGATTTGCTACTACTGCACTGGAAAAAACACATTGGATCTAGAGTCCAGGCTCTTGAAAACATCGACAAGAAAAAATACTCTTGATTCAATCAGATTTAAGCTTAAATCAAGAACCAAGCCTCTTAATTTGAGCGAATTTCCTTTTGATTTAAGCTTAAATCTGATTGAATCAAGAGTCCTTTTTCTTTTCAACGTTTTCAAGAGTCTGGACTCTAGATCCAATGTGTTTTTTTTCCAGTGTGAGTGATAGCCTTTAACGCAGCGTTCGAAACATTATCATAATGATTACCTGGGGTTGATAGTAAGGAGGCATCTCCTTGACGGCTCTCTTGTATACGTCAACGGCGTCCTGATAGCGGCCTCGATCAGCGTGGAGGCGGCCCAGGTGGAGGAGGGCCGAGATCCTCGTCAATTCGTGGGTGTGGAGGTCCTTGAGGCCTTCGCCGCTGATGTTGGCGCAGCGGGTCAACACCATCTCGGCCTCTTCGCATCGACCTAGACTTCCAAGTAACTGTCCAAGGTTCAGGTGGGCCACTGAAACAAACCGTGTTATAACCATTAGTCCATGCATTTTAGGCTGAAAAGGCCTCGTGTGGTGTAGTCTGCTGTGCTAAGAAAAAACACCGTATGAACCTTCTGGCGTTGCCAAATTTCCTTTGATAAAACACGACTTTCCCGGTAATTTTACGAATATTATTTTTCCACTTTTTCAGATAATTTTGTTCGCAATTTCACCCGAAGTTCCTGAAAATTTCAGGCAGGAATGTTCATAAATTTCCTCGAAAATAAACATTTCAGTGGAGGAAATTTGGCAACTCTCGAATGTTCATACGGCGTCCTTCCTTAGCACGGCAGAATGAATGACATTTTTTTTACTGAGCAATGATTTTTTCTGAAATTAGGAGAAAAAATTAGGAGCTTTAGTTTTCTCAAGTAAAAACATTGTCGCATTTCAGAGAACGGTTATGTAAGCGTTGCAGCTGGGATCAAGTCGATCCAAATGGAAACGAAAACACGCTACAAAACAGTTACTCGTCTTTGAAGCCAAATGGACAATGTGTTTCAGAATTCAAATCTCGAGAAGCTCAAAATTTTGCGCTACACAAGCCGCGGTAGTATCCATGGCTTTTTTGAGGCAACAGTGTACAGGGATCGTATTTCTTTCAAGTGAAGATTCTGCCGAAGCATTTATGCCTCGCCCCGAACACAATAGCACCCGAAGAGAGGGTTAGCGTCATCAAAAGAGGCTAAACGCTGAAATTCCTGCACAAAAGGAAACAGCCCTCGCCTCAATCCCGTCGATAAGGAGGAAATTTATCTCTTTATCTTTCACTGTTTTCGGCAGCAAATCGTCCAAGATGATGCTCTCGAGACCCGGGAGCAGATGATAGTGGCACTCGTAGCCGGGGACGAGGGGTGGGGGTGGTGGGAGGGGGTCCCGAGCTTTGACGTAAATAAACGGTCTATCGATGATTTCGACGCATATTGGTGTGTCATTGTGCCTCCGATATTCTGCCCCAGGGAAAGGCAATTTCCTCTCGTCTTTGGCCCTGACAATCAAACATTCTCGCAGTCCTCCTCTTCCCCTCCCCTCCCCGTCCCGATGGTGCGTCACGTGTGTTTTACATTTTTATGGAGTTTCCGGACTCGATTTCGGACGCCGCACAGTGGATCGAGTCAATGGACGAGGTCGCACAAGCTTTGGAAACTTTAATGGCTCATAACTCGGTTCATACAGCAATTTGAGGTGATAAAAGTGGCTCCATTAGTTTCCTCGTAAAATTTTCTGCTAGAAGTGACCCTTACAATTTAAAATGTGACGAATTAAAAATCGAAATTTGCAGTTTTTGTCAAAAATTTCGTGACCGACCTCTCTGGTTGACTCGATCCGCTGTGCGCCGCCGTGTGCGAGAAGTTACTGCTGTACCCAGAGACAGTACATTCTAGAGACAGTGGCGTGGTGTGCTTTTCGATATATCGATTGATTTGTCATTTAAACCTATGGAAAAGGATCGATAAACAGGGTGTTCGCTGCGAACACCTTAATAATCGATTCTTTACCATAGGTTTAAATTACATATCAATCGATAAATCGCAATTCACGCCACGCCACTGAGAGACTCCCCACTCCTAGGCCACGCGTTGCATTATTCGTCTCTGTGATAGTGCGAGTTTTCCGTCCCAATATAAAACTCCGATTTTTTAAACACAGATCGCGAAGAGTAAAAGAGGATCAATTGGATTACATTTTACAATAATGAACCACTATCTCTGGCTCTCCCATAATAGCAAATATCTGCATAAGGAAACTAGTGGCATGTATGTTGTTTCTGAAATGGGCCAGAAATGGTGGTTCCTTATTGCAAAATGTAAACCGATTCGTCCTCTCGCAGACGTAACTTCATTTCAATGTTGCGAACTTTCCATGGGTGAATAATACTTGCACCAGGAAACTTTTGGATGTTTATGACTGATAATTTCACAAATTTTTCATCTTGATATACTCAAAAACCATCAAAAGTTCGTGTTAAAATTGCCAAGTCATATTCCTGTATAAATTAATTTTTTTCATTTAGTTTTTCAGCCTTTGGACAGAGTAACGTTCTTCCGCGTGGAGAACGACGAATTATTCAGGACCAATAAAAATAATATTCCACTCCGAGTTTTTTTCTTCTTTTTTCTTCTTTTTGGGAAAGTAATGATTGAGGGTATGGATTCGATCGACATGAATCGATTGAAAAATAAAAACGTGAACCGATCGACACCGATTTAATCGGTTCGGGTTTGTCGAACGTTTCACGGATTTGGCCGACCGACTGACAGTTTTGTCGATCAATTCACAGGTTTGTCGTTCAAATCGGTGTCGATCGATTCACGGCAATCGGTTCACGTTTTTATTTTTCGATTGATGCATGTCAAAAAAATTGACACCGGTTCATTCAATATTTGCCGATCGAATCGGTATCGATCGGTTCACGTTTTAATTTCTCGATCGATGCATGTCAAACAAATTGACCCCGATTTTTTTAATATTTGCCGATCGAATCGGTGTCGATCGGTTCACGCTTTAATTTCTCGATCGATGCATGTCGAACAAATTGACCCCGGTTTTTCTACTATTTGCCGATCGAATCGGTGTCGATCGGTTCACGCTTTAATTTCTCGATCGATGCATGTCGAACAAATTGACCCCGGTTTTTCTACTATTTGCCGATCGAATCGGTGTCGAATGTCGATCGGTTCACGTCGATCGATTCAAATTCAATTTTTAAATCGATTCATGTATATCGAATCCATACCCTCCAGCAACGCATCCCAAGCGCATTATGTTCAGAAAACACCAATGAGGTGAAATAGAGCTTGCGAATCCGGCAATACGAAAACATAACCGTTCCATCGACTTCGAGCCCGAGGTATTGAAATATTCGCGTAAAACTTGATAATTTTCCAAACTGGCGCGATTATAATTCTCGGCCAGAGGGTCGATTGTTGAATCCTTATCGAATGATCCAAATCGATGGATCCCTATCTTGGCAATGCTATTAATCGATCAAAGTCATTCGATATCCCTTCAAGAATCGACCCGCTGGTTTCCTACTCGGCCTCCGATTCGGGGACGACGGAGCGTTCTGCTCCTATTGTTCTACATGCCGAGCAATTACCCATCTTCAATTGGATTATGAACGGCTTCATGGCGCCCCGCCGCTCACTCCCCAAATTGACTTAATTATTCTGCAGTGCTAAGGAAAAACGCCGTATGATCGTTCGAATGTTGCCAAATTTCCTCTCAGAAAATATCTATCTTGAACAGAGTTATGGATACTCTTCCTCGAAATTTTCAGACTTTTTAGATTAAGTTTCCAATATAATCCTCCGGAAAATCGATGGAGAAATTTTCACAATTTTTCCTGGGAATTCGTTGTTTTTTCAGGACATCCGGCAACCTCTGATGGCTCATACGGCGTTCTTTCTTAGCACGGCAGTATTGGGCCCCTTGCATGCCCCGACCCGGACTTGAATGAGACCCCCTCCTCCTCCTCTTCATTTCGCGCTTTAGCCTCGGGTTCCTTTTATCGCGTTCCTTTAATCCGTTCTGCAGTGTGGTCGCATTTAGATTTTCGTGAGATTTTCCCGACATTTTCGACGGATTTGCTTGTCTAGCAATCGTCATTAGCCAGTGGCGTTATTTGGGAAGGAAAAAGTGAGGGTATGGGAGTTCCTCTCTTCCCTAAACTTGAGGTTGGCCGGCTAGGTTGGCCTAGCGGTCAGCGCGTCTGACACTAGACCAATAGGTTCGGGTTCGAATCCCGGTGGTGGCAACAAATTTCCACCGAACTGACGATGTGAATCTGCAGAAAAAGATTCTAATCGACCTTAATCCCTGAAAATTTGAAAGCCGGAGCACGTATGTATCAGAAATCCCCATGATGTCTACTGACAATTAAAATACTGTCTACAGTTGACTGTAGACCCCTCAGAAGGGGTATAAGCCATTAAACCTGCAAAAAAAAACTTGAGGTTAAATAAATCATATGAGTGTATAATTTTATTTGTTTTGATCAAATTAAGGCAGGACTGTCGCAATGATAAATTATCTTGATTACTAGACTGTGCAAAAGATTCATAATTAAGAGAAAAACTAAACTTTTCCTAGGCAGTTTCACGTCACACCGCAGAAAATACTGGTTGTGTTGAGATTTGCCTGGCTATCATAACTGAAACTATCATTGCAACGAGGAACCTTTCGTTGACACAATGGGCCACTACCGAGACAGGGCACGAATTAAAGTATTTTGAGTCATGTTTCCAAATTAAAATACGCAAAACATGATTCGGGCGACGAAAATTGGTGACATTATTCTTAACTGTGATATTTAACGTTTTTCGATTCGTGAATTCAAACCTCCCGCTCATGGAAAAAACCAAACTCTATACGCGAGTCAAATCTCTCACTAAGCGTTGCCATAATATTGTAGCCTTGATGTTGGAGTTTCAGCTCAGTTGTTGCACGTTCTTTTAACTTTAAACAACATAAAGTAGGGTAGGAACACTGCTTGATTAAGAAGCCAGCCGTAACCGTTGTAGTGCGCAATTTGACTCACGTACAGTGTTGTTTTTTTCTGTGCGGGCAAATCAAATTTCTGCCAAAAAAACCAATACGAACTCGGAACATTAATATCTCACCAATGAATTGAGAAAAGAAAGATTTCGGTACCTGAACCATGTTCTACGTGAGATTTTGATTAGGAGACATGCATCATAATGGGGTGGGGGATTGGGCCGCGTAACGGCCAAGGAGCGGACCCCCTAGTTGCCAATGAAACGGTTTTCTTTGTTGTGGTGAACCCAATTTTTCTTTATGTGCATTGACTGATTTTTCAAGAGTAAAATACAAAGTCGCCGAATTTTCATTGATTGCGATGCAAACCCTAGTAAAAATTGGCAGTAGAATGTGTGTTCCAAAATACTATAGACCTAAAGTCGGCTGTAAGATTTCCAATAGCTTCGGTAGCCGGCTATACAATTTCTTATAG